CATAATATCTAGGCCACACACCTATTATCTGTGATGGAGGTGGGTGGGGGATTACTGCTGAATGGGGGAGTTTACTGGGGTCCCTGATCAGGTGCCTTATCGATCAATACTTGTATTGAACTTACTGCCCAAGCTGTAAGGTAAATAATCTTCCTACCAAACAATAACAAATCCACTGGAACATGGCTGAGTTGGAGTGGAGCTTCTATTTTTGTTTACATGTATGTGTTTATTGACCTTAATATTTGTTTGAGTTGGGGCATATTTAATGATGAGAGATTTTATTTAGATAGAAACTGAATTATTCTGACAACCCCTAGGTTAAAAAAAATTGGTTTATAAAACCTTAGTAATAACCATGCGATGATGTACCAGTATAGCCAATTTTTCTATTTCGCAAATTTTAAATTTTGTGTTTGAGATTTTGCCAGGTGTCATTTCAACTATTACTTATCTGTAAACATTCACCAAATGTGTCATATTGATGTTAAATAAAAATGGATATCAAACTTTGTGTCGGGTTTTTAAATACAATTTCCATGAACAAAAAGAACGGGCTGTAAATTGCGTTAGATAATAAAGAGATTTTTCTTTAATTCAGTTCAGTTTAGGATCTCCGGTATCAAAACATGTAAGGTTTTCTTATGAAAGCTAAATTGTCTTCCACCAAACAGGAAAGCGTTGTTCCTACTAATAACAGTGGAGAATATTTACTTAACAATTATACGACTTACAGAAACTTGGTAGGAAATGTTAAAATGCCATGCCTAGACTAATTGGTTTAACTTGAGATATACAGGGTGAGTTAAAAAAAAACAAACGAAACCCAAATGTCAAGACCATTGTTTTAGTGAAGTTCTGCATGTGGCACTTTCAAAATCTAGGACATAAAAGCCCAATTCATAAGCTTTTTTTTAGTACAAGAATCATTCAAATCACGCATGTACTTTTAAAGTTAGGGAATTTTAAGCACAACCACCGTTTTAAAGTTCTGTCCACGGATCACAAGAAGGTAAGTGTTCTTTCAGCAAAACGAAAACAAATCACATTGGGATGTTTGTCAAATGTGTTCGTTTTGCTAAAAGAATGCACACCTTTTTTTGATCCGTGGACAGAACTTTAAAACGGTGGTTGTGTTTAAAATTTTGTTAATACTTTAAAAGTATGGGAGCGATTTGAATGATTCTTGTGCTAAAAGAAGGCTTATGAATCGGGCTTTCATATCCTAGATTTTGAAAGTGCTACATGCAGAACTTCACTAAAACAATGGTCACGACATTTGGGTTTCATTTTTTTTTACTCACCCTGTACATACATGTAGAAAGTAAATTTTTGGTCACTATTAAAGAAATAAAGCATATTAAAATTCAATTAATTTCAGTTGCCATTACTGATTTTTTTTTTACAATTATAATAAATTAAAAGGACATTTTGATGTTCACTAAGTAGGCCTTTGATCTGTGATGAACCCAAAATGGTTGTGTTTTATAGAATTTTTTGTTTTTGAAGAAAGATTTAAGGGCAATATTTAAATGCCCCACGCACACCAGTTGCAAAGACGGCCGTGCTACAGACCCTGTGCTTTTACAAGCACGCATTCCTGAAACGCAGGATACCCCGTTTTGCCGCCATTTCTGGGCTTTTTTTCCCACCACCCAGTCCCACCATTCACAAAAGAAGAGAGAGAGATGGAGAAAAATAACCTCACAAGGGGTCGCGGTCAATCCTTTTAAAATAGAAAATGCTCCCTTAGGCTCGTTTCTCTCTTGTACAGTAAGTTCTTGGCCGACTAGCCTGGGCCTTTCACTGCAAGATTGTGCTATCAGTGAACCCGATCGGTCATCCAAGGATGCTTCGTAAAACAGGCTAGATTGAAGAATTTGGACCGCGATAAAACTCTCTTTAGAAGCTTAGCCCCACATTTTCACTGAGCAGCGCCTGTACATGTGGGAAAATGTACAACTACTCAACAGAAAAAAAATATTGTTACATGTCACACAACCGCATTGACGAATGAAGGTCAAGACATTATGCAGTGGTATGCCCATTGTTGTTGACAGGATTTCTCCGTTATGCGTTCCTGGGTGCTAAGCACTGCAGCATCTAATTGCAATTAGCTTCTTTGTGGACAGTAATGATTCTTAAAGGGAATATACAACATTTGCAAACATCGAAAAATAAAACTACCAAGTTTTTGCGAAATACCTTAATAGGATGTTGGTAAATGACAGTCTAAAGCATCCTGTAAAATTATGGCACCTGGTATACTGTCATTTTCAAGAAAAGTGGTATTTTTGTATCAATTTCCAACGCTGATCGGCCGATCAGCGTTGGAAACAACTGGCTTTTTTTTCAAATACTGGCCCCAATTGACCATTGCACTTGTTTGCAATCGATTACAAACCTATGAACGGGTACGAGCCAGCTAGACTGGTTCCCTGACCTTACAATTCCCCAATGTATGTAAACTGCTCTGTTTCTTCTTATATGGAGTCAGGGAACCAGACTACAGGAAATGATCGTTTTTCTTGGTTTTTATAGCATTTTCGAACCCAAAACCTCCAAAAAGTCAGTGTAACTATATTTGCTTTATATTTCCAACCCCCCAATTCCATCCATTTCTGAAAATTACAGCAAAAGCAAATGATGTATATTCCCTTTAATATAATGGAGTTATTGGACATCACTGGCCCTCAGTACGAGAATAAAAAAAAAAATTGCTTGATTCAAGGAATTTCTGGTGCACGGAATTAATTTAGGGTATTGTATAAATACTAACTGGGAATACAGTAAGCTTTTGAAAATCTACATCAATATTTTCTATTTCGGGGAAATTGTTTGAAAATGAAATTAGAATTTAAAAAAAGAAGAAGCCTTTTCAGTTTCGGTATCTAATATTTTGTATTTCATTATGCATATTATAGTTAAATAACCAATCAGATGTCTCTCTCAACTAAAAAAAAAGAAGAAATTGTAATATTAAATATAACAATTAACTGGACAGAACCAGGCCAATTTCATTGCTATGCCAAACCGTGTTTATAGTGAGAGCGCAGAAATTCTGTAGCAACCCTGTAAGCGCAGTGTCTATAGTTACAGTATTTTATGCATTCGCAGAAGTAAAAATAGATGCAAACCCATGAAGTTCACTCGCTATTTGTCCAGAAATAGTTCTGCTTTTTTAGGGAAAAAAAATCTCTTTTTAATGAGAAAAGGGGGGGGGGAGGTTCCTGTAGACCAATCAACCCTAACATTGTAGGTGTACATAGGGTCGGCTGTTAAATGTATTTTTTTTTATATATTTTTTTTTTATAGTTTTTAAAGCCAAAAAAAAAAGAGTTCTGCTTCCGGTTTCCCTACCTACCCTATTCTGACAGCCCCTACCCTAATTTTTTTATTGGAAAAATGAGGAGAAAAAAAACACCCAAAACCATCAATCTTTACCTTACCCTTGACTACACGCAGACACCTCCATGTGATCGTACACAAAAAAATTTGCAAAAAAAAAAAAATCCCTACCTACTTACCCTATTTTCAAATGCCATGCACATGTAATCGGAAGCAGAACTAATTTTTTTTGGCCTAACTATTTATTGTAATGAAATACATTTTTTTCATTTATCAGTTTTGTTTGTTTTGAAAGTGAAAAATATCCCAAATACAAACTTGGAATATTTGAAATAAGTACGTAATAAAGGACTTCCTTAGAAGTAAATCTTCTCGTCCAGTTGCCCTCCAATATGAATACATGTACCTGTATGTATACGTACGCATACAGGTGTACTTATAAAACCTTTTAAAAAATCTTCCGATCCTTCCGTTTTTGGCAATGTAGCAGGAAACACAAATTTCATTGTCTTTCTGACCTAAGCAGAGCCATAGAATTGGGCCTCTGTTTGTTTTCATTCCACCCATCCCACCGCCGAAAAAAAGGTGAAAAACCTGAAACAAAACAATACAAAATTCACCCAGTCCCAACAAACACAAATGCATTATTCTAAGCTTTTCAAAGTTGCTGTTATAATTTTTGTCCAAAGTAAAATGACAATGCTCATTTCATTGCAAGCCTTTGCAAATGCAGACTTGCTTGCACTATAGAGTTCTTTTGCCCTTATTTGGGCAGAAATGCTTATCATGGCAAAAGACATGTTTAGATGTTAAGACATCTATAAGACATTTTACCTCATCTATAAGAAGAAGAGAAGTGCAAATCAGCTCTGGTGTTTTCAAATCCATCACAAGTAATTCACAAGTCCTTTCACAAGTTACAGGGAATAAACAATAACAAAGAAAATGCTTTTGTCACAGATCATTTGAATAGCTTGTGACTTGAAACTGGTTGATGACTTGTGATGACTTGTGATTGCTTTGTGATGACTTGTGATGACTTGTGATGGACTTGTGATTGACTTGTGATTGACTTGTGATTGACTTGTGAAGTCTTGTGGTTGACTTGTGATGACTTGTGATTGACTTGTGATGACTTGTGATGACTTGTGATGGACCTGTGATGACTTGTGATAACTTGTGATGGACTTGTGATGACGTGTGATGGACTTGTGATTGACTTGTGAAGACTTGTGATTGACTTGTGGTGACTTGTGATGACTTGTGATGACTTGTGATGGCATAACTACAACACTGCTTAGCGCAGTCATTCCACGCAACCAGAGCTATCACTAAATAATGAAAGGTTTGCGGAAACACCATGTGCGAATAATTTCACAACTAAGAGAATGGTTCTGAAAAGAAAAACTTTTTCTGAAAAAGTTCTAAGAAAATGTTTCTGAGTTTATACCTCTGGTTCTTTTCAGAACCAATCTCTTAGTTGAGAAATTATTCGCACATGGTGTTTCCGCAAACCTTTCATTATTTAGTATCTCCACCATGCAAAGCCTCAAATCTTACATAGCTATCACTTTATAATCACTACTTCATACAGAATCCTTCATTAGGAGCTTTCATGTAACTTTGCTGGTTTGATTTGTTTCCTGACCCAGATACCTGCGTGCGTCTGGCCATGCGCCAGTGCGGCATCACCACCTTCAGCAGTAATCGGGACCACCCCCGCGAGGTCATCACCTACCTGCGCCAGTACGGCTGCCACGGCATCCTGGCCCAGACGCCCGAGTTTGCCCTCTTTGACCCCCCTCTGCTGTTCTCCTCCCACCTGATGAAGCTGACCAAGAAGGGGGAGCTGCTGTCTGTCCAGTACTCCATGGAGGAGGTGGCCAAGACGCTCAATCTGCACCCGGAGAGATTCGTCATCCTCGCTGCCTTGCTTGGTATTAACCCTAACCCTGTCAGATGTACCCTTGGTCCAAGCCTTGATGTTGATTTTGTTCCCTTATGCAGCTGGTCACGACAAGTGCGGTCAAACCGCCACGGAGATGAAGGGCGTTATCGACAAATGAATAGAATCCGGTCTTGGGCAACGTACCAGCAGGACCCCAGAAATTCCAAGCACACCTCACATGCATGCTTTGAATATAGTGTATGTGAGGTATGCTCAAAATTTCTTGGGTCCCGCTGCCAATGTTCCCAAGGCTGGATTGATTCATCTTGTCGATAGCGCCCTCTACCGTGTTGGTGGCTTGACTGCACATGTCAAGGATTCCGACCAGCTGCATTAACCCTAATCCTGCTAAATATGCAACAGAAAGCAACAAAGGTAAACAGTTGTTGCATACTGTTGCATTTACCGGTAGCAGGCAACTCAAGTCCCTGTGCTTTGTTGCATCTTGTTGCATTTAGCAGGGTAACTGCTCATTGTGCCAAGGCGATACAATAGAATCCGCTGTTGCATTTGGTTGCATTTAGCATGGTAACTGCTCATCCAAGGCGATACAACAGAATCCACTGTTGCATTTGGTTGCATTTAGCATGGTAACTGCTCATCCAAGGCGATACAACAGAATTGCATTTGGTTGCATTTAACAGGGTAACTGCTTGGTGCCAAGGGTGGTATGCACTGGGTTCACTGCACAATGCAACAGAATCCACTGTTGCAATTCGTTGCATTTAGCAGGGTTCTTATTTCAGCCAAGTTGCATTTCGTTGCATTTGGCAGGGTGCCTAGAGAAAAATCGTTGGGTGTAGGGTTCAGCCAGCTGCAACACAGTGTAACAGTTGTAAAAAGTCTGTTTTTACAAGGAACCTTGTGCAGAATACTGAAAAAATACGATAATGGGTATAACCAACATCATTCTCTGTCCTGCAATGTCATTTGGAGTAACAGTGGTTGGGCTCTGCTGTGCCCTCGCACATTAGCATTTAAAAGTTACATATTGTGGCCCATGATGGGAATTCAGGCGATTCACAATGCAGTGCGCCACCAAGAGTTTGCTACAGAGAGTTCATTTTTCCCAATGCATTGTGGGAGATGGTCGAAAATTTCGCAACGCGGGACATTTGAAATTGTTCGTTTCTCCGGTCAGTAGTTTCCAAAAAGCGTATGATTCGTGTATCTGTTTGCCCTTTTCTTTTCTTTTTATTAACATCGTGTTTTTTGTAAGGCGGCAAAACGCTATGCCCCAATCTATAACAAATTAGCTCTTGAAAGTTGTCTACTGTCACTCATTCAAATGGGCCGTGTTTTGTCGACCGTTAACTTTAAAAATGGACTCTCCATGGCAAACTCTTGGTGGCGCACTGCATTGTGAATCGCCCGAATTGTATTATGTATAACCAGTAATAATCCCCACAATCAGTAAGAACAAGCAGTCCCTGGCCCTTGTTACTGAAATCTCATCTTAGTCCTGGATTCGTTTGTCTCCATCTTTCAGGCAATCACATTCTGACGGAGGAAGATCTGGCCCTGTTCCACTGGTCACTGCTTGGCCCGGACCACCCACTCAACGGACTCAGAGTAAGTTGGGCTTTTTCAATCCACTTTCACTTTTCTGAAAAGGAAATCAGGCGTTGTTCTTTTAAATGCAAGTTTATATTTCACATGAGAATTAACAGGATGTTAAACAAATTTGACTTTGAAACTGAACGAGTGTGTGTTGTAGAGATAGTGAAATTATGAAATCAAATTCTCAGGCCCTCATGAAAATCCACCTGACAGTTAATTGATTGATTTATTGATTGCTTGGGTGAGTGTTGGCAATAATTAATGGAATTATATCTTGCTTTATTGATTAATGTATTGATTACCTGATTACGTGTTTATTGTAGAGCATGTGTATGTCTTGTCTATTGTAATTGTTACATTAATCTATTTTAAGTGAATCCCTTTAAAAGTCTTGAAATGGAAGATAAACGGATTGGAAAAATATTTGTTATGCACTGCATTTTAGTCCCACATGAGTCCCACCTGAGTGATTTTTTTAAAAACTTTCACTCTGGAGGTAACACACTGAGTATAAAGTGTTTATATGTCTGTGAAGGGCCAAAAAACAAACAAACCTAATATTGAATTTGCACTGCATTTTACTATTAATTAACCTGCCTACTGGGAAATCAAAAGTCGGCACAATATGCAAACCCTCTAAAACCTTTCAGGTGAAGGTTTTGATCTCAGGCTGTGCTCCGTGGTCATATATGGGTCGATGTGGCCGGCAGCCATAGGCGCCTTTACGTGCCAGCGGCCCAACCACATTATAGCCGCATCTTTCGCAATTCAGCATCCCAGCTGCCAGTAAGGATGATTAGCCTCCCAAATTATTATTATTATTATTATTATATCCTAAATATTTCCCCCATTTCCTGTTCCCCAGCTGAGGGCCCAGCAGCTGATTTTACCCCCCTTGGACGTCATCATCAACACGGTCAGCGAGTACGTGCGCAACCTGCCGGACACCCGCAACCTGGAAGCCGTGGCCCGCGACGTCTTCAAGAGCTCCACCTCGCGCACCGAGGAGAAGATTCGGCGCTTCAAGGCCTGCGTGGAGTACTACTGGTACGGCACCCGGGAGGCCTGGACCAGGTCAAGGGGCAAAGGTCAGTTCATGAATATTCATGAAGGGGTCAGGCAGTCGCCTTTTTCTGAGATTTGGCAGGGTGCTAATCGGTTTGGGTAAATTTGAGAAAATACAACAGAGTTTTCTAAAAAAAAAAAAATTAAAAAGTTGGTGCTGCAAATTCCATAGGTTCTGTTTGTTTGGAGAACTTATCTTAAGGCCCCCCCCCCCCAAAAGTCTCAGGTTTCTAGTATGCGCTCGGGTCGCCGTAGCCATGCGCGTCGGCAAAATGAAAAAGTTTTTTTTTTCAATAAAAGATGATGTCTCAAAACCGCCAAACTCACTGGTTTGACTGGAATCCTGCTGCTGCACAATTTTAACGTGTTTTTAGATGGGGTTATGATCGAGAATAAGCTTTATGTGGCCTCTCTGGACTCCCATATATTTGCACTAAGTTTAGTCGGGCACCATTTGCAGTCATCGGCCGACATTTGAAGCAAAAAAAAACAAGTTAAAAAAAAAAAAAAGCCGCGTCGCCGCACCACTTTTTGGGCAAGCTCCATACCAGAAACCGGAGACTTTTTTTGGGGGGGGCCTAATATTGAGGATTTTTTTCCACTTGTCCATGACAAAAATCTCCATACAATTCAGATATTTAAAGCGAGTTATTAAAGTAAACACGCCGTATTTCCCTTACGCCTACTTCCTATTTTGACAATTTCCTGTCTATTTGAATACGCTTCTAAGGATGTTGAACAATTCTTTCAGCAAAACAGGTTCAATTGTGCTATTTCTTAAGCAAGGATTACTATTACTGAAGAACCGAGCGTGTCGTTTCTCGGTGCAGTCAAAGTGACATATTTTATTTGTTTTAGTTTCGTTAGTATGTGTAGTTGATACATTATAGTTCGGTTTCATTTCAGAGAATTGTTTTCATAAACCATTATTCACTTGTAATACTTGGTGTAATCTTTCTTTTGATGTTACAGTGCCCAAGTTCAGTCATTATTCCTCCAGCGGTCAGCACAACAATGTGTCCCACAAGAATCAGGCCAACACTCAAACCACTCAGGTAGGGAATTCCTCAAAAGTTACTTTTCTGGTACACTAACCCTAACGTACCTGAATCCATCAAAATCCACACCCCTGTTTTGGGGGATTTTTGGCGGATTCAGGATACCACCATATTTAAAAAAGTTGAGGGATTTTGATGGATTCAGGACATGAGGCCCAGCGATACTGCAGGATTTTGATGGATTCAGGATACCTCCATATTGACCAGTTGGGGGACATTGATGGATTCAGGATCTCAACAGATTTACTCCCGGCTAACTGGTGGATTCTAATGGACTCACTGGCCACCAACATTTTTTTTGCATGTCAAAATTGATGGATTTTGGCAGATTCAGGGTACTTTCTAGTAAATATACCCAAGGGTTAGGGTTAACCCAAGATTAGGACAGTGTGAAACTAGGCTTTGGTGATTCCAACAATTATGGAATTGATTCAGATTTTGGCCAGGAGTCGCACTTCAATTCATAATCATATCCATATCAACCCCAAAAAAGACAAAAACCTCAGAAAATATCAATAGTGAACCATTGTAGTTGCGTGCAGATGCAAGATCATTAGGAATTGTAATCTGTCTCAAAAAAGTTATTTATTTTGCCACCTGAATTATATTTTGAAGTTTTGGAGTTGAATCTCTGGGATGAGATTAATACAGTGATTCATTTGTCACAATTCTGATTTTCAGAATTGTCTCTTCAATTTTTGCTTGAAATCCCCAAAGCAAGAATTGAAATTTCCACGATGTCCTGCGTATGGGCGCCTTGCACAAGTACTCCTTCAACGGCCACAAAAGGAGAGTTGGGGGAATGATCCAAAGTTATTTGGAATCATCCAAAGTTTATTGGGGCAGGGATTAGTCTGGGAGACGATCGCTAGTAAAATTCTAACATAATCGCGCGCCGGCGACGCCTGATGCTCACTTGAAAAAATACTGTGGCTGATAGCTTTGGCACATTCAGGAAGTCGTGCGTACTTCGCACTTGAACCAGTACGCGCACGCTGTGTGCCCCTTCCACGGTGCTCTAAAAAGTGGTAAAAACGTGCCCTCTTTTGATGTCGCACCGAGCCCATAACATTAACAACATGTGATTAATTGTAACCCTCTGCAGGATTGAGGGCGGCACAGCTAAGCAATTATTGATTCGTTTAAATGAGGCTTGAAAGTTTATAGTTGTAAAATTATAACATTAGGTTCCTTATCAGAGGTACATTTTTTCGAGGAATTGGCAAGGTCACTATTAACCCTCTTGCTGTCTGAACAGTCACAGACAGTCAAAAAAAATCAATCCTCTCCCCTGCCATGCCTTGTACACAGGCCAGTCACCGGCAGTCAGATCATATTTCAAACAAGCACTGTGACAAGTCAAATCGGTCAACAGACAAAAGCAGGGAAGTGGTAGGCACAGCTGGCTCATCAATCACCTACAGTAAAAACATAGCTGCATCAAGTTACATAAACAGTCACAGCCAGTCAATCCTGCTGAATGTAAGCCTGGGTTCTTTAATGTTGAAAACAGTCACTTGATTGATTTTGACTGAAAGGACAACTTTGCACAGAGTGCATGTTTGCAAAGGAGGGTTAATAGTGATTGGTTGCAGAACCTGCTGCTACATCAGATTTCAACCGGCCAGCCGACCCAGGCAAGCTTGGTGGTTGGGTGGTAAGAAGGCAGGAGATTGTGGGTTCAAGACCCATTTGAGTGAGCTTGTGAATTGTTCTCACAAGCCCTCGGACAAAAGTAAGACAACTACATTCATGAACTTACATCACTGAAGGGCAAAACCCACTTAGAGTGAGGGAGATTGCTAGCTGAAAAATACCTAGGAGTCAATGTTACAGCTTCCTGACCTGATCTTCTTTTTTGTTGGATTTTGTAGGAGTCGGCCGCTCCACAGATCGTTGTCCAGGCCCCTGAACAGCCGCAGTCTGACTTGGAAAAGGTAGGCTGTAATTCCAATGTTCTCTGTGTTCAATGTGCAAAAAACAGATTACAAACTTTAGTGACAAACAAGATGCATTTTGGTTCACGTTCTTTTCTGCAGTCTGCTGAATTTTTTTTTAATGTGAGCATAATACCCAACTCTTTACTCCATTTTGTCTTCAGTAATATTGAGTTCTTCATGTGCTATACTCCTGAAGATTGATACGCAAAATAACACAGTGGAGAATTATTGTCAGGACACGCCCATTTCAATATAAGAACCTTAACTTAATATATAACTTGTGGAAGACTTACTTCTTGTAGGCGGTGTCTCATTGAAAATTTCCTAACTTGCCTGATGTATAAAACATGCTGGATGTTTAAAACAATAGTAATTCAATTTGGAAATATATTTTTAAAGCTGACACACCCTAAAAAGAATGGATATCGGTTAGTGGAAACACTTATCTGATACACCGTGCCCTCTGGAGACATGCACACAATAGGGAACAAAAGATTGTATACGCCTTCACAGGGCAATTTCTATAGATGAATACATCTCCACAAGGTTTTCACGAAATATGGATTTTACTCAAAAACTTGGTATTTCCAAGGTGGAGTGATCCGTCGCAAATGGAAGAGTTTTAGAAAAGGGATATTAAGTCCAAATTTCAGCCAAGGAAATTAATTCTGGTTAAAATAAGAGCATTTTGAAACTACACTTTCAAACTCGAAAACTTAACTACACGAGAACAAAGAAATGTCTCCACAGGGATACAAATTTCAGTATCTTTGAGTATGCAGTGTTTATGAAATACGTCGGTGAAGGGCACAACCCACTATTGAATTTACATCACCTGGACGCAAATTCCATCTTATAAACTAAGACGTTCGATTTCCAGCAGAAGGAATTGAGGTTTCTGGGATTTTCGTTTTTGGTTTCAGGAATTGACGGACGACATCCACGCACAGATGGAGGAAGACCTGGAGCAACGAATGACCGATATGACCTTAGAGACCATCGAGGATAGCCTGAGTGAAGGGGAAGGGACGGAGGGCAAAGCAGGCAGCCAACAGAGGTAGGCACTGACCAGGCTAGCCTGGTCACAAGAAATTAACTGTTGAAAATTGTTTGGAAACGCGAGGTCAACGCCTGAAAACTAGGGGAGTCAGGTTGGCACAGTGGAAGTTTCCTTGCAGTCCTTGGCCCGAGTTGGAATCCCTCCCAGTGGTTTGGAGAGCTTCCCCTTAGTAGCCTCTCAGGGGTTTTCCTCCCACATCTAAAACTGAACATTTCTTCATTGTCTTGTCCCTCTAGCTTTCTTCAAGCTTCCAAGCTACAGGACTTGTGCACTATTTAAGAATTCTTGATGTCATTACGTGCAAGAATATAAATTTAACCCTAACTCCCTAGGCCTTTTTACTAGGATGTAGACTCAATCCTGCAAAATCCTCCAATTGGCCTCATGAAAAAATAGCATATAGCCTCAATCCTGCAAATTCCTCCATTATTTCTTGAATATGGTCCATGGAGGGGTGACCACTGCCTAAATCCTGCAAAATCCTCCAGCTATGACTGTCAATAGGCTGAGGCAGAGGTAGTGACATCCTGGAGCAGTGCGGAGGATGTCAAGTATAATCAAGGACTAAATTTATGCACGGCTGAGCATAAACAACACAAGGTCCGGCCTAAGACCTTGACACAGTGCGTCCTCCGAAATCAGCAATGCACTTTTGCCATGTAACCTCAATCCTGCAAATTCCTCCAATTTGCAAAAAGGATTTTGGAGGATTCAGAGCGGTTAGGGTTAAGAAATACATAAATAAATAAATGAAGACTTTTCACAAGTACTCAGTTTTTAAAATCCAATCGCATTTTCAGTAAGAAATTACTACCGACTGAACTTTGTAAGCAGGCCACTGACCCTTGAAAAAGATACTTATTTAAGACTCTCTTTTTTTTTTTTCATTTGGAGTGTTAAATCGAATGTTGGTATATGTAGCTGTTTACTCTGATATTATTAAATTAATTTTCTGCTTCTGTTTGTAGGCCCCAGACGTCAACACGCAGTAAGACTTCACAGGTAAGATATTTACCTGGATAAGTATTCATGGTTTCATGGCTGAACTTTGCTGACCCCAGATTGCTCTATATTTGCGACCCACCTCTAGAAAACTGCAGCTGTATTGAGAGACGCAGCAAATAATACGTGGAATATTGATAAAAATTGGAAACTTAAAATACCGATACCTTTGTCAGATTTTGTCTGATTCCCATCTTCCACACGTCATTGGATGTCTTCTCCAATGTGCCCAAAATCCCAATTTTTAGAAATTCGTCCGAGTGACTGGTTTTGTACTGGGCCCAATTTCACAGCGCTGCTAAGCACACGATTTTCTGCTAATAGAGCCTCCGTCTATTTCATGGAGACCGTAAGCATAAGCACAGCAAAAGGCACGCTTACTTCAGAGGAAAATTTGCTTAACTTAGTGATGTAACAATAAAAATCTCCATGTACGCGCGACCGTTAGCACATCCACGCCGTGAAATAGTGCTTAAGGTTAGCTGTGCTAAACACAACTTTTCTGCTAGCTGTTAAGCAGCGCCGTGAAATTGGGCCCTGGAGGGTGACATTTGACAATTTTTGATATCTGGAGAATTTCAACCTGTCGTTTCATCCGATTTGCCAGGATCCCCAGCTACCTTCCTCCAGCAGCAGCCTCTCCTCCAAGCCACCCACGACGTCCTCAACGACCGAGGCCCAGTCATCAGACACCTCCTCCACCACCGCGACCTCTCGTTCCTCCATCCCCTCCCTGATGGAGCAACCCATCCTCCCTTGCCTGCTGGTGGAAGCCCCGCCCCTCCCCTTCGTCGCTCCGGAGGTCTTGAGGATAGCTAAGCATCGGCATGAGACGGGAACCATGATGGCCCAAGTGGCCCAGGCACTCAGATGGGTAAGAAATCCTTCACACAAGGATTGTCACATAGGAATCATTAAACCCTAATAACTCTTTGTCCGGGGTTCCTAGCCACACTGGAAATCGAATTTCTGGTCAGGGAAAACTCAGGGAATTTGGGAAAAACACCAAAAATCAGGGAAAACTCAGGGAATTTGGGAAAAACACCAAAAATCAGGGAAAACTCAGGGAATTTGGGAAAAACACCAAAAATCAGGGAAAACTCAGGGAATTTGGGAAAAACACCAAAAATCAGGGAAAACTCAGGGAATTTGGGAAAAACACCAAAAATCAGGGAAAACTCAGGGAATTTGGGAAAAACACCAAAAATCAGGGAAAACTGGGGGAATTTGGGAAAAACACCAGAAATTAGGGAAAACTTGGGGAATTCGTCAGTGACACAGAAGGGAAAGGTTGTTGCCCGTTGGCGTATGTGCCTCTTGTGCCATGTCTTCAAATTGTGTCCACTGACTGACTGGCTATGGTGGCTTTTTAGTGTTCATGCAGTGTGAATATTACACACCTTATTATTTTAGGCTTATTTGGTCACTACCTGTGCTGTGTGTGATTGTCATAATCGTGCCGACCCAGCACTGGGTGTTGGCTCTGTGTTTTTCTCACGAATTTTGCCATCCACAGCTTTGAAGGCTTGCCTACTACCTACTGCGTGTGGCCTTTATGATCTTTGCCTACTACAATGGCGACGCTTAATTTCTGGTAGAAAGCTCTATAGCTTGTACTTAACTTGATACTTATATACTTGCAATTGAACTGTTACGGTCTTACTAGAACATGACTACAAGGCTGTATATTTTGTCTCCTGCTTTCTAGGGTGAGATTAAGATTGGTGTGACCCTGGAGGATGAGATGAGTGGTGAGTTTCCTCTCTCCACCCATCTTTTCCGGCCGATCCGTCAGAAGGTCTACGGCATCCTCTTCAGCTGTCAGCATCTCAAGGAGGTCAATGGTAAGTGTGATGGCTCACCAACCAGTAACTCATGCAAAAATATACAAACACAGACATGTGTCTGTAAATGCATTCTTGGCACACAGTACATATCCTACCCAGACTCCTTGATGAAACTGGAACTTGAGCCTCTTCATATAAGCCGACGGCAAATCTGCAGAGACTTTGCCACAAAAGCATGTACATCTCCGCAGTTCTCTGAGTGGTTCCCTCCCTCTGAGTACAGATCCTCAATGTCTCTCAGAACCCAAACTAGATTCAAACCATATAGGTGCAGCACCAACAGATTCAGGACTAGCCCCCTGCCTTACATGACTGAGTTACTGAATGGGAAAGAGTGCAATTACCCACTGAATCCACCATCGTCAATCGTTTATTTTGTGATTTGTCTGTTGTGCTGTATATTCATATATCTAATGTTTCATCTCTCAATTAAAATTCAAATTATACTTGTCTTTTTTTTCAATTCTGTAAATTTCATGTAATTCAGCATTTGGCTGCGATATGATTTTTATGAAATAAACCAATGATTTTACTCCTCATTTAATTGTCTGTCATACAATTGCACTGGAGACCGTCAAACATAGATCAGCCTTTTTTTTTTTTCAACGAAAATGATACCCAATGAAAATGATACCTTTAGCTTATGGTGGAGTACACTTTATCCTTTCACTGTGTTTGTTTTAAGAATTCCATTGTATTGTTTAAAACAGCAATTACAGGGAGGTTTGTGGCAGTTTGACAAATAAACAGCAGGGCGGTTTAGAGGGTTTTGAGGACTTAAATATTGAATGTTGCTTTTTAAGGATCGAACCCTGGTAGTATCTGTCCCCAAAAAAACTGTTTTTGGTATTAGCAGAATGAGACAATTGTATTACTTGAGTGCACTTTGATGACATGTGTGCACATACGTCTTTCAGACAGCTGTTCGTTTAAGTTGTTTTTACAAATCACAATAACATTGCATATTACATGTACAAAGCAATGCTTTCCAGAAATTGCCTTGCCTCAACCCAAACTTGGCATTTTTGCCAACACTGTTGGTAATATACAGTAGTCCAAAATAATGCTCGAACTAAATTTTTTGTGTGGAATTTTCAGTAGATTACCGCTGTACCGAGCATCAAGCTACAACGAACACCCCTTTTTGGCTCTGAAATTTTAAGTACAGTTATATTGAACACTGGTGGCTAAAAATCACTTCAACAAAAACTGACATATTGAACAATCCTTTGTGGACCCCAATGTGTTAATATTGAAATTCTACTGTCTTTCAATTCGTCTTTGATCCAGGGAGCGGTGAGATGCCCAAGGTGGTCCTGAAGGAGTGGCTGATCCGCCGTGAATCCACCCTCCCTAAGCCGGACCTGGTAGAAGCCACGCCCATGGAGTGGTTAGTCCCGCCCATCCAGCGGCTGTGGCTGGGCCGTGAGCCTGAAGACAAGACTATGAGGTTGAGGGCGTTCTTGTCCTGTATGTACAGTGACTCCCCGGCTATGCTCAAGACCACCTATGTACCCAGGCATGCTATCATACTGTGCTGTGTACTCAGGTATGCTTGTTTTTTAAAAGAAAAAATGCCATTTACAGAAGAAAAACAGACTTGAATTTTTAAATTAGCATAAATAGCTTGTAGAAAACTTTAAGGTGTGGAGTTAGTCTGTACAGCATTTCTCAAAGTTTGGTCTTTAATTCTGCCTTACAAAGGGGCCCTTCGTGCCTGTCAGTTGAAGAGTGCAAATTGACCAATTAGTTGATTTAGTCAGCATTTGCAACTGCAGTTGGAAAATTAGTCAGCACATAAAGGACTTGTCCATCTAGGAACATTAATCTGCTGAGCAGAGCCATCTTTTATTGGCAAATGCAGAACTCTTTAAGCTCTACACTAGCGGCAATTCGGGTGATTCACAATGCAGTGCGCCACCAAGACTTTGCCACGAAGAGTCCATTTTTCAAGTGTACGGTCGACAAAGCATGGCCCATTTGAATGAGTGTCGGTAGACAACTTGAGCTAATATGTCATAGATTGGGGCATAGCGTTCTGCCACCTTTCAAAAAAACACCATATTGATAACAAGAAAAGAAAAGGGCAAACAGATCCTTGAATCATATGCTTACGAAGCCACTGACCAGAAAAACTAACAATTTCAAATATCCCGCGCTCTGAATTTGTTGACCATCTCCCACAATGCACTGGGAAAAATGAACTCTCCGTGGCAAACGCTTGGTGGCGCACTGCATTGTGAATCGCCCGAATTGTTTGGTATAGGGACCTCCATTATGGTAATGTAGGAATGCAGACCACCCCTAGAGTCAGATGAACCATCTCCACGTCCCCCTATGCTACTGGCCATGTCGGTTGGCAAACTGCCTTTTACACTGCTACCCATCTCCATCAAGCCTCCACCCCTCTCCCCTCCCCCTCCCCCCCCCCCCCCCCCCCCCCCCCCCAAAAAAAGCCTTTGCTACGCCCTTGGCAAAGAGGAAAATAATTTTTTTTGAAAACACTTGGAATCTTCTTAAATTGTATGGATCATAGTCAGGTCGTCTTTGTCATCTTAAAATGCCGAGAGTCTGTGAAGCAAAGTGATTGGATGGATTTTTTGACGTTCATTTTTCAGGTACATGCTTCACTTCAGTCCTCCCATTCTCAGGAGACATGAGTTAGATGCTCTCCTGGCTCAGAGTGTCTCCCCATGCCTCAACCAACCGCAGACATTACAGGAACTCAGGGTGAGTGCCAAGACAAGTCACTCATTCCTCAGTCTGCTAAAGCTGACCGTCAAACAACTAGTTACTCAATCAGCCGTTTGGTCAGAATAATCTGTCAGTCACTCAGTAATCAGTTCATCCCGGCTAGTCAGTTGATAAGTTGTCAATCAATCAATTCATCTGCCCAGATTGATCACAGAGCTATATCAAATTACTAGACTGCTTAGGGGAGAATGCAAAAATGAACAGGCGGGAACTTGAGGTTTACCTTGAGGTTTACCTTGAGGTTTACCTTGAGGTTTACCTCGAGGTTTACCTCAAGGTTTACCTCCAGGTTTACCCCGAGGTTTACCTTGAGGTTTACCTTGAGGTTTACCTTGAGGTTTACCTCAAGGTTTACCTCAAGGTTTTACCAGGTTTAGCAGGGTTTTGTGGGGTACCTCAGGGTGAAACCTTGGGTTACCCCTTGTTTAATTTTGCTTTCTTGCCTTACTTCTCACTCCTTGCATAGAAGACTATCAGGCGCATTCTGAGTGCATTTAGAACGAATGTGCATGATCGTAGAACATATTAAAGTTACTTAGAATGGAATTTTACCAATGGTTCTGAATGCCGCGAAAGAGTACAATGAACGCTACTGTGTAGGCGTAGTTTCACAAGTTGATTAAATCATTTTTGAACATAGATGTTGTTTTTGCAGATGGAAATGAAATGCTTATTAACCTTAACCGAACTCAACCCATCAACGCTCAACATCTGTTAGAATGAGTACAGTACCCCTAAACTGATAGTCTTTTACATGTACATTGGGTTTGGCATACCTCCAGAAACTAAGTCCAACAGTGTGTGTGTACAATTTCCCATGTGGGTGTTGGAATTTGCCAGGATGGGTATGGTTCCTAGTAAATTATGCTAGGGAGTTAGGGTTAATCAATTGTGCGGTTTGCTTTACAAAACAATGGCGTTGATATGGCATACTGAATGCACTCTTTCAATTTCTCCGTTTTTTTTGTAAATGATGTTAGGTTCCTAGCATTACAGCCCGCGGTGTGCAGTTAGCAGCGATCTTCATGCGCGGTGTGGAGGCGGCGTTATTCGCCAACGATGCCTGTGGCGCACCCATCCCGTGGGAGCTGTGCTGCCCGTGGCTGTACTTCGACGGCAAGTTATTCCAGTACAAGCTGCACCGCGCCATGACCGGCAGCAACCTGAGGGACCTGTGTGATGGCAAGGTACTAACGCTAGTTACTCAATCCTGGTTAATCGTGACCTTTGACATTTTTAATCTGGTTAATACAGACCTGTGAATCCGACCTTGAGAATACTGATGATTGGAATTTTTAGTTACTCAACCCTGGTTAATGGTGACCTTTGACATTTTGAACCCAGTTAATGCAGACCTGTGAATCTGACCTTAAGAATACTGAAGATTGGAATTTTTAGTTACTCAACCCTGGTTAATGGTGACCTTTGACATTTTGAATTGGATTAATACAGACCTGTGAATCTGACCTTGAGAATACTGATGACTGGAATTTTTAGTTACTCAACCCTGGTTAATGGTGACCTTTGACATTTTGAACCCGGTGAATGCAGACCCGTGAATCTGACCTTGAGAATACTGACGATTGAAATTTTTAGTTACTCAACCCTGGTTAATGGTGACCCTTGACATTTTGAACCCGGTTAATACAGACCTGTGAATCCGACCTTGAGAATACTGACGATTGGAATTTTTAGTTACTTAACCCTGGTTAATGGTGACCTTTGACATTTTGAACCTGGTTAATGCAGACCTGTGAATCTGACCTTGAGAATACTGACGTTTTTGAATTTTAAGTCTGGTAAATTGAGACGGAACTGGGAACAAGCCTTAGTAGAGAAAAATTCAAACAAACCAACTAGTGTGATTTTTTCCCTTCAATTTTCAGATTTATTGATATGTGCATGTAATCTTTGATATGTCTGCTCAACATCTTTTTTTTAAAAATAGTATAAAATTTGTGGAATAATTTTTTTTAAGGGAAAACAATTAGCATCTTTCATTTTCGCGACTACCAAGCAGTCGAAACTTTGAAGACCTATTTCTCAGTATTTTACTTTCTTTGACATCTCGATAAATGCAAACTTTAAACAGCTATAACTTGTCAACGGAATGTCCGATAGAATTGTAACAAACATTATTGTAAGGAGAATTTTGTTCTCTTTCCTAATACCTGCAAACCCTCATTTCGACCTCTGCCCTGTTCTGTCTTAATTTTGCCAGAACGCCTTGCAAATGCCGCTCGGTAGGCATTAGAAAGTCATCTTCATATTTTCACTTTTTTTCTGTCTCCCTCTTCCATCGATCATCTAACCCTCCCCTCCCCCTCCCCCCCCCCCCCCCCCCCCTCCCCTAGATGGACCAAGTAGGTAAAGTAGAGCGCATGCGTCAATGCATCCAGGAAGGCGTCCACATTGACTTTGCCCGGCCAGTCATTCCTCACATGGGCCACCCCCATCAGTTCCCACCACAGGAGTATTACTACAACTTCCGGCCGGCCGGTGCCGGCGTGCCACAGATCCCTCCGCAGATGGGCCGAGGCAGGGGCATGCCAGGTAGGCTTGACGTTTCAGACTTGTTCAACTTTTTTTCATTTGTTGGTGCTATAAGGTCCTTCTTTACATTTAGGGTCGTAAGTGTGACATTTTTTCCTGTCCCTGTTACCTTGGTACTTTGTAATTTGCCATTCAAGTATCATTGACCAGTTCGCGCCGGAGGACGTGATAACACGCATTGGCTGTTTTTATACACAGGCACAGCTGACGGGTTAAGACGTCAATATTGCCTCCACTCGTCTCCGGGTGACGTCTAAACACGCTAATCCCTCGTGCCTTTTGTACACACACACAAAGTCTGTGAAGTCTGTGGAGGCGGACTGTGTGTTAATCTTGAATTGGCCGTTGTGCACGGCCTATTGTTCAATTTACGCTCCAGTGCGCACCCAGGAGTATTGAAACATACAAGGTTTCGGCAAGAAATATCGTACAAATACTGTTGAAATGACTCTTGCGAACCAGTATTTGTGGCGTTTGCTTGTATATCAGAAGTTTGCTTGAAAATTTTGCATTTTGCAAAAATCAAAAGTTTCGGCAAAAATAATCCCGGCGCGAAGTGGTTGAGCATGACTTCAAATTTTTTTTGTATTTGGTGGGTAGGTAGTTTGCTATTCATAATCACTCTTGGAGGACGACTGCATTAAGGAGTGCATCAGAATTATACAATCATAGATGTCAGATGTAACAGGGACAGGACAAAGTGGACCCAAAATTTATAGAATGGGCCATAAGCTACTTGTAACTCCAGCTTTTAGTGACTCTGGGGTATTTAAGTTTGTCATTATTTTCACACTTCTATTTGTGTTGTTCATTGTATTATATAATTTGCTGGTCAAAGAAAAATGTTGATCTATATCATGTGTTCACTATTTTTTTTAAAGAATTGGCTGTTGTGATAGTATACAAGTATTGAGTGGAACACAATTTAAAGCCACTCAATATTTGTTTTATATAACTGACATATAGCTCCTTGTCATTTGATATGTTTGAACTTTCATTTCACTACAAAATTGGTGAAAAATGTATTTCTCTCTTCCAAACCACCCCAACGCTGTAGCGCTGCCTCTTTGGAACAATACGCACACCAGCATGCATTTGCACACAAATACCGCGTCATGGAACAAGACTGATCCTAACTGTTCAATAGTATTTCCCATTCCCCATGGGCGGATAGGACTTTTTGAGCCCCGGCGTGAATGGCAGTAATAACGAATGACACGTGATGTGAGTTCCACCAATCAAATGACAAGGATCTGTATGTCGGTTATATAATGGTCGCTAGTTTCATAGTTTGGTTTTATTTATTATTGTTCAAAAGTGGGTTCCAAGGTGCTTAAAATGTAATTTGAGAATTTGAGTAATTGAAACCTTTTAACTAAAATGTTGACTTAATACCGTTAACGTTTTGACCTTTCAGTTAGTCCCTTTATATGGTGTATCCAATAAGTCCCTGAAATTGAAACTGTTTGAGTCATGAATACTTAAAACACTGATTTCAAGCGATTCCTGTTTACATGAGTTTGTGTATGACCGTGTGTATGTCCCTCTCTGTCACCGTGTCTGTCTAGGCAAGCGACCTCCTGTACCTGGTCCTGGGGGTCGTTTAGAGGTCGCCGGGGTCGTCGTTGGTGAATGGGCAGGAAGTGATGGGTCAAGGGGCAGAGGGTAAGTGGGGAAAAAACCTTACAGGCCAGAAGATAAGCAGATTTCCAAGTTTTCAATCCTTTTTCTGAATTTCTTTTGGCAAGGACTACATTTAACAATTCGAAAGTTACTGTCCTGTGCTTTCAACTTTTTTAGGGCCTTATAACTAATAAGTGTTTCTTAGTTAAAGACATTTGGTTTTGAGTTTCGTAAAAGGTTAGTACGGACAGAAAAAATTAAGACATTAGGCCAACAAAAAAAAGTCTCCGGTTTCTGGTATGGAGCTTGCCCAAAAAGTGGTGCGGCGATGCGGCTTTTTTTTTGTTTTACCTGTTTTTTTTTGCTTCAATTGTCGGCTGATGACTGCAAATGGTGCCCGACTAAACTTAAGTGCAAGTATTATGGGAGACCAGAGAGGCCACATAAAGCTTATTCTCGATCATAACCCCATCTAAAAACACGTTAAAATTGTGCAGCAGCAGGATTCCAGTCAAACCAGTGAGTTTGGCGGTTTTGAGACATCATCTTTCATTGAAAAAAAACTTTTTCATTTTGCCGACGCGCATGGCTACGGCGACGCGCGCGCATACCAGAAACCGGAGACCTTTTTTTTTTGGCCTTACAGATAACTTGCGGGGTTTTCAGTCTTTTAAAATTTCACTATTTTTCAAAAGTTTTTGTAAATCACTTAAACTTTACTTTGCCCGGTACCCGTCCAGTGGTATGTATTCAGGTTCAGGCACAGCAGTGAGAGGGGGCCGGCCAAACCAGAGAGGAGGTATGGGACGCGGTACCTATGGCAACGGAGCAATGCATGGGTACTTCCCAGCTGGACCACAACAGATGTGGGGCGTACCAGACGCAAGGGTGAGTAACTCTTCCCCCCCCCCCCCAACACCCTCAACCACACCCCTCTAGAGCCTCCTAGTGCTGTCAATTTGTGGTGTACCACTTCATGTAATGCGCATTCATAAGCCAATGTGGCCCATCAGGCCGGCGTTTATCTCCGGTTTCCTTGGCATGAAACGACTGAGAATATTTCTATTCCCCCTGGATGGGATGCGAGTCCATCGCAGGTCACTCCCCAGCTAATGCCGGTACCCATTTGTACTCCTAGGTGGAGAGAGGCAAGTGGGGGTGAAATGGCTTGCCCAAGGAAACAACATATGGCCAGCAGCTGGATTCGAACCCCTGACCCTCTGATCATTTGTCACGAACCCTAATCACTAGGCCAAACCATTCGTAAAAAGCTCCTGTGTAATTTAAAGTAAAGTGTTGTTCTGACAATAACCACAGTAAACGTTTCTCGTGCTGAAAGTTGACAAGTTGCAATTGTTGTAGTCGAGGTCAATGATGGATTACAAGTCATCATAAGTCTGGTCATAAGTAAATCTCGAGTCAACGGGGATACAAAAAAGCCAAGGATTGCCTTTGTTCCAGTTCATTTGAAGAGATTGTCACTTAACTTGAGACTGGAGGATTGGGAGGATTTGGGACGGAGTGGATTGCAAATTGCAACTCTGCACCCGATTTCACTAAATGATGCGACGCATTGCAACTCGAGTTCACGTCGCAACTCGCAATGCGTCGTACAATCCATTGCACGAAACTTGCGATGTGTTGAACACGTCGTAAGTTCCTTGACAACGGCTTAAAACACGTCGCAAGTTACGACATGTCTAGTGGTCATCGCGAAATAAGAAGAGTCCTTTTCTTAGCCAGTTTTATGCCTTAAAATCACATAAACAGGATTATAATACCGAGGCAATGTGTGTAAAGTTGTGTATAGAAATTCATTGAATAATTATGAAATAGCCTGGAATATTGCAGTTAAAATTTCAAAGTAGCTATACAGTCCTCTGAGAGCTTGTTTTCCTTTAAAATCGCATCACATGGCTGCCACTTCATTTGACGTTTTAACAAATTTTGGGTGGAGATCCGATGACTCTTTGTTGAATTTCAGACGACTATTTACTGTACGCTGACTAAATACATAAAATAGTCACCGAGTTGTGCTATAAATATACCTCCGACGCGTCGCACTTACGACATGTTTTGTGAAATGGATCGCAGGATGCGTCGCAGCTGCGACGCATCGTAGAGATACGACGCGTCGCTGTGCTGCTAAGTATTGTAAGTTACGAAAGTTTGATGAAATCGGGTGCAGGCCATTTTTTTGCCATTGTAATTTCTTGATTCCCAAATTCGCCTCACATTTGTGTTCCAGTGAAGTCTGGACTGACATATATTGTGGAGACTTGCAAATCTGTAATCCAGTTGCATTGCATTGCTTTATGTAAACAGGTTATGGAGCTGACACATTGTGAGGATTCCTTTTTATCTTATAATTTTCAGCAGCAACAGCAACTTTACGGGGATCCCGGGCCTGGCTACCGACGGCAGAACCAGAGCAAGCCCAAGCCTAAGAAGACCCAGAGAAATAACGGCGACGGAAGCGGCGTAGGCAAAGGACGAGGCAGGGGCATGACCATCGAGACCGAAGAACCGTCAGCCGGGGGCGCTGCAGACACTGAGAGGGTCGAAGAAGAAGAAGAAGGGTACGCGGTGGAGGAACAGGCCAAATTGAGCGCGTCGGATTCGGTCAGTGATACCAGCAGCTCGGAGGAAGACGTACCGGGAGCCTTCAGCGACGCCAAGGAGACCCTGTCACCGATGACCGACTTCAACCCCGCCCCGACAGACTTTCAAGGTGCCTCGGAAGACGTGGTGTCGAGTTACCACGAAGGTGGATATGATCTTCCTGGTACCCACCACGCGGGACCACCTTATAATGGGGGTGTGGACACCGTGCACGCCGAGGGCGGAGATGTGGGAGACCCGTAAAAACGAAAACCGAGGATCTCTTTGCTCGTTTCTCTTCTGTTTGTTTTTTACTGATGGAAATTAAAAAAGATAGGATGAGAGTTAATATTTTTTGGATTGATGTGTGCTGAATGGATGTTGGCAACAAACAAAACAAATTTATAATAAAATTATGAGGAAAAAAAACAGATGATGTAAAAAAAAAAAAAATGTGAAGGTTATTGAAAAGGGAGGCGCTTTTTTCCCTATGAAATAGGGAAAAAAGTTGCCGGGTTTGGAGCGCTAAAAATTCTTGAGTGGTTTAGTGACTGCAGTTTTTGTACCAACTTGTTATCTTAACCCTCGTGTTAGATCTCTTTGTCTCACCACTAGAGGGCGTCCTTGCTCTTTTGGGGGCAGCGAGTAGTTGGTAATAGATGCATGTGGCTTTTTGTATATCCATCCATCACACATCAGCGGTAGGTCAAAGGTCATGACCTTTGACATCAACTCATCTCGGCAGCTGCGTTCATATCATCTGAGCACTAAGAATGATTCCGCGGTCTCGGTGGTGGTTCACGTTGGAACTTTTGGTGGAATTTGGCAAAGATACTAGGGGCATTATCTTGTATTTGTCTCTGCTTCGATCAGCATAAACAGAGTAGTAAAGTTGAGGTCGGTTTATGTGAAACACAAAACCTTCAGCGTTGCCCGAAATCTGTACGTCACCGTTAGTTCTGAGTACATTTGGAATGATTGTCATAAACTCTATGGATTAGCATTGTCATGTGAACACACGATTCTGAAAGTAACCCGGTAAGTGTCACTCAGATAAAGTCTCTGGAAAGTTTCAAAAGGGCAAACAGGTTAGGGACGAAATTTGTAACCAAGTGCAGTGATGAAATGGGGCCCGTATCGTCACAAAAACCTTCGACACGAAGCTAAAAAAGTAGTTCGTTTGTTAGTTTTGGTGGAACGAAACGGACTTTAACCATATGTACATTCAGCTTGACATATCCGTACTTGATATGCAGAGTATTGCAAGCAATGTCACATTTTTATGCACATTTTACCCACAACGACATAGTGCCTTTTGAAAAAACAAAACAAAAAACTCCTTGAGAGAATTCCGCCTTCCTCCAGGGCCTGACATTTTGACTGTCACTTCTTGATTCCTACTATGCAGCACAGCACAGTTTTTTTTTGTATTTCTAAACAACCCCTTTGATAAAAGAGAGTTTTTTCTTTCTTGTACAGCCCTTTCTTAAAAGAAAAAAAGAACAAATATGGCCTTCATTTGATAAAAGACGAACTCAGGTTTTGCTCATGTTGTTTACAGTACATAAAGAAAAATTATCAAAAGGAGACCAAATCATACAAACATTGAAAATGCAAATTTGGAAGATGGTAATTTAATCCCCGTTAGACAAATCGGTAAGTCCAGTCCAAAGATCCAAAAATCCACTATTGCCCGTTGCTTGTTGCATTCGCATCAAGAAAGGGAAAAAAAAATACTGGGAAAAACGCAGCAGTTTCTGGAAGGAAGCATTTGTCAGAGTAACGATCATCTTCCTTGCTCGCAAACATTGTTGCAACCATGCATCAGGATCCAAGGAATAGGGGGGGGGGGGGGAACATCTGGGAGCTTGTCACATTGCCTTGTCTAGTTCCCAGATCAATTTACTTGAAACTCAATGGTTCTTGAGTCTGGAGTGCTGAATGGTAACTCATCGCAACCAGTGAAACTGGTGTGCAAATGAATAGAGGTTTTCGCTGGCTGTAGTAATCCCGCCCCTACTTATTGGGGGGGGGGGGGGGTAACAGCCATCAAAATAAGCCCAGCATTTTTCTCAAGACTCAGATAAACTGAGACTCAATAGAATTTGGTAAAACAAAAAAACCCTTACATGAGGGGACGAATTTATGCAATTAGGCCCATCAACTGAGAACTGTAGTGGTTCTTATTTTGATAAATACTGTGTTGTGTATAGCAGGCAAGCATAGGTCGTTGTCAGCAGTCAAAATGAATGTTAGCCTATACTGTGTTGTCTTTGCGCACGCGAAAAAAATGTTACCGACGCAAGAATTTTTTTTAAAAACTGTTGTGGGTCATTGTGCATTTTTGGAGAAATCTGTTGCAAAAATGTGTGACAAGAAAGACTTGTTTTATTTTCAAGTTAGATAATGTTATATATATGATGCCATATCATGATTATTGCTGTTTCGATTGTCGTCTGAAAAAAAACCTGCTGTAATTTTAAGCTTAGTATTTATTTGCGTTATTTTTTAACGTGTATCATGTTAGGACTACAGGGAGCTAGGCTGATTTGTGTGAACGGACATATGGCCCAAGTATTTGTAGTTCGCGGCTGCTGTTATGTCCGTGCACGCAAGATGTACAGCGCCCCCTGTAGTCAAAACACGGCCAATCCGGTTCAAGTGGTCGTTCATGAGATTTTGGTTTGATATCTTGAACGTTATCACAGTGTTGAATATCACAATCTTTTCATTTGAGATAAAAAATTAACCATCTTTTTTTTTGGGCCAATCTGTTTAAAGTCACATTAATAAACCTTTTTAAGTGGAAAAACAAACTTTGGTAATTAAAAATTGACTGAAAATTTAATCCTAACCGTATTAAGTAATGAATTAAGGATTTGTAGAGAAAAGTCCACCAATATAAGTGTAAAGAAAAAAAAAAGTAACGAAAAGTGAAGATTTTGTGAGATTTGATTGTCCATATGTAGACACAATAGTTAAAATGCATGCTGTATAACCTAATTCATGTAGTGAATATACCCTAAACTAAGACCTTTTATGCTTTGTATTTACAAGTTGCCACAGTAATTGTTTTGCTTCATTAAAGCCTAAATACACCAAAACAAAATCTGTTTTCCATCATTCATGGTAGTTACATAGACAGGGATGAAGAAATAACTGCAAAAAAATAATGTTCATATTATAGTTCGTTTAGACCCTAGTTTAATGTTCAAAAAGTCCTTTTCCAAGAAAAAAATGGGGGGAAAAATTAGAAAAGTAGTATTTTGTATGTTTTTGACTCTTCAATTAGGCTTGTGTTGTCCAATGGTTGTGTGATGTGCATACCAATTTATTTACCTTTGAAAACATAGTTCATTTTAAAAATTGTTTGATCAAATATATTTGATTTATGTGATTCACAGATATCCTCTCGTGTAGGATAGTTTGAAAAATTGTATATCCAACTAATAATATGTTGTTTTCGTTTCTATTTTCAGTTTCATTATGAAACTGATTGAAATTTATTTTGTAGATATAATTATGCAGTCAAAACTTAGATCAGGCCCGCCCTCCAGAGTATGAATTTGAAGACATTCTGTGAATGTCATTAAACCAGATAAAAAAAACACAAATTGTTTTATCCAGAATTCAAACTTTTTAAAACAAAATGGCACCTCAATCACTTTTAAAACCAAGAAATATTGAAATTGGAGAAATTTGTTCCCGCCTTTTTCCCACGAGACAAACCAAACTTTGAGCCTCTGGTTTCGATAATTCCATAGCCTTTTCAGCTTACATTTTACAAACCATTTAGTGCCAACACATTTCCATCATCAAAAAGTTAATTACTTACCTAATTTGAATTCAAATTTAGTTGTCCATATTTTGTTTTGATTATGGTGTTTTATAAAAACAAGTGATAAATTAACCACTGCATGTCAGTGCATGTGTGTTGAAACCATAGAGCTATATTAAATTACTAGAGCGCTAACTCTTCAAGGCGCAGACATTTTGAATTTATGTGCGTGTTTGTAGAACACAATCAAAATAGATGGATTGAATTTTAAAAGTGTACTCTAAATGCAACGCGCAAGTAGAACATACGCAAACAACTTAAGCGTGTCATGACGGTTCAAAAAATGTCACGGCGAAAGGCATCTGCAGCAGAGGGACGCGCACACGTTGCGCTGTTTGCGTAGAGCAAAATGAAACGTTCATTTGCTGATTGTGCGTTTTGGTTTTGGGCGTATCGGCTTCGATGACGCACCTGTATGGAATACAAATGCAGATATGCAAATAGCCGTACAAAAGCCGTACAACATTTTGAGTTTTCCATAGGTTTGTGTACAAACATGGATGCACCCATCAGGCATTACTTTGTACATTGAGTTAGCGCTCGAGTAATTTAATATAGTTCTATGGTTGAAACTGAACGGACTGATGACCCTGCCGACATCTTTGTTTGGTACCCATTATATCATACATTGTAATATCACTGAGAATGTAGAATGCACCAGCCTGCATATTGCCAGTGATTTTTGCTTTGGGGAAACAAACATAACCGCAGCTAAAATAGGTCTACAATCAGTTTGCCCTTGACTATGTTTATATAAGTATTTGATTATTTTACAAATGTAGTTGTTTGTTAACTTTTTTCAAGTTTTGTTACTAGTCATTTGTTGACAGGTTTAGCAATAGCGCCATTTTTCTAGGATTATTAACGGTCCCTATTTGCAGTCCTATCCAACAAAGTAGTATGTCCTCTGCTTAAAAGTATAGAAAGCTTTAGTTAAGAATTTTACATCGTAGATTATACAACTTATTGTGTTCAGACCTTGACTTTTTAAAGATATAAACCTATATTCCGAGTGTGATGGTGTTCTGTGTCCATTATACATTTAGTCCAGTCTTGTTTGAAGACTGTAAGATTGTATCAAGATAACTTTTCCCTTTTTGAGAGAGACGTTTCCATGCCATAATTTGGCCAAATTTTATCAAAATTGGGTAAACCTCCAATTCAGTAAAGATTGGAATGATCGAAAACTTCCGAACCAGACCAAAAGAATCATTTTGTATCCAAAACAGTTGAGGGAATATTATTTTGTACGCATATGCAGCCATCTTGGTGTGGTACCTAGAAGACAAAGCAGTGGTCTTCATGCAGTTGGTTGTTGGTATCACAGGTACCAGACTAATAAGCCTCACTCTGAAAGTCAAGATGGTTGCATATGTACATGTAAGTTTTGGCGTCGAAAGATAATTTAAACTGCTTTTCTCTTCTTCTTTTTTACAAACACGGTAGTGAATATCAACAATCAACAAAGAGATCTGATACGTTGCTTTATTGGTCTGTGCTAAAGCCAGTGCTTGTCTTTATTGAAATGTCAACGCATGCGACACTGTGTGGCGTCTGCTCAACACCTGTAAATTGAAATAAATTGCTGTTAAATGCCAGTAAGATAATTAAATGTTTAAGTAACGATTGTTTGTAGAAACGCTAACTTTATCTGTGCTTTTATTTAGGACTGTAAGTTGTATATATGCCTCCGTTCTATTGCACATTGCATTTTCAGTGGACATGTTGTTATCTGACGGGCCACTTGGGGAATCAAAGAATATGGATGCCGAACAGACAAAAGAAAGAAAAAAATCCCGGGCATAATTTTGGAAGGCGGTTTGCTTTTTGCAACTGAGTAACTTCATGGTGCAGAGATTTCAACATTATTTGCCAACTCTCCCAAACACTTAAACAGAAAGTAACGCCAGTTTTGTTGGTGTTCATGCTTCGTTTTTTTTTTTTTGAAAATCAGTATTGCAGAGCAGACAGAAATCTTACAATTTCATAACGGCAAGCATTTTCGTGATGACTTTTGTTAAAAAACAAGAACTTGAATAAACTCCAAAAATTTTCATCTATTAGATTTTACGCCTTTTTTTTTCAATGATTAGAAGATTGAAAAGAAAAGAAACAAGTCGTTACGATATTTCAGTTGTTTTTGCCAAATGCCTGCAGTTCTTCATTTCTAATTATTTCAGTTTTCCATCCATACACTGTACGTAAAGATGCATTAAAATTTTAATTTGCCTGTCCAGACACATTAAAACAAAATGTCAGTTTGATGGTCATATAATTTGTGATTTGGGCATCCGCTTTGCAAATAAATACATTTCAATTTGATGGCTTAGAACATTTCACATTACCTTAAGCATGTCCGTTAATTGTCTGCTAAATTGTAATTTGATGTGCAGCTAAAAAATTAAGATACACGACTTAAAAACATAAGTAGTTTTCTTTTTAGTGTTGTAAAATTTGTGTACAGTGGAACCACTCAAGAATTTTTAGAAGCAAAAAATGGAATGACTATGCAGTGTGGCAAGTATTTAATGCTTGTGGTTGGGGCAGTGACAGGATTTGGTAAACTTGGAAGCGGAAACTTATAACCAAAACTTATAACCAATATTTTTGCTGACTTGGGTTTTTATTTTGTCAGAGACCAAGTGCATTGATGCTTTTGCATTAGATTAGGAATGGGAGTACGAGACACAAAATTAACAATTCAATTTTCAGAATTTCTTATATTTTTCGTATGCTTCGTAAATTTTTTCCTTCTTTTATTTAACCAGTTCGTGCCGGATTATTTTGACACTGACCGGACCCAGGCGCGGGATTGTTTTTCACGAACCTCGATGCCAGACGGGTTCAGGCCATCATCTGTGGGTAGCACACCCTGATATTTCCGGCCTTGCTCGCTGCAAGCGAGTCGCAGACAGATATTTCCGGCCTGGTTCGTTGCGCGTTTATCCCTCATCCGTTCCGAATACCGCAAAACCTTTGCGTGTATACACGTCATCTGACGTGAACTGGTTAAAGCAGTATTTTTCTAGCTTTTTTTTTTTCAGTGATGGAGTTGAGATGTTTCGTATTTTCATCTCTTCAGTTTTGTCCTGATTTTCCAAGTCCTGTCACAAAGTCTCTGAAGGACTGATTAAGGAGAAGAGATAATGTATAGGAGTAAAAATGAAAGGTTGGATGTCTGAAGAGATATGGATCATACCGCAGGCAAGACTAGGTCAAGTTTATGTTACCGGGCGTTGATTATAAAGTTGAAGCTTTGACCTTTGACATGACCTCGGGCATATGACCTCTTGCCTGATCTACATACGAGTACTGGGTGGTTTTGGAGACAAAACTTCAATTGTTAAAACCAACTCAAAATTGGCACTCGTATGACCGCAACATTTGAAATGTCTTGAGCAGGAACAGTTTATCTGAAAGCTTGTGTAACTGATCACGATGAGCAGAGCGTAAAATGTATTCACACATTTGTAACAGAAGTTTCTATTTTGAATGTACGGAATTCTTGTGTTTTTTTTTGTTTTTAAATAAATGCAAGGATTACGCTATCCAGACTCACAGCAGCTGAGCCGAGTGCGGGGAAATAACTGCAGAACCAGATATTTTGTGTAACCATGGTAACTTGTTTTGTAGCTTGTGATGTGCAGCTGATGTACTACAAAGCAATGGCATAAAAATAGACAGGAATTTTGGTCAGAAAATTGGGGAATATGAAAAGAGTGGACGATTAGAAGTTTTGCTAAGCAGTGTTGGTTACCGGTGTAGTTTTGAAATGACTAAGCTGGTTACCATAATGCTACGCAGAACACTTTGGCCACAATCGTTAAACTTGATGGGCAAACTTATGGTATCCAGAGCTACAGCCACATCTGTCTTCGAAAGTCTTATTGTCGGAAACCTAGACGATAGCTCTAGACAACAGATTTGGATGTGGCTTTATTCAGAGGTTTACAGGAATGGTACCTTATAACATGCTCTGTGGTTGGTAATGAGGTTCAACATAAGGGCACCAGGCTATTAATAAGCCATAGCCCGAAGAGGTGTCTTCCTACTGTAATCGGTGGCTTATGTGATGTGGCTTAGTACCCAATCAACTGTGTATGTCATGGAATGGGATTCATAACAGGTCATCTGTCTAAAAGCTGTAGCTTAAAGCCTTAATTGTATGTACCATGGCCTAAGGTTTTTTGTAACGAGCTTTGTTGGATGTTTAACCTTGCAAGAATATACTCAGCTTTAGTAGAAAACAGAAACGAGTCTTGACAAATATTTACTTTTGTGTTGTGAATCTGTGAACCAAATGAAAATATATTCAATACCATAAACAAAATGAGACACAATAACAAGATAAACTTGTAATTTAAATATGTTGTTACTTTTATTCTCACATTACAGAGAAATAAAAAAAAGTTAAATGAACATTAACACAATTTAACGTACACAAAGCGATAACATCATAAAAGTTCATCATTTATCTAAAGCAACCTTTCTTACCATCAGTATTCTCAGGTTTTTAGCACCTTAGTTCTGGAGTTGAAATTAAGTACATGTACATATAAATTGAAACATACATTGTAAGTAGATTTTCTCCCACAGAATATTAACATAGTATAATTGCCAAAAATCCCATGTCACTTTACTGCAAGCACAAAAGCTGTGTTCACACAAGACTCAATTTTGTAAAAAGTACCGTGAGTGACTGTTAATTACCACTCCATTGTGGTTATTCTACCGTGCGTCTGCACTTAATTTCAGTCCGCGGAAAGTCAATCATAAATGTAAAACTAACAATGTAATTCTTCCATGACCTCATTGGCCCTGTAAAACTTACTGTTATGGAGCGTAAAACTATCAATCAACAGTCGACACTTGACAATTTCAGAAGTTTGCCATCTCTCTGCACTGGACATAATTTGGTTGAGTTACATTTTGTACCAACAGTCTCTGTTAAGTTGGCAATAGTCTCTGTGAGTTTTCCCACAAATTGCAATGCGAACACAGCTTAAGTAAGTTTTGATATCTCTCAATGCAAGGTTATTCAAGACAACTGGTTTTGTGGAAGAGGGAATTATTTTATACAAGTGGTAACTTTAAAAAAAAAAAATGAAAAAAAAAAAGGTGTATAGACATACATTTCAGCCTTCAGATCTGCGTATTTCAAATAAAACCTTTTAACAATGTACATGCGATTTCTTACTTATACCTTTTTATTTTAAATTTTCAAATAATTTTCAAAAATAAGGTGGAGCTATACATTTCTTATTCATAATATTAATAAAATAATTTGTTCCTTCCCTATTTACAAGCACAATTTTCAATATCAAAGGATAACGCTCCTACGAACAATGATTAAATATATCTGCATTGAGTCCATATTCTTACAAATACTCATTTAATGTATTTATTTCATTTTTTTTGGGGGGGGGGGAGATTATTTACACTGACCTAGTGGAAGCTGGGGAACTAGACTCAACATATATACAACATCAATTTCCTTTTCTTCCCAAGATACAACGAAGCGAACTTAACAAGTTTTTCAGAGATACTACATTTTGGGAAACAACATCCACATTTACTTGTTACAGGGGGCAGGGCAATTCCAGAACCACCCAAGGAGTAAAAGACTTGCTATAGAAAGTTAAACTTTCTTTCTGGTAACAACAGAAAAATGTAGTAAATTTATACACCAAACAGATGTCCATGCTTTCGTTATCTATCTATTTTCAAGAGATTTTCGGGGTTAATTTCTACACAATTCCACATAGACCCCTACACAAATTGTTCAAACAGGTTTTGTTTTAAGCAGTTACACATTTCTGTTTTCCTACATTCCTGAAAGCACAGTCGAAAAGGGAATTTCTGAAGAAGAAAAAAAAATTATCACAAAAAAATTGCTGATTGTTTTAAATTTATTTTAAAAAATATATAATTTTAAAATTAAATACATTATACAGAGTCAAATTTATTCTCATGCAGACAAAAAAAATAATTTGATTACTCTTTGGCATTCTAGCAAATTTCGCTACGGTTTAAGATTTGCACATTCCACATAACTGTATATTACAGACATCACAAATTTGTTTCAAGTTGACATATTGGTAGCAAATAAATGCCTCTACCCAGCTCTTTTCTGGGCAAACAAGAAAGTGTTACACATTGCACAGTTTTTAATGCATGTGGACTCCAATAACTGAAATTTTTTCCCTAAAGCAAAAATGTGTCGTCGTATTTCAAAATCGGGCACATCTGGGGCCGATTTCACGAAACTGGTCTTATCTTGCGACTCATCTTTGGACTTGAGACCAGTCCCTGCTCTAAGATCGATCTTGGCTAAGACGCGTCCTAAGACCGATTTCACTAAACCCATCTTAAGCAAGACGCATCAAAACTACCCATTTGATGGCTGTTTCATGTTTGGTTTTACCGCTTGATGAAACAGTTGTTGAAAAGAAATGCGCAGAACAAACTTTTTGCATGGCGTTTGTACTAGAACACAAACTTAAGCCAGAAAAATTATTCCACTCAATAAATATCACATGCAAGGTTGGTCTACACAAGGTACGATTGAGTCGTTCTTGCCTCCCATTTCATCACTCTATTTTAAAAAAAAAAGTCAACTAGGTGTTGGCATGTAATTAAATTTTGTAAATAGGCCTAAGCTGTTTTAATTAATACTGCACACCTATCAGAAATCTTTTCAAATCTGTTTCTACAGCGGTTTCTTCCTCGAAACTATAACTCTAGGCCGACACTCGTCTTTCATGGCAATGATTTCTAGACGATATACAAATTAACGCACGCATTAATGAGATAAGACGACCCTCTGACCGATCGTAAGTTCAGACGAGTTCAGCTGCGTTGCTAAGGAAGTTAGGACGTGTTGAACACGTCTTAAGTTTGGTGAAATCGATCCTGGGACAAGTCGCAAGTTAAGACGAGTAACCCTTCCTAAGACGCGTCTTAGCGTTTCGTGACATCAGCCCCTGGGCTAGACCTCCAAGTTGTTGTTTTTTTAACAATGGAATTAAAGCAGACATGGTTCACTTTTAATTAACCACTTTGTTTCATAAAGTCAGACTTTCCAACAGGCCTGATAAAACATTTGAAATAACCTTAGGCTGCAGCAGAATTGCAAACCGACATTATCTGAAATAATATGCCGACGATAAAAATATCAGATAAAGATTAAAAAGGTGGAATGTCTGTTAGAAACAGTTTTTTCTCTCTTCAATTTCTGGCATCTTGTCTCAAATTAACCCTCCTATGCAAACATACATTCTACACCAAGTTGTCCTTTCACTCAAAATCAATCAAGTGAATTTGACTAGTCAAGAGTACTTGCTTCAAATATGATCTGACTGTTTGTGACTAGCTTATATAAAAGGCATGGCAGGGGAAGTGGATGGAAGTTTGACTGTCTGTGACTGTTAAAACAGTAGGAGGCAGGGCTGCTATTTTTGAGTACGAGACAAGAGTGAGAATTTGGTGATGGAGTTTAATCAGAAGTCATGCAAGCGCTTGGGGTTCGGGGCCCGCTTAAGGGCCACAACAAGTTTTGGATTATAGAAGCTCTGAGGCAATTTCTGAACACTTTAACCATTTTTTTTTTGAGCAAAAGATCATCATATAAACATCGTTTTTGAGTTTTATTTATTTATTTTGAGGGTTTGACCTCTCGATTGATGATGTTTGGAACCTAGCAGGATTTTTCTAAAAACATTCGGCTAGGATCGAAACAGCAGGCCCTTAAAATTCTTTGGCAGGCAAAAACAGGGGGTTTACAATCTGCATATAAACTACACGTAGTCCATGCTTACATTTATAACCAGCTTCTTGACTCCGTGGGGCTTGATCCTTCAAGGAAACGTTACAGAAACATTGAAGGAGTCTAAAGTACACACAAATCTGGATGCATGATACCTTTACGCTGATGGGACGCCTCAGTTATCACCACAGAATTGTGAAAAACAAGCTTGATATATCTCGGACACTGCGATTCCCAACAAATTTGTGTTGTGCTTTGCGTGGAATGTGTACGGCCGTTGTCTATGAATGAGATCTTGAGAGCTGCTATGCAGCAAGCATGCGGCTATTGTCCCCTGGATTATCGCCTTTCTTTGAGCCGCAGCTGCGCGGAACGTTTGTTACAAACTAACGTACGGACTAACGGAGAGACATGATGATGTTGAGCTGCGGTCCGCAGCTAAAAATATCCGCCGTTACATTCACATTGATTCAAAGTAAAAGTTAACTCACGGACTTTATACATAAATACCCCTGCAGCAATGAAAATCTCCCAGAGTGTGCTACTGTCTGGACGGTGGTGTTAAAGATACCCCAAACTGACGACATAATAAGTACTACAATTTTTGGGGTAAACATTTGGTGAACAATTCTACTCATTTAGTAAATAAATTGACAAGTATGTCAATGGCAAGATTAACATTGTGCATTAAACATGACTGACCAGCCAATGCAAATTATCCCCACCTCTCCAAAACTTCTGCAGCCGATTTCATGAAACATTCGGCAGTACCAGAACTCCACTTGAGCCACATTTTGTCATTAAAGGGAGTTTACAACATTTGCAAACATCAAAAAATAAAACTACCAAGTTTTTACGAGATATCTTACTAGGATGTTGGTAAATGACAGTCTAAAGCATCCTGTAAAATTATGGCACCTGGTATGAAGTCATTTTCAAGAAAATTGTATTTTTGTATACATTTCCAACGATGGTTGGCCGACCACTGTTGGAAAAACCTAACTATTTTTCAACTATACTGCTCCAAATTTACCATTTCTTCAGTCCAACTTTTGTTTGCTATTGATTAAATGCTCATGAATGGGTACAGGCCAGCTAGACTGGTTCCCTTACCGGTACCTTATAATTTTCCGGCATCTATAAATTGACCCATTTCATCTTCAGTGGAGTCAGGAAATCAGACTACTTAAATATTTTTGTTTTTCTTGTTTTTTTACAGCATTTTCGAACACAAAACTTAAAACATGTCAGTGTAACAATATTTGATCTATTATACTAACCCCTCAAATAGTTCATTTCTGAAAATTACAGCAAAAGCCAATGATGTACATATGCTCAACAAGTTATGATGCATTTCAATGCGCTAGATTGCAACTTATCCAACAAAAACAAGTACTTTCTTTTGCAATAATTGCCCATGGTATGCAGTCATTTTGGGTGGCGTACATTTTTCGTAAGTTGTGTCACGTAAATAAGAAATGGACAAGTTTATTCGCCGATCATTCAAAAATGGTCCTCGTAAACGTGGTAAAAGCTGGCTTCGTCTTTGACTAAGCTGCGGCAAGTTTTTCAAAATCAAATTGTGAGTACACTGTTCAGCTGCCTAACAAATTTATTTTGTTGGTCTGCATGTGCAATGTTTCATGAAAGTGGCTGCTGTACTGAATAACCTCACCCAGGAATAACAGTAAGGATAATGCATAAACATCAATGATCCTTAAAAAAGATGGAACAGCACATAATCCATCTTCAAAATGATGCTTAAAAAAAATTTCCAAATCGGTACAACCATTCATACAGATGTCATACAAATACTCGCCTACAATACGTTAAGTTTCTCTTGCACAGAAATTAAACACGTTATATTTTTTTTCTTTCGTAATACCTCTTTGGTTTTCAGGTAGACTTTGTTTTGGTTTTGTACTCACGTTGACATGCCTTCGGACTGCTGTTCCAGCTGTAAGGAGCTGTGCAGGCAGGCTGGACACGACGTGGGTAGGAACCCGCCCCCCTTGGAGTACAGGTTGCTAAGGGACTGGGTGTTGCTAGGCAACGGTACTGGCAAGGCGGCCATCTTGTTGATCCACGATTTGACGTTTTCCTGCAGAGTCCGTTTTTTGTAATGGTGGCCGCAGGTGAACACGACACAGTCTGTTATCTCTGCTTCGTCTGCGGCCGGCGTTGAGTCCACCAATCCCGCGGCCTCGCCCTTGGTTATAGTGACATGCGCCCTCCCTTGGGCATCCTTGCCCAGGTTGTGTAGAACTTCTTCCCATAGTCTCTCCGCAGCCACGGTTCCAGTTCCCCCAGGCTGGCTGTACATGTCGCTTTTGGACGAAACGGCTGATGGGGAGGCTAAGGTGTTATTTCTCTCCTTCGTCTCGTCCGGGTTAGCTCCAGTCGGCTGGTAGTCGTCGCAGGGTTTTCCCTGGTTCACGTGCTGCACCACGGCCGACGTCACCTCCAAGCAGAATTTGGAAGTGAACCTCTGGATGAGGTTTGGAGGAACTACGCAGGAACCACTCACAACCGAGGCTGACGATTCGGGACTGTCACTATCGGAGAAAATAAATCAACACCAGCTATGGAATTGAGACATTGTATTGTTGATGTACCGGAAGCCTAATGTGGCGCGGCCCCTAACGTGGCGCACTTTGATATTTCGCCTCTAGCGCCTTGCTAGAGCAAAAGTTTTACCTGAAATTTGACAGCAAGTCAAATTTCTTCAGGCTCTAAACATTCCCGTTCATAAATCGTGAGTTTATCTACAAGTTACATAGTTAGCAGAGACATTTATTTAGGCGTGATTTTCCGATTTTATTTCGAAGTGCGCAGTGAACCCTTTAAAAATTCACCCAAAAATAAGAAAATAATTTTCTGACAAACTTCTAGTTGGGTATGTAAGTAGAGATGATAATGGTTTATCAGAATTTTTCAACTTTTATTAATGTTAACTTGGGATTTTCCAAGATTTATTCAAGTGCGCCACATTGGGGAAGACTCAGCCGATTTTGTGCCCAATTTCTGGATGCCACCGTTTTTAAATTTTGGACTAAATTTCAGGACACTGAAATTGTTCACAAAGGTTCAACAGCAAGCATAAAGGTAAAAGTACCAGTATTTCACTGAATGAATTTGAAGTTTGTCAACAAAGAGGTTTGGCAACACTACATGAGGAAAGTCCGGGGAATCGTCAAAGTGCGCCACGTTTACCACTATATAGTCACAATCAGTGGGATACCGTAGCTTGCGACTGGCTGACAAGGATGGACAACATTGGATCATTTCAGTTGAAAAAAAAAGTTCAGTTGAGGCTTTACATTGTGGAGAGTACAATTTTGGATAAGTTGATGGATACACTCATGGCAATGACTTTAAAAGAGAGGTGGTTACTTTACTCCTGTGATCAAGTCGCATAGCGCCCTCAACTGTTCACGCCTGAAGCCAGAAGAACTAGGTAGGCAATTTGTAAGAGCACTGGAACATGAGTCTGAAAGGCTTAGGCTCAATTCCCACCCAATTTAGGCATTATTTGAGGTAAGATCCCACTAAATGCGTCTAAGGACATTACAGAAAGTCCCTTATAAGATCAAGCACACTTTCCTCTTCGGTTGAAACGTCACTCAATTTGACATCCTGACAAATTGAGTGAAAACATTGACAGTTACTATTGAAGGGCTCGTAATTTAGTGGTAGCAGTGTTGTAGTCCGTCACTAGTCCTCCCAAGTCTTCCAGTCTCAAGTCAAGTCACAAGCTACTCAAATGTACCGTGATAGAAGCATTCCCAATACTTGTGACTGGACTTGTGAAAGGATTTTTAATTTAGTTGTGACTTGGCTTGTGACGGACTGCAACACTGAATGGTATACATTGTAGCTCTGGACAATTCAAAATAATTTGCCAAGACTCATGATACGTGAGGGATCGTCATTTCTTACCAGATAAGCAGGACGCTGAGTGGATAGGCAACGTTGTCCATGTGATCTCTCAACAGACTCTCCAATGCTTCCTGAGGCAGGTTTTGCTCCGCCCAGAACTGCAGAATCTGCATATATGCAAATCAGACTTATATCAGAAAATATTGGTTAAAGTGGTCAGAATTAAATTGCCTCAGATCGCACCACAGAGCATTTAGAATCCAAAATTTTTCGGGGCCCCCTATGCCTTTAGCTGAGAAAACTTCGAAAATTATGTTTAAATTATTATCTTTTGCTAAGAACATATTGGTTAAAGTGGTCAGAAATCAGAGCATCTAGAATCAATTTTTTTCGGGGCCCATAAGCGGGCTCCGAACCACACGCCTGTAGCTCAGAATACCGGTAGCTGATTCAATGACTCCAACCTCGAAAACGATGTTCAAATAATTATCTTTTGCTAAGAAATAGTAGTTAAAGCATGGAAGAAAGTGGTAAGTAATTGCCTCAGATCACACCACAGAGCATCTAGCATCCAGGCTTTAAGGGCTTTGCGCTTCGCGTTCGCATCAGTTCTGATCAAGGTATGTCCCCCCCACTTTTGAGAAGCGATTGACGCCCCTGAAACCAAGTATGCTTTTCTTTTAGCTACAAATGACGTGATTATTGAAAGTGCCAAGCATCGATTCACTTTAAATTAGAAGGTTACTCAAACAATTACACTAAGTGTCTCATAATTTGACAAGGCTATATTCCAACCGCCACCGGCCTTAATTGAACCTTAACAGCTTTCTAAGCAATTATTGCAAATTTTTATTTTTTACAAAGTGGCCCAGCAATGCATTAAGTGCCATTACCAAGCCTTTTATTACCGGTACTTTAAATAATGATAACACGCCATCAGGAACAACTGAAGCTCTACCGGCATGTCCTTCGCGTCGAGGCAAAACACCGAAATAATTAAAATTAAGTAAAGGGCTCATTGGTGAGTTGGATCATTTACGAGCATTTATTCCAGCATACCTGCAGCAGAGAAATTTAAATGACCTTCACTCGTTATTTGCTACCAAGTCTAAATTTGCTGTTCACGCATGGGTGTGATGGACTTCTGCTTGGTGATTTTAACCTTCATAAATAACAAATTGTCAAGGATTTGTCAAGTCACTGGCCTCAGATCATGACGCTTATGCAACTTGTATTACCTCCCCATCAGGATCTCCTAAGTTTGCATTATTCAAAGCAAATTTCATTTTTTTGTTAACAAGATATTCTTGAACAGACAGTGGTCACGATATTAGCTCTGAGGAATCTGTTAGATTGACCAATCCTGCGCCTTTGTATGGCGTGACATCATTGTAGGCGGAGCTACATGTATGTGCCACCATGATATCACAACTCTTGCACATGATAGTTCGTCAACCAATCCGGTGCCAATTGTTCATTGGTATGTAATTCCATTGACCAATCAGTGCATCTCACATCTGTGGTTTCCCAACCTAGCTTGGAAGCAGGAGTGCTACGTCGCCAGTTTCGTTTCAGACGTTGCACTGCCGTTACACACTTAGGGCATACATCTACAGTATAAATTAAGGTGCTGGTCGACAGATTCAAAGCTCACGACGGGAACATTTTGACAGAAAAGGATTCTTCAAATAATTAACGGATACATTTTCGTCTTTATCAACTGATGCTCCAGTTCGACCCCAGAATTAATGAATGCAGAAAAAAACTTTTAGCTCCACCAACAATGGCAAACCCGAACTTTGTTGTCAATGCTTTTAAATTGCTGATAGCTTTAGCAATGGTGTTTTTTGTTGACGGATATAAATGTAATTCACGCCAACAAATCATGTATGCCGCGGAAAGTCGGGCAATGCAAGGGTTTGGATACGCAAACAAAACTGTGCGGTCTCGTGTCATCTGCGGACGGGAATGCAGCATGGATGAACGTTGCAAGTCTTTTAACTTTAACGACTGCAGTAAAACGTGCGAGTTGAACCTTGCCACAAGACGAGAGCACCCTGAAGACTTCCATGCAACTCCAGGAGGTGTGTACTATGATACCGATGAGGACACACCTCACTTCTCAGTCACGGATAGCTTCTACAGAAGTTGCAAGATGCTCTTAGATTGCGGTTATCGTTCAAGCGGCGTCTACGCCATTCAACCGGAGGGATTCGGTAATGGCAGTCTTCGTGTCTACTGCGACATGGAAACTGACGGCGGGGGATGGATCGTGTTTCAGAGGCGACAAGATGGCAGCGTGGACTTCTACCGTAACTGGGCCGAGTACCAAGCTGGCTTCGGCAACCTGTCCGGTGAGTTCTGGTTGGGCAACGACAACTTGGTGACTCTGACGTCTAACATTTCACAAGCAACATGGGAGCTACGCGTCGATTTAGGGGACTGGGAGGGCGATGAGGTGTGGGCAATGTACGAAGATTTCAAAATATCCCCGGGTGAGTACAATCTGAATTATGAACATTACGATGAGATCAAAAGCACAGCCAGTAATAGTCTTGGTTATAGTATACACAATCGAAGTCCCTTCTCAACAATGGATCATGACAATGACTTAGCATCGGGTCTAAATTGCGCAGAATATCACAAGGGAGCCTGGTGGTTTGGGCCTTACATTTGCTTGGTGTCTAATTTAAATGGTAATTACCATCATGATGGCACGGGTGTACGATCAGACTACGGCATAGTTTGGTTTAGCTGGTATCTACCGCCTTATTCCCTGAAAACATGCAGCATGAAAATGCGTGAAATGGGCCCTTGAACATCTTCTCTTTCCGGTGTAGTTTCAAATTTGGACTGAATGAAATACAATCTCATTGGTTGCATTGCGCATGCCTTAGTGAGCATAAGGACATTGATTGATAACGTGTGGGGGTTTTAGAGTCATAAACTATGGAAAAAGAGACCAGATTTTATATGACACGGCTGGTAATTTTCCACCAGGCTATACAGGGTGAGTAAAAAAAAATGAAACCCAAATGTCGGGACTATTGTTTTAGTGAAGTTCTTCATGCTAAGCACTTTGAAAATCTAGGATATGAAAGCACAATCCATAAACTGTGTTGTTGTACAGAATCATTCAAATCACCCACGTACTTTTCAAGTTACGGACTTTTAAACACAACCACCGTTTTAAGGTTCTGTCCACCGACCACAAAAAAGTTCAGTGTTCTTTCAGCAAAACGAAAACAAATCAGAAGAACGCACACCTTTTTTTGTGATCCGTGGACAGAACTTTAAAATGGTGGTTGTGTTTAAAATTCCGTAACTTGAAAAGTACATGAGTGATTTGAATGATTCTTGTACTCAAAGAAAGCTTACGAATTGGGCTTTCATATCCTAGATTTTGAAAGTGCTACATGAAGAACTTCACTAAAACAATAGTCCTGACATTTGGGTTTCGGTTTTTTTACTCACCCTGTATTTTTGAAAAATATTAGTTCAATGTTTTGCACTGTAAAATTTTCCTTGAAAACAATATTTTTGATCAGTAATCAACTTCTGAAACTGGTCTGCCCACTGTTCATCTGTTCATGTAATTTTCTACTAAATCCTGTATGTGTTTAAAATACCTACGAAGCACTTTTCACTTCAGCCCCAAATCCCCAAAAAAATCCCAACATTTTATTCTCATGCAGTGTTGTTCATATATCTTTTGAAATGTTGTAGTTAATGGGGTATAACTGAAAAAAAAAAAAAATCAAATATTTTGTTCTTATTCTACCTTGTTCTTTACAGCTTTATTAAAATTTTAATTAGAAAGCTTTACACTGTATTCATAAATGTGATCTGTTCTGTCAAAATCAGACTTTTCTGGGCAGAAGGTCAAAAATAATATTTTTATATATATGTTCATTTTCCTTTAAATAGGTGGTTTAATTTTTGAAACCGGTCATTCCTGGGCAGAGTTATGCTATTTTGAAGTTCATTGTGTCAAAAAGTAGAAAACGGAAAAAATGGCCACGAACGTCACAAAACAGTAATTTCTTTAACTGATATATCTTAACAAATCATCAAAAATATGTAGAGTTCAAATTAGGGTTTCAAACTTTTATAGTATATTTTAGACATGTTCAGGATTACAAATATGCAAACATTTGAAAATCGATAAAAATCACCCCCACAGCGGTTTTTTGGCCCTATCTCAATTTCAACCTCTGCCCAGAAGCGTCTGCTTTTGACAGAACAGGTCACAAATACCTGAGTCAATTTACCGATTCCTACTGGTCGAGAGCCCGTCACATGGGTGGTTTTAAACCACCTGTAAAACACCGCTGTGTTCTGCGCCACGTTCTGCGCAGTAAACGATTTCCATACAAAGAGATTTTTAGCACTAATCGCACGAAGCACATACCATAGACAGACAATTTACCGATTCCTACTGGTCGAGAGCCTGTCACATGGGTGGTTTTAAACCACCTGAAAAACACCGCTGTGTTCTGCGCCACATTATGCGCAGTAAACGATTTCCATACAAAGAGATTTTTAGCACTACTCGCGCGAAGCACATACCATAGACATGGCCAGAGGGTGTTTCACAAAACAGGTGGGAAAATTGTCAAACAAAACTGTTGGAAATTTGTGGATTTTTAACTTATTTGGACTTTTTGACCAAAAGGTTTTTATGAATGGGAATAAATATGTGCTTGGCCAGTGCCAACAAGTACGTTTAAAAATGCCAGGGACCATAATACACATTTGATCCATCCTAAATTTAAAATTTTAGCCGAATTGAACTGAAGCAGCTATGACTTCGGACTAAAAGCACGTTTGTATGCTGAATTTACATGTTTGATGAGCTAGATTAACAATAGGCCTAACAACACCCCAAAAAAGTTCATTTGTAGATGCACACAAAACCTATTGTTTGCCTTATTTTGAAAAACGTGAGATGATTGTTCGTTTTTCATCTAAGTTTAATGTCCTATAAGGTTATGTCTTTAAGGACTGATATCCTCTTGAATTATGGACAACAAAATAACAAGTGAATGCAAGAGATACATGCGCATGGGCTTCGCAACCCCCCCCCCCCCCGGAGAAAAAAAAAAGAAAAAAAAAAGAGGAGCGAAACCATATTGCTGTTAATTTGATGGGGGGGGGGGAGGTGTAGGGCAAATCCTCCCCTGCTCACGTTCGGAAAAATAACAAATTGAGAATTTAATGAAAAAGTTCAGGAATTTTGGGGAAAAAGTTGGAAAAAGTCGCGATGTTACGTGAACGCCCAATCTGCTTGTAACTAACACGCGAGCATCGTACACCCGTCTCCGTGCGCGTTCATGCGCCTTCGATGAGCGTTCGATTATCCAGAATGACCCCTGACCCATATCATTGTGCGCATGCGCAGTTGAAATACCGAACCGGCTTATTGTAGCAGGTTTTTCTCCAGTTATGGAGAGAAATTTAAAAAAAACCAAAAAAAACAAAACAAACCAACAAAACTGAATTTAACACTTGTTAAGTAGCCTAATTTCATTATGAATTATTCCTATATTCCACATAGGGTTTGTATGAAATGATGTCGGGCTTAGAAACTGTCGTTGAGTGTTATTCCTCTTGCAAAAAAGGTTTAAATTAAGTCAACATATTGTTACCCCATTTGCTCTCACAAGACAATATTTGACAATTTACACAAAACCAATAGAATGTGAATTTGAAAATTAAAATTTGAAATTATTTTGACGTCATTATTTGCTATTCCTATTTTTCTGTACAAATTCAAAATATTTAGGTTTATAGTAATTCCTTCCTCCAAAGAAATCAAACATTTTTGTCATATTGGGCTTTGCATTGTTAGCTGTTGTTCACAAATGGTCGTGTTGCAAAAACTTGTGTTGGGTTTTTTTTTTTGTGATTTTTTTTTTTGGGGGGGGAGGGGGGTGGGCTGTTATTTGTTTAAAATGAAAGTTAAGTATAGTAATCACTTTATATAATAATATCAATTAATCAAAATATGAACATCACGCATGATTTAACCCTAACTCCCCAGCCTAATTTACTAGGAGCCATACCCATTCAGGCAAATTCCAACACCCACATGGGAAATTGTACACACACACTGTTGGACTTAGTTTCTGGAGGTATGCCAACCCCAGTGTAAAAGACCATCTGTTTAGGGGTACTGTACCTATCCCAACAGATTTAAACACTAACCTACTGTTGGAGTTTGATTGGTTATGGGCTGTTAGGGTTAAGGCATGTTGTCATCCTTGGATTGCTTAATTGAAAGAAAATTAAACCGACCATGAAACCCACATCGAGATACGGAAAGAGGGCAAAACACTAATTATTTTCATTGGATTTTAATTAATATGCACATCTAACTTTTTTGCTTGTATATTGCGATACAAAAGAGTGTTCCGATGACCAATGACGTTGAATAAACTGAGTGATGAGAACCAATCCCTGATTGATTTTTTTTCTTCGATTGATTAAAGCGTTGAGTGTGCGAGAATGAATTCTAGCAGTGTGATTGGCAGCTGTAAGCGACTGAGGCTTATGCTTCAAAACACGTAATACCGGAGTCTTATGCAACATTTTTTTATGTTTCAAAAAAAAGGAAACCGAGCTTATTTTGTTGATTTCTCTGGTATGACTACTTATTTAGGAAAATGGTAACCACCATCTGTTACATAACCATGTCTTCTTTTTCTTGACACCACGAACTCCATTTTACCGTCACAGATGACTGAGCACCAAGTGATGTAACTGACATGCCAAAAATGGCCTTGTACCACATGCACCATAAGACCAATTGACAGTTATCAGAGAGAGAGACGTTATCAGGAATGCATTCACAGCAGTGAGAACCAGGGCAGAGATTTGCGTTTAAAGGAATGGGGGGGGGGGGGGCATGTTGAAGGGCAGTTGGGTTAATAGGGACAGTGATAAACCTTGATATGTTTTAGCAATTGATTAAATGACTTTGATAATGTACGTCCTGGACTTTGTTATTTTCAACATGTTGTACCACATGCACCATAAGACCAATTGACAGTTTTCAACATGTTGAAAATAACAAAGTCCAGGACGTACATTATCAAAGTCATTTAATCAATTGCTAAAACATATCAAGGTTTATCACTGTCCCTATTAACCCCACTGTCCTTCAACATGCCCCCCCCCCCCCCATTCCTTTAAACGCAAATCTCTGCCCTGGTTCTCATTGCTGTGAATGCATTCATGATAACGTCTCTCTCTCTGATAACTGTCAATTGGTCTTATGGTGCATGTGGTACAAGGCCATTTTTGGCATGTCAGTTACATCACTTGGTGCTCAGTTATCCGCGAATGTAAAATGGAGTTCATGGTGTCAAGAAAAAGAAGACATGGTTATGTAACAGATGGTGGTTACCATTTTCCTAAATAATTAGTCATACCCGAGAAATCAACAAAATAAGCTCGGTTTCCTTTTTTTTTTAAACACCCTGTATAGCGCATCTACCAAAAATTAGGTACTCAAGGGGCTGGTAATTATATTTATTTTTAAAGACAGTTAAATGAAGTTTATGAGAAATATGAGATCCATTAGGTAGCACCTTTATAAGGGTTTACAAGGTGCTGTGGCGCATATTGCAGCCACTGCCAGAAACACCGGGGCAAACCCCTTCTCTTAGCGATAAGTGACACTGGGTTTTTTAACGTGCATTACATAACACACGGGACCTACGGCTTAACGTCCCATCCGAAGGACGAAGCAATAATGGTAAAGTGCCTTGCTCAAGAGCACACGCACCATGTTTCCCATCAGGATTCGAACCCATGTACCGCGGCACACGAGTCGAACACCGTAACCATTTGACCACAGCATCCCATATCTGTCAGGATTCAAACCCATGTATCACGGCACACGCGTCGAACATCATGGACCACAGCACCCCACGTATGGATGGCATTTATACCCCTTCATACACAACCTCGTCTGCAGGGCATCAACTCCAACCTAAATCTTCATACTTGATCCCGGGAATGAATTACAAGGTAGAGACCTAGATTCCAAGCTACAAGAATTCGCCGGGACAGACTGGATAACAATGTCTGGTGTCGGACTCACCTGAACAAGTAGCAGTTTACAGGACTCCTTGGTTTCCGCATCACTGGGCGTAACATCAGTCGATTTATCAAACATCAGTCTGCAAAGAAGTCCACATATTCACATTATAGAAACGACTTCTTTCTTTAAGTACTTATTTTTTTTGCTGTTTACACCAATTAGCAAAATTGGATCAAAAGTCACTTTGGCTATTCACAGAATCCATTCAGTAAGAGTAGCTTGCCAGTTTAAAGGTAGAGTATATCACTTGCAGCCATATCACTTGCAGCCATCCAGAAAGTAACTGACAAAATTATTGTTGAAAAGCATACTTGCTTTAAAGATAGTAATGGCACTTAACTCCCTGTAAAATTATTCCGTCTTGAATACAGTCATTTTGAAGAAATCAACACAAGAGGGTCATTTCCAAAGATGCATCTTAAAGGGAATGTACAACATTTGCTTTTGCTGCAATTTTCAGAAATAAATGGATTTGGAGGATTGTTATGTTATAGCAAATATTGTTAAAATGACTTGTTTCACGTTTTGGGCTCGTAGATGCTGGAAAAACCATGAAAACCAATCGTGTTCTTGTAGTCTGGTTCCCTGACCCCGATTAAGATGAAACGGAGCAATTTATAGACTTTGGGAGATTGTAAGGTCAGAGAATCAGTCTAGCAGGCTCGTAGCCCTTCACAGGTGTGTAATCAATTGCAAAGAAAACGGAATAACTAATTATGACAAAATTAGGAGCACTTTTTGAAAAAAAGCCAGTTTTCTCCAACGCTGGTCGGCCGACCAGCGTTGGAAAAATCCCATTTTCCTTGAAAATGACAGCACACCAGGAGCCACGATATTACAGGATGCTTTAGACTGTCATTCCCTAACAATCCAGTAAGGTATTTCGTGATAATTTGATCATTTCGTTTTGAGATGTCTGCAAATGTTGTATCTTCCCTTTAAGACACATTTTTGGAAATTTGAATGAGAACGTGTCCCGGACGCTGATTTCAGGTGCAATTCAAAACATGACTCGGCAACTTAAGAATTGAAATCGAGATCCTAGAATATTGTTTTCTCAGAAAACACAGCATTCACAGCGCTAAAACTATATCAGGTCAGTTTTTAAGCACCCTTCTTTAGATTTTGAGCACTTTTGTTGCTTCAAACGAAAAAAAAAGTACACAAATACAAACGATCTACTCTACATTTAACCTCTTTTCAACCAACTATGCAAAAAAAATGAGTGACATTCATAACAACAAATTATCACAATTCCAAAAGAAACCTAATATTTACAAGTTTTGTTACTCACCTAAGGAACCTGTCAACTAATGCCGTGATCTCCTTCAGTCCCCCCTCCCCGTCAGACCCCATAAGCTCCGCCCCACTCCCTTGCCTCTCCTTTAATCTATACATCAGCGCCAGTGGATAGTTCTTGTCCAGCTCGCAGACGTCGCCGGCCGCGTGCCAGACCCTCCAATCGTGGCAGAGTTTGAGGACGGTCTGGTGGTTGTAGTGGGCGTCCAGTGAGGTCAGAGACAGGGTCAGGCTCTGGGGGCCGTAGGAGGGCTGGCTGAGGTCCGGGCTGCTCAGGTTGGGCAGGTCCCAGTCTAAGACCTCCTCTTCTTCCTCGTCAGAACTCTGGAAAATAAAATCAAAAATGTGACCTGTTCTGTCAAAAGCAGACGCTTCTGGGCAGAGGTTGAAATGAAGATAAGGCCAAAAAATGCTGTGGGGGGTGATTTTTTTTGATTTTCAAATTTTTGCATATTTGAAATCCTGAACATGTCTAAAATATACTATAAACGTTTGAAACCCTAATTTGAGCTCTAAATATAGTATTTTGATGATTTGTTAAAGCGTATCAGTTAAAGATATTACTGTTTTGTGACGTTCGTGGCCATTTTCTCAGTTTTCTACTTTTCAACACAATAAACTTCAAAATAGCATAACTCTGCCCAGGAATGACTGGTTTCAAAAATTAAACCACCTATTAAAAGGAAAAAGAACATATTTTAACAATATGCACAAATCTCATTTTTGACCTTATGCCCAGAAGAGTCTGATTTTGACAGAACAGGTCACAAATGTGCATGAAAATGTAAATGTAGAGATTTGTTTCTGTGCAGACGACTCCTTATTAGAAACTTTTTTTAACCAGTTTGCGCCGGAGGCCGTGTATACATGCAAAAGTTTTGTGGTATTTGCAACGAATGACAGATAAACACGCAGAGAGCGAGGCCGGAAATATCTGCCAGCGACCCGCTCGCAGCAGGCGAGGCCGGGAATATGAGTGTGCTGCCCGAGGGTGATGGCTGCAACCCGCCTGGCTTGAGGTCGAATGAAAATAAATTTCGCGCCTCGTTCCGTTTTGTCAAAATAATCCCGGCGTGAACTGGTTAATTGGGTTTTGCCCTTCGCCAACGTGCTTCACAAACACGGTATACTTCGTGTTGTCTAAGGACTTGCGAGAGAAAATCACAAGTTTAATCAGGTGGGACTCGAACCCACGACCTCCTCCTTACTAGTGCAGACGTCTCACCACTCGACCACTGAGCTTGCCGGGGTTGGTCGGCCTCTTCAAGTCTGATTTTTTTACCATTTGAGCATAACTTAATATTCTGCTAGTCAGTTGGATCTGCCGATACTCTCCACTTTGAGTGCATTCAACGATGCAACCCCCCAATCTAATATTATATCAAAATAATAACATGAATTCAACAACATGAAATTTACAGCTACTTGACGGAAAATTTGATCATAAAAAATATTAATTATTATTATTATTATTTTATTTCTGGTAATGAAACCAAGGAATCCTCAAAAGCGCCCTAGGCACTGTAGCTCGCAAGCCTGAAGAAACCTGTGGAGAGAAGACAATGAGAAGAAATTACAGTTTTAGAGGTGGGAGGAAAAGCCCAGAAGAATATTCTGGGGAAAACCCACGGAATCAGGCAGGGACTGAAAACCCAATCCGCGTATTGGCCCAGGCGGGATTCGAACCCGGGTCACAGCGGTGGAAGGCGAGGAAAGTACCACTACGCCAACCTGACTCCCCTGTTGCGGTACCCGTTGCAGAACCACATTCAAATGGGCCAAACTACCTCAGCAAGCTCAGTGGTGGAGTTGTAAGACATCTTCACCGGTAGGTTGTGGGTTCGAGTCCCACCTGAACAAGCTTATGAGATTTTTTTTCTTGAAAATTAAAATCTCTGAAAGCCAGAGCTGGAGATTGAACTGAAGTCTTGTACCCTGACTCACCTCCATGTCCTCCTCGTCGCTTTCTTCCTCGATGTCATTCATCCCGATGGCCGATGCCAGGGCTACCAGCGGGATGCCGGGTACCAGCGTCGGGCTCACGATGAGTCGGGTCAACTGGGCACTCTTGCTGATTCGTGGGTTGATGTTGATCGCTGGCCGCAGCTGCAGATGGCTGCGATGACTGGCATCTATACCAAGCTGAAAGAGAGATTTAAACAAATTTTCAGGTTTTTTTTAATTTGAGGAGTACCTGGAATAAATCCAACATGACTTCTCTCTGACAGAGTACTGAGTGCCAATTGAGTGCCAATTTGACATCTAACTGTAGCTGAGTGAGTAATGAGCCAGTATGAAGACTAGAACTTACCTGTCCATTCTCTGGCTTAGTGAGTATATTGAGAATTGAATACCAAGAATAGAGCTAACCTTTCCATTTTCTTCCTATGTGAAGAGTGTTTTTGTAAGTACCAAGATTAGAACCCACCTGTCCATTCTCTGGCTAAAAGAGTAATGAGTATTGAGAACTGAGTATTCAGTACCAAGATTAGAACCCACCAGTCCATTTCATGGTTAAAGTGAGTAGTAGGTACCAAGTATTGAGCACCAACACTAGAAGCTACCTGTCCATTCTCTGGTTAAAGGGAGTAGTGAGTATAGTGAGTACCAAATATTGAGTACCAAGTCTAAAACCTACCTGTCCATTCTCTGGTTAAAGCGAGTAGTGAGTGAGTAGTGAGTACCAATTATTGAGTACCAATTATTGAGTACCAAGACTAGAACCTACCCGTCCATTCTCTGGTTAAAGTGAGTAGTAAGTGAGTAGTGAGTACCAAATGTTGAGTACCAAGACTAGAACCTACCTGTCCATTCTCTGGTTAAAGTGAGTGGTGAATACCAAATATTGAGTACCAAGACTAGCACCTACCTGTCCATTCTCTGGTTAAAGTGAGTGGTGAATACCAAATATTGAGTACCAAGACTAGCACCTACCTGTCCATTCTCTGGTTAAAGTGAGTGGTGAATACCAAATATTGAGTACCAAGACTAGCACCTACCTGTCCATTCTCTGGTTAAAGTGAGTGGTGAATACCAAATATTGAGTACCAAGACTAGCACCTACCTGTCCATTCTCTGGTTAAAGTGAGTGGTGAGTACCAAATATTGAGTACCAAGACTAGCACCTACCTGTCCATTCTCTGGTTAAAGTGAGTGGTGAGTACCAAATATTGAGTACCAAGACTAGAACCTACCTGTCCATTCTCTGGTTAAAGTGAGTAGTGAGTGAGTAGTGAGTATCAAGACTAGAACCTACCTGTCCATTCTCTGGTTAGAGTGAGTAGTGAGTGAGTGAGTATTGAGTAGTGAGCATCGAGTACCAAGACTAGAACCTACCTGTCCATTCTCTGGTTTAAGTGAGTAGTGAGTGAGTATTGAGTACTGAGTATTGAATACCAAGTCTAGCACCTACCTGTCCATTTTCAGGTGATCCCCATGAGAAGACTTGTCCCTGTGATGTGATGGCTACAGAGAACTCAATCCCAGAACCGACGGCTGCTATACAGTGCTCGTCAGATATACGCACCAGAACCGGAATTCTCTACACAAGAAATCAACAAATTATTGAAAGGTCTATCAAAGAAATTGACTTGAGCGGGCTTGAACCTGCGACCTCCGGATAACCGTTCCGGTGCTCTACCAACTGAGCTATCCAGCTTTATGTTGGTGGTTCCACAATTAGTCAATATCTTTGTTCAAGGGGCGCTAGTCAGAAGCCATAAACCTGTATGCCATAAAGCCAGGGATCACGCCCAAAATCACGATACAGACCTCGGAAACAGCAAACAGGGATCACTCGGAGAAGATACGGCTTTTTATTACAAATTTTCAAATGAGCCACAAAGGGAAAACCGGTTACCGGCCAAAATGTAATGCAATGTATACATCTTGTGACTGGTTCACAGCTCAGTTTTGCTTAACATATCATGTTGGCAAGCAGAATTTTCGGCTTAGCAGAATTGGGCTCTGTTGATTTGTTTACCTGCTCCGTCCTGTGGCCAAGGCCAAGCTGCCCGCTGTCATTCTTACCAAAGCTGTACAGCTGACCTCCAGAGGTCAAGATGAGGTTGTGATTGATGGAGCACGCAACCTACCAAAATACAAGAATTGCAAGAAATGATAATTTCCTTTCTTACGCTACAGTGTGAGAAACAGGGAACTGTATAAGCTGATCAAGTGAAATCAACAAATTTCATGGCTGGTTCAAACTTAGCGTTAAGCATATGCAAAGTGAATTTGACGTCACGGAAGTTTCGCTGTGCAATTCGCCGGAATTGACATGTGTTCAACTTTTGCAAATTTACAGTGCGAATACTTGCCACGACGTCACAAAGTCCGGCAAGCTTGATGATGGAGTGGTAAGGTTCTGCACTAGTAAGCAGGAGGTTGTGGGTTCGAGTCCTACCTGAGCTAGCCTGTGATTGTTTTTGTTCTTATCTTCATTACATTTTGGCCACTTTGCTCAAGTGGTTAATATTCTTATTAAGGCCGGTTTATACACGGTGCAAAAGTGAACACAAACGTGAATTTGTGATGTCACGGCAAGGTTTTTGCACTTCGAATTTACAAAAGTTGAAACTGCGACAAATTTCGCAGTGAATGCTTCGTGATGTCATATTCGGTTCACATCCACATTCGCTCAAACTATTTATTGGCATTTTAATAGGCATGCACAAAATGGCTGTCGTAATTCTTCAAGAAATTTTGGTAATGGTACTGATTTCAATGTGGAGATATATCAATCCCATTCCAAATTTTCCCTAAACTATCTTTTTAATGACAATAAATCATGTAGAAGTTAATCATCCGAAACAAAGCATGCAAAAAGCGGGATATTAACCACAATTAAAGTTACAAAATGGCTACAACTCAGCCATCTTGTTTGAAGCATGACTCATTAGATGCAAGAGCATAGTCCCGCTTAGACTGAGAGTATTTTTTTCCAAAATCTGCAAGCTTTATTCTTGCTATAGCAATGGCAAGTTTCCATCATACCTGTTTAATTGGTGCGCATATCTTGCCGCAGTCAAAGGCGTACGGTCTCAAGTACTGATTCTCATCCTCCGGTCTGGACTCCATGACGGTGACCGACCGCCGACGGCCGACAACGATCGAATCGCCGCTGGCGTCACGAGACGTCTTGCGTTTCCTGGAGGACTGGAGGGACTGACGCAACTCTAGGGGACTCTTCCCCCAGATGTAGACTTTCTGAGGGCCGGATGTCACGGCAATCTGAAAGTTAAAAACATTGAAACATTGAAGAGTTTCCACATTGTCTATTGCATTTAACAAAAGAGTCACACAGATTTCTTAATCATACCCACACCAATTTTATCCAATCCAATGCTTACTTTTCTGTGTGTCAATCACTATTAATTGAATACGAAGCATGCTGAACTAGCCAGCATGGGCAGATAATCCTTTATTATAACACCTCAAGCCCAGATTTTGTCTCTTGCGCTACCCTTTTTTTTTTTTTAAACAGTCACAGACAGTCAAACTTTCCATCCATTTCCTCTGCTATACTTTTAACACAGGCTAGTCACCAGCAGTCAGAGCATATGTCAAGCAAGCACTGTGACTAGTCAAACTCAGTCAACAGACCATGAACAGACAAAGCAGGCAAGTTGTGGGCACAGCTGGCTTATCAATTACCCAGTCAAAGCATAGCTGTATCAAGTTACATAAACAGTCATGGCCAGTCAATCTTACTTTATGTAGGCTGGGATCCAGAGGTCTTAACTGTTGAAAACAGTCACTTGATTGATTTTGACTGAAAGGACAACTCGGTACGGAATTCATGTTTCATAGGAGGACTTATAATGCACACTGCATGTGAATTTCTTTCTTGTTATCCCTTGAACAGCACTGAGTACACAAAACCTATGACATTACGTCAGTGACGGGCAAACAAAATCACCAAAAACATCTCCCAAACGCTGAATTCAATCATACAAATAAAGTATAGTTTTAATTGGCATTCCCTTACTGAAGTTTTTTAATAGTATCACAGTTTTTATCCAAACTTTCCTATTTCCTTGTGCTCCTCAATTTTTTTTTTTAAACCAACTGTTTATGCATACCCTGGGCGAAAAAAAGTAATAAATAAATAAATGCATTAATGAACTTACGTTATGGAACAATCCACTAGCCACCACAATAACCCTCTCCTTGTTGAACCCATCCAGCAGCGTCGGTGAGGTTCTCTTCATGACAACCTTGCCTAAACCCAGCTGACCGAACGTCCCCGACCCGCAGATGTACACCTGGCCGTCGGCAGACAGCACGATGCTGTGACAGTAGCCGCAGGCCATCTGGGTGACGCGGACGGGGTCCAGGGCCGTCACGTGCCGAGGCTGGAGTTGGTCTTCTACGGAGCCGTGGCCCAGCTGGCCGTGGACGCCCCAACCCCAGCTGTACACTCTGAACGAGACCAAAGAAAATTGTGTGGTTTTCTGTCAAAACCAGGGCTCAATAGACCATTATCATGTTGCGGCCATCGTGATTTTTTCCCATTCAAAACAACGTAGCCAAAGCGAGGCTAGAAGGAAAAATAGTCTGGTTCCTTTTTTGCACAAAAAACATTATCATCAGTACTGCTATTGGATGCAGGGAACGTGACTGAAATGGTGGCAGCATGATAAAGATCCATAGGTACGATACCAACATAATGAAGTCATGCTTTGTTTACATGCGCACTTTCCAATGGGTGGCTCTCGTCCCTTAGGAAAGCACAAATGTAACCAAACGTGACATCATTGGAGCTGCTTAGCAGACAATTCTGCTTAGCACTTTTTCTTAAGCTAAAGTAATATGGCAACCAGTTACAAGCAGTACACATCGCACGAAATTTTGGCCGGAAATAGGTTTATGCTAAGCAAATATTTTCTGCGCTAAGCAAATTTCTTTGTTTAACAACTCCATGATGTAGCCCTTGTAGGCGATTTCTCAAAATGGTACGTAACTTACGCCATGCATAGGACTTATGCAACTAATTTATTGCGCAGCTGCGCAATAAACTTACGATCTAAAAATTTAACAATATGTAAAGGATCTGAACTTTAACAATATCAAAATTGCTCTTTTTGACTAGCAGCTCTTTGTTAATAAAAAAAATTACCCTTTGCCCAATTTCAAGTCAATCAGTGATTCAAACCATGACAAGGCTGACCAGACAGCACAGGTTATGTCAAGTCAACTTACTTTTGATCCCTGGTGAGCGCCATAGAGTGGTACTGACCACACGCTACGGCCACACAGCATTGACCGGTCAGCGCTTGGACCAAGGACGGCCTGGTGTGAGTGGTCCGGTCACCCAGGCCTAGCTGACCACACTTGGAGGTACCCCAGGAATATACCTAACAAAAGGCAAAAATAAGACAATATACAATAAAGAGTCAGAAATTTCTCAAGATAAGATGGTGAACCACCATATTTTGAAATCTCAAAGTAGTTTCCAAGCCTAGCCATGTATGAAGAAATCAGGCTAAACCATCCCCCCAACCCTCCCCCCCCCCAAAAAAAGGGGCACAAATGGAGCAAGACTTGAACCTGGAACCTTCACAATACTGCATCAGCCCTCTACCAACTGAACTATCGAGCCCTATGTTAGTGGTCTCCAAATTTGTCAACGTTTTTATTCAACAAGCACTAATCAGAAGGTTTTTGGGGATCTCTCATAGAGGATACAACTTTTTTTACAATAATTCAATAAATACACCACTTTCAGCTCTACTTTAATAGCATATAACCTCAATCCTACAAATTTCTCCATTATTTTTGAATATGGTCCGTGGAGGGGTGACCACAGCCTGAATCCTGCAAAACCCTGCGGCAGAGACTGTCAATATGTTGAGGCTTGGCCAGTGACATCCTGGAGCAGTATGGAGGATTTCAAGCATAATCCAGGCCTATATTTATGCATGGCTGAGCAAAATCAACACAAGGTCCAGCCCAAGACCTTTACAAAGTGCATCCTACGAAATCCCTAACGCACTTTTGCCATGTAACCTCAATCCTCCAAATTCCTCCACTTTGGCAAAGAGGATTTTGAAGGATTCAGTGTGGTTAGGGTTAATGCAACAATGAACAAAACTTTGTGATGCCATGGAAAGTATACATCCGGCCATAAAAAGATTATCACATTTCAACTCCAGCGAAACTTTGCGGCAAAACTATCAAGCCATTTACCTCAAAGTTACAATGGCATCAAGGTTGCATATGATTCGCTTTACATTGGTTGATTTTTGTTTTTTTCTTGGGGGGGGGGGGTGTTTCGTTGGACCTACCCTTCCTTGCTCCCCTAGTGCTAGAGTGTGTTCCTTGCCGCAAGCTACGGAGATGATACGTATCTGATGCATGTGAAGTGTCTCCACACGGAACGGTGCTGATCTGCCGTCTGCTGGGATAATGTCACCATGGCCCAGCCTGGGAGAAACAAACAACACAAATAATTATATCATCAAATTCCGCATAATGATTTGTGTGGGCTGTTTTGCAGTTTCACCCCGAAAGATAAATTTTTTTTTTTTTAAATTGCTAGTATTCGAGCAACATAAAAGTTGCTCACTTTTGAGCAAGGCATCATTCAAAACAAAACAAAATGGGCCCGTTACAGAATATTAACTCTACAAATTCCTATTTATCTGAGGCCCAACAATTCAGTTTTAGCAGGGTAGACTGGTTCCCACCTCCTATTAGAATCGATAACATAGGGATCGAGAACCAGTCTACTTGTAAAGTGGATCTGTTTGTGTGCAAGAGCAACCCAAAATAAAAATATTTTAAAGAGTGTTACAGACGCCCACAATAGTAAAAAGCAAGGTTTTTTTTCCAATTAACCCTAGCAGAACTCAACCCATCAAACCCCAACGGCATGTTTTGTTGGAATCTGTCAGGATGGGTACAGTACCCCTAAACTGACAGTCTTTTACATTGGGTTGGCACACCTCCAGAAACAAAGTCAGAAATATGTGTGTGCAGTTTCCCATATGGTGATGGAATTTGCCAGGATGGGTATGGTTTTTAGTAAATCATGCTGGGAGTTAGGGTTAATATAAAACACTCAAAATTCATTAGGAGAAAAAGAGCAAGGACACTATGTCTTTATTTTTTCAGTTTTGAAAAACACAAGATTCATTAGTTTGACAATTATTCCTTTTGTTGACATTTGAGAGAAACGAGGTCTTGTCTTTTACCTGCCTCCGTGAGCTTTGCCCCACGTGTACACATCATCACCGGAAACCATGGCAACGTGAAACTGACCACACGACAGGACGTTTCTCTGAGGAGGCAGACTGACCGATTGATGTATCCGGTCACTGGACGGGCTGCTGCCATCAGTGCTGGGGTCAAAGTTCAGCAAGCTGGAAGAATCACTGTTTGAGAAAAAAATTGAATAAACTATTGATTACACACATACATTGTTCAATAGAACTTACAATTTCTTCAAATGAATTTATACAGTACAAGTCAAAGAAGTGTAAATAATTTTGCAGAAAAAAAACCCAAATAATTTGGAGTTTCTTTGAAAACAAATGTTATGAGCAAATTATGCAATAGTCAATTTAGTGGCTGGGGTAACCAGTGGATGCATAAAATAAATTTGTCAGATTTATAGCCAAGTCAATCACAAGTCCAATCACAAGTCCATCACAAGACCATCACAAGTCCATCACAAGTCCATCACGAGTCCATCACATGTCCATCACAAGTCCATCACAAGTCAATCACAAGTCAATCACAAGTCCATCACAAGTCCATCACAAGTCCATCACAAGTCCATCACAACGCCATCACAAGTCATCACAAGTCCATCACAAGTCCATCACAAGTCCATCACAATACCATCACAAGTCTATCACAAGACCATCACAAGTCTATCACAAGTCCATCACAAGTCCATTCACAAGTCCATCACAAGTCCATCACAAATCCATCACAAGTCCATCACAAGTCCATCACAAGTCCATCACTGAGAATGTTTTTGACAATTTAAGAAAATTTGTCAGATTTATAGCCAAGTCAATCACAAGTCCAATCACAAGTCTATCACAAGTCCATCCCAATGCCATCACAAGTCCATCCCAATGCCATCACAAGTCCATCCCAATGCCATCACAAGTCCATCACAAGTCCATCACAAGTCTATCACAAGTCCACCACTGAGAATGTTTTTGACAATTTAAGAAACGTAAGAAATCCAGGAATCGCAGGACAAGTGTGTACAATCCCTGAACATTGAATGTTGTACAATGCAATATTTCTGTCTTTGCTGCAACGTTTCCATCCATCCAATCATTGATGAAGATTAAGACCATGGTCGACGCGAGGGGAGGGGGAGGGGCAAGGGAGCGCTTGCATGCAAAATGAAAGCCCCCCCCCCCCCCAGAAAAGGGGGAGGAAAAAAAAAAGGAAAAAGAAGTGTGAAGCCATATTGCTGTTATTTTGATGGGGGGAGGGTAGGGCAAATGTTCCCCTACCAACGCTGAGAAAATGATAAATTGAGAATATGTTGAAAACATTTTGGGGGGAAATGTGCTTTGCCCTCCCCCCTGGAAAAATCCAGGCGACGCCCATGATTAAGACTTACCCTTGGTCTAATCTCTTCCTGTTGAGTACAATGAGGACTCGGAGATAGAATTCTACCAGGGCACTGGGCTTGGGAAAAGACTGAGTGGTGTCCTGTTAGGCAGAAATAAAATAAGCCATCACTTAAAAGTGCCCTATTGAAATATGCCACTGAAAAGCTTTCCCTTATTAAAGGGAATGTACATCATTGGTTTTTGATGTAATTTTCAGAAATGAACTATTTGAGGGGTTAGTAGATATAGATCAAATATTGTTACACTGACATTTTTGAAGTTTTGTGTTCGAAAGGGTTGGAAAAACCAAGAAAAACAAAAATGTTTAAGTGGTCTGGTTCCCTGACTCCACAAAAGATAAAATGGATCAATTTATAGATGATGGAAAATTGTAAGGCACGAGAAACAGTCTAGCTGGCCTGCACCCGTTCATGAAACATGTAACCAATAGCAAACAAAATTTGGACTGAAAAAATGGTTAATTTGGAGCAGTAGTTGAAAAATAGTTAGGTTTTTCCAACGCTGGTCGGCCGACCACCGTTGGAAATGTATACAAAAATACCATTTTCTTGAAAATGACTTCACACCAGGTGCCATAATTTTACAAGATGCTTGAGACTGTCATTTACCAACATCCTAGTAAGGTATTTCGTAAAAACTTGGTAGTTTTATTTTTCGATGTTTGCAAATGTTGTATATTCCCTTTAATCAAATTATGTAAAAAGTAACTATGTGACCCATACATGCTAAGCCAAGTTTTTATAAGTTGAACAAAAGAAACTGACTGGGGCGGGGCTTGAACCTGCAGCCTCCAGATTGCCGTTCCGGTGCTCTACCAACATTGGCCAAGTTCAGACAAGGAAAATTGTCAACTAGTGTAGTGGTTGATTTGTGGCGTACCTCACGCCTGCGCACTAATAGCAACGTGCGAACGTCTCTAGTCAAACGCTGGTCAAAATGTCATCGCAAAACTTCTGAATCCTGGCTCCCTGCTGTACGTTATGAATGCGCGCGGCTATTGGTTACCAGCGATGCAACCAGCCCCAGTAGGCTGGTTCCAAATAGTCGACTAGCGTAGTCAACCACCGTCGACTAGACAGAGTTCGGGCTAACTTTAGTCGAACTATGGTTAACCAATGGTCAACAATAGTTCTTGCGCGAACTTGCCCTGAGCTATTCAGCCCTATGTTGGTGGTTCCCCATTTTGTCAATAACTTTAATCAAGGGTCGCTAGTCAGAAGCCATGAAGCCGGGGACCATGCACAAAGTCACGGGGATCACTCAGACAGGACGCATGTTTTTCTGTAATAAACGCTTATTCTGTAGTAAGCGCAACTGACCCCATTACTTTGACCCCTGGCAAGTTACATACCAATGGAGACTCCGCTGAGCCCTGGCTGCTCATGGTGTCCAAGGATACAGAGGATGAACATTTTTGGATACTGAAGGAAGAAGATATTTATTCAGTCATCTTTTATGAAATAAATATCTGTAAGCATTGTTGTTCATTTGGTCTTTGTTAATTCATTTCTGCAGCACCACAAATCATAAAAACAAACGGCAAAAGTATATTTTATACAAAATTATAGTGATTCTATACCCATACAATCTGATAAAAGAAGAACTCTCTGAAAAGCAAGAAGACGGCTTCAAAACGTCCTTTTCAGGACAACAACCCGATCCAGTGCAGCCTCACAATCGCAGTGCAGTGCAGTAGTTGACATTTTTCTACTCTTGCGACTGTTGATTTTTTTTTGGCGCCGACTGATGCCAATCATCTTAACATCATCGCAATTACACTCAGGTCGCAAAACAAAATCAGGGACAGAAATGTTCGTAGCTCAGGCACAGCTTGATTTTACAAAGTCAGTCGCTGACTGTTTTGTGTCATCGCAGGGTTGACCTGAGGGCGGCCTTAGTTGCCTCACTTTTAACGGTTTTGACTTTTCTTACCTTGTCTTTGCTGTATTGACGGCTCTAGTAAGTAGCGGTCTAATAGTGGGCTTGGACGGATCAAACAACCATGCTAGCTTCATCAGCGTCGCCAACTTCAGATCATCCAGGAAGCCACTGAAGAGTCCCATGTATCGATAGGACAGCTCCGGCTGTTGGATGAACATTAACGACAAACTTATCCTAAGTCTTGATCTAAGACATGTTTTTGATTTTGTTGGGGCAGAGCAAGACACTCTCAACGAGATGAATCAAATCTAGTCCCAGGAACTCTGGAGTTCCAGAATTTCTCTCTAGCTTACTTTAAACTTAAAGCTACAGTCCATCATTTGTAATTTGTGCATTTTGTTCGTTTAAAGCAACAAAAGAGTTCAAAATCTAATGAAGGATACTGAGCAACTAACCTGATGAAGTTTCAGCTAAGCTTCAGCTGTACATTCCGAGAAAAACAGCATTCTAAGATCTCAATTTCAAATCAAAAGTTACTGAATCATGTTTTGAATTGTTTTGAATTGCAACTATACGCGACGTCGCGCACTGATCCGACGAATTACAACAACCGCGCGCGCGTGTGCGTCGTTCCAATACTTGTGCGCGCTGCGCTGAATAACAAAACGAACTACTAATTAAAATTTTCCTACGGTGCTTCTTAAGAATCACCGTTAGAAATGCCTTCTTTCGATGATTACTTCAAAATGACAACCAAGTATGTTTTTCAACAATAATTACGCCAGTTACTTTTCGGATAGCTGCAAATGATGGACTATAGCTTTAACAGTCTTGTTCTAATGAGAATGTCTCCTCGCGTACCTTCTCTACAAGCCTGTTGACGGCCTCCTGGGTGGTCATACTCATCAGGAAGGCATTGTTGCCAGCATTGGCCATGGTAGAGATGAATCCCTGGGACACTAGCTTACACTGCTGCTCACAGTCTAGCTCCGGTGAGCCGTGGGTTAGGAGAGCCTCTAGGGCCTGGCCAACAAGGCCTCGCGACTGTAGAAGCAAAAGACGGCAAATAACATGGCAAATATCCATTCATCGAAACAGTGTTGTAGTTCAGTCCATCACAAGTCCAGTGACAATCACTTGTTAAAGTTGGGGTTTAAAGACTCGTATTGAAGGTTTCATGAAAAAGATTCACCTTTCATGGGCTTTTAAAGGGAAAACATCAAGAAACGAAATGATCAAATTTTCACGAAATACCTTACTGGATTGTTAGGGACTGACAGTCTAAAGCGTCCCTTAAAATCGTGGCTCCTGGTGTGCTGACATTTTCAAGAAAAATTGTATTTTTTTCCAAAGCTGGTCGGCCGACCAGCGTTGGAGCAAACTGGCTTTTTTTCAAAAACTAATTTTTCATATTTAGTTATTCTGCCCTTTCTTTGCAATAGATTTAACACCTGTGAAGGGGTACAAGCCTGCTAGACTGATTCTCTGACCTTACATTCCCCAAAGTGTATTAATTGCTCCGTTTCATCTTAAATAAATGGGGTCAGGGAACCAGACTACAAGAACATGATATGTTTTCTTGGCTTTTCAAGCATTTACAAGCCCAAAACATGAAACAAGTCCATTTAACAATATCTTCTATAACATACTAATCCTCTAAATCCATTTATTTCTGAAAATTGCAGCAAAAGCAAATGTTGTACATTCCCTTTAAATCAAATACATTTTGAATGTGAGAGCTAATTGCAATACCTCTCTCAATATTTTCACACTTGAGACAATGTGAGCAGAGCAGAGGAAGAGGAAAAGCGAGACATCTTACCCTGGCCACCTGAAAGACCAGATCCTGCATGCCGTGCTCGGCAAATGTCTCCAGCGTGGATATCTCATCGTAGTCAAAGTTGTCCATCAGAAACTGCCTGTAAGTTCCACAAATAAATCAGAAAAGCAAATAATAATAATAATAATCGGCATTTAAGAACGCTCTTATTAGTAAACTAAATCACAGCGCTTACAGTATTACTATTACCCCTGATCATTGGGCCAATTAAACATTCCATATACTACATGTACCTCAGCTTCCTGGGGAGTATACAGCTGGATGCTGCCTGTTAGGCGCAAGCAAGCTTATTCAATCACAATAACCATCTCTGCCCTCACAGGTACCCATTTACTCCTGGGTGGAGAGAAGCAATGAGTGACAGAGTGCCTTGCCCAAGGGCACACCCACCATGACCCCGGCTGGACTCCAACCCACAACCCGCAGCTTTACCCACAGGCCACGAATCCAGTGCCCTTAACCACGAGGCCACTGCTCTCCAAATACCATCATATCAAGTATACTGATTTTATTGACCAGATATTTTGACTCGCATAATAGAAAAAAATAAGAGATTATCCCTACAAGTCGACTGGTCCTAGCTAGGTCCCTAAATTATCAACGCTAATAGAAAGTGGGAGCCAGTCTGCCCGGTGCAGGCTGACTTAAAGTAGGGCCGCAAACAACTTGAATCTTCGATTTGATTTTATGACTAAACTTGGACAGATTTTTTGTTCACTGTCTCATTCAAAAGTGACAAACTTCTGCATTGCTAGAAAATAGCAATTTAACAGTAAAATCCACGGTGAAACTTGAAAAAATGCAACGGTACATCTTATTAGCTAACCTGAATCTTCCAATGAGCGCCTCGTCACTGCGTCCCTCCAGTATCTGATACAGGAAGCATCTGACTGCGGTATCGGCAAGCTTTCTCTTATCGGCTGTGCTGAGGTCGTCTGGTTTGCTCAGGGCCGACAGCACCAGGCTCAGGGCTTCCGGGATGTAACCCTGACTCACAAAGTTGGCAACTTGCTTCAACCTCGACCACTGAAAGGTGAAACAAATAAATTACATTAGCTCCGTGCACGAACAAAAAGGGCGCTTTTCACCACTACGGGACAAACTGCATGCACGTACAGGGCCAAGTTCGGGCAAGGACCATTAGTCGACAAGTGGTTGATTTGTGACGTACCTTACGCCTGCGCACTGATAGCAACGTGCGAACGTCTCTAGTCAAACGCTGGTCAAAATGTCATCGCAAAACTTCTGGATCCTGGCTCTCTGCTAGCGTTATGAATGCGCGCGGCTATTGGTTACCAGCGAAGCAACCAACCCCAGTAGGCTGGTTCCAAAACAGAGTTCTTTTCAAATGTTAGTTAACCATTGGTCAACTATATTCCTTGCGCGAACTTGGCCCTGGATGCACGAGTTGGCCATTTTTGTCGAGTTCCCTGAATGTATTTCATTAATTGTTAACCATTGAATGGGATGGCGCCAGACTGTTTATGCAGGCATAACGCAGCCTTATTTTACAGTCTTTTTTTTTTTTAAATCTGGCTTTAAACATTAAGGAATGTTTAATAACAAATTTCAAATTATTCATTGACGCAGACTGGAATTAATTAGTAGTTAACTTGCTTTCATTTCTCGTCGCAATTTCCAAAAATTAAGATTTTACCTCACTTTCAATTCAATATGGCCGACTCGTGCATAGGTCCCATATATAGCGCCAAGTAAGCACGACTTGTTTTGTTCTGACTGTGCACAAAGCCATGGCGACTTCACATGAACGTCAGGCATTGTCAGCAATGCGTTCGAATATTCCAGTGATCTCTCACAGAGATCTCCCCCAACTGTCCCTTTCTTACCGCTGAGTGGCACATACATCTCAAAGCAGAGGCAAATTTATGATGTCGCAGCAAGAATTTCGCTCTGTGAATTCGCCAAAGTTTAAAGGTATAGTCCATCATTTGTAATTTGTGCATTATGTTCGTTTGAAGCAACAATAGTGCTCAAGATCTAAAGAAGGGTGCTGAACAAATAACCTGATGAAGTTTCAGCTCAGCTTCAGCTGTATACTTCAAGAAAAACCAACATTCTAGGATCTCGATTTCAAATCAAAAGTTGCTGAATCATGTTTCGAATAGGGCCTGAATTCAGCGTCCGAGACACGTTCTCACTGAGCCGATTGCAGCTATGCGATGTCGCGCACTGATCCAAGCAACTGCGCTCGCGCACATGTGCGTCGTGCCAATGCTTGCGCGCGCTTCGCCGAATAACAAAACGAACTACTAATTTGAATTTCCTGCGGTGCTTCTTAAGAAGCTTCTTAAGAAGCACCGTTGGAAAGGCTTTCTTTTGTTGATTTCTTCAAAATGACAGCTTGCCAGAAAGAATAATTTCACAGGGAGTTTAGTCCCCTTACTATCTTTCAACCAAGTATGCTTTTCAACAATAATTACGTCAGTTACTTTTGGATAGCTGCAAATGATGGACTCTGGCTTTAACACATTTCAAATCTGGGAACTTTGCGTTGAATTTCCCCTATCGTCAGGGCGAGGTTCATTTGTGCACAAAATGAAAGCACCTTTTCAGAATGTCCAAAATCAGAACCATGTAGTTTTCTTTTCATTAAAAGTAAATATACACATTGAAAAATGGTTAGAAAAAAAAATTCAATTTTTTTTTAAAGTACAGGGTGTGCAACTTTAAACTAATAGTTAACTTTTCAAGATAAGAAAGATTGTGCTAGGACCGAATGAACCAACAAATAAAAGTCTCCTTGAAATTCAGCAAATATGCCGTTGTTAAAAACTGTGTGACAATTTGCCAAGGAAGTTCAAGGAACTGCACTCTGAATAAATCTTACCTCTGAGCGATGGTACAGTCTCATGGCCAGCTTTGTCTGTCCCTCAACTAGCCTGCGATTGGCTGCCAGTCCATACAGCCCATTCATGTCAAGCCCCAGGGTGATACCAAGATTATCAGGGAGGGAGGTATCAGCCTCTTCCATGGCCAACTCGAGGAACAGCCCCTCTGGAGATATTCTGTTCAGGGTTCAGGCAACAAAAGAGAATGCCAGACATTCAGTAGACGAAATGTCATCATGTCTTGTAGAAAATCCATCAGAATGAAATTCAGTAATGTACATTATTGATTTTTGTGCAATATAATGGATTCATTTAACGGAGAGTCAAATTACGGTTGAAAATCTACCGACTTGTGCAAACACGTTTAGATGTGAAGGAAATTATAAGTGCACCTGACACTTGACAATTGATTGAGCTGAAAGCCAAAACCATTAAGAAAAGTGCTCAACAGCGGGGCTTGTTAGTGCTAGAAAAGCTAAAAATAGATTCTGGAAAAGGCCATCTGTTCCTTTTGAGACTGTCTGTTTCGATATAAATGTTAGGTGACATAAGTGTTTCGTTCCTGCAGAACTGTCACTAAATTGACTGCGCAAAACATGAAAACGTTCATCCACCGCTTGCCCTGAAGTGCGTACACATGATGTTAATGACTGCCTTTATTTGTCTAATAATAAACATGTAATGTCACATTGTTACCGAATGCAAAAAAAAACAACCTGACCTGTTAATATTAACAGACCAAAATATATTTGATGCCGTAAGAAAACTTGGCTTCAGCAAAATGTGGAAAGGGGCTGAAACATGTAGGGTGGTTTTTGTGCTGTTGTGTGGTGATTTTCCCATGAAGTATTTCAATTTGACGGTGTATGTTTGGGCACTACACAAATACAAATGGAAAACCATGAAAAGTTTTTTTATGTAAATGTATTGGTGCATTTTTGCTAGTCAGCCACACTATCACAGCAATTTCAAGTGAAACCAATTTATGTAGCAATTACTCAGCACGTTACCTGTTTCTCATTTCACATGTACATGTGAATTGTCTGAAATATACTTTTCAAAAATCTGGTTTACTGTACTACGAATTTGACCAGGAAAAGTAAATAAACAGTAGTCAAGTCGCTAATTAAAAAAGGATACTTTAAAAATATTGCAATTGATGTTAATAATAGTGTAATTTTTTTTAACCTATTGTAGTCACCGAACTGCCCCAAACAGCCCTGCCTATTACTCCCTTTATCTTCAAGCAAACTTGAATCCTTGGTCCTGATTGGTCAATCCATGGCAACAACAGTGGAATATTATACCTAACGCCACGGTCAATATCGCACTCTGCATATCACGCTATTCCAAGATGCGCGCACCATTCCAAATGCGCGCACCATTCCTTACTGCATGCACGTGTAACAGGGCAATTCCACGGTTACTCACATTACATTTTTGATGTACTTTTGAGTTTCCTTGAGCTGTAATTACCTTACTGAAAAGGTTTAATAACTGTTATCCCCATGGTAGATAGAGTAGACCTAGACCTACCTAAGCACCAAAGATGACATCCAGAAAAATGTATTATGTATGATAAACAAGACGCACAAAATCGGTTACTCACGTTACAAAAATGTAACGTGAGTAACCGTGGAATTGCCCAACAGGATAACCACTGAACGGTTTGTGTACAGCATGCGTGTTCCTTCACTGTGCGGTGTCAAGTTTGCTTGAAGATAAATTTGTTGTCCCACTCGTGCTAGTGGAATACGTCTGCGTCCCACATACCACTCGACCTTCAGCCTCATGGCATGTGGTACACAGACACACTACATTATTCCGTGTTCCACTTGCGCTCGTGGGATAACTAATAGTAGTGCCGAAAAAACGTCCGGGCACTTGGTTTTATGGATACATCAGTGAAAAAAACACAATGAAATGTTGTTGCATTCAGATCAAGAAGTCAAAACCAACATTTAGCAATGTCTTTTTAATTCAGATAATATCAATAAACTTGTATCAAACATAGACTCATTAACTAGGACATAACACGTTCCCCTCGTTAAGATCAAGTGCGACATGAACCATTTCCTGTGGAATATAAAAGCCCACCCCACAAATGGGACTTTGGTTCCAAGATACGACAGCCGTACACAGCATGTGTCTAATCATGTTGTTCCGCGGAGTTCAAACAACGATAACCTAGTTTGCAAAAGCTGGACTCTGAACTGACGTTGAGAGTTTCTTATCGTCCATTTCATAAATATATACAGTGGGTTTCGGTATTGAGAATTGCTGGGCCAAGGGCACTATCACAGACCTGGTTAATACAAAGTCCAGTGTAGACTTTATATAGTATATTTACGGTCAAACAAAAAAAAGATTTACCCAGCTGACGATATGCTACTGTAAAATTTGTCAGATTTCTTTTTTTAGCAAGTTGGAATAAATTTCTTTGACTGGAAGGGTTGTTCAATTATGTGGTTTAGTGGTTTTGAGATTGCGCATAAGTACTGCACAGTCAGAATTTTGTAATTCAGATTTGGGGTGTGCCACCTTTTATGAACATTCTGTACAGCAACTTCAGAGATTTGAATTTTGGGGTTGGGTTACTTTAACGGGTACCCGGATACCCGTGCTTTTTCAATTGGGTACCAGATTATTTTTAAAGACTGTTTTGCTCACCTTGGTTTACACTGGTAGACGGCAACATCGGTAACCAGCACACATCCCTCTAGGACAGTGTGTGATTCTATCCTCGTCTGCAGCTCGTGTTTGGATGTAGATTTGTCCCTGTGAATCTGGACTTGATGTTCAACGCCCTGACTGTGGACGCAAAATGGAGAAATTGGATTTTTTGATGTTTTTTACATGTCACTGCTGTCGCATGCTTTTCTCCCTTTTACCAAAAAACAAGACAAAAGCTGTCACATAGTCACTATTGGTGACTCCATCAGTCAAAATAAAGTTTAGGAAAAACATGCCATATAGGGTGACCCCCCAAAAAATTCAACCCTTAAACATTGCCTTTTTTTCAAAAACATGCTCTGTGAATTGTTATGTTCTAGATATCAGAGTATAATTAAAAGCTGAGAGCATTTAAAATGCCAATTATGTACCACAACACATTTTCATTAGAAACACACTCTTGGAAACAATGGTCCGATTAACTTATTCTTTATGATGGGACTTGCGGTTTTGCCAAAGTCAATTGAGTGTGTGATCGGCTGACTGATAAGGTTTATGCACAAAACCCCTGGCCAATGAGCCAAAAATTCATTTTGTAAGAACAATGCAAAGTGCAATATTCAATTTCACACTTAAAAACACAACCAGTTCCATTCCTACATGGAAAAGTACCGCATAGAAAGCAAAAGCTTGTGGTGACTATTATGATAACCGTATGATACAAAAATATAGGACAACATGCATCACAAACATGCATCAATACTACATGATCAAAATATATGATCAGCATAGCATGACTGAATTTTATTGGTTGGTGGGTATTGTCCAAAGAGGGGGAGCTGGATTGGGGGTTAGAGGTGTGGTATTGACAGGTTTTGGACAGGGAGATGGGGGTTGGGGGAATGGGTGGTGGGGGGATGAGGGGTTGGGCGATGGGGTAGAGGGTCGAAACTTGGGGACATGATGGGGGTGGGGGATGAGGAGGGGGAAGGATGGGGGGGGGGGAGAGATTGGGTAGGGGTTGGAGGATGGGGGAGGATTTAGTCCGAAAATTTGGGACTCTCGATACTGTGTATGAGAGTCCCAAAACTTAAGGTATTGAAAACATGCAATACAGGAAAATGGACTGGCACCAGAAACAACCAGTCCAACACCGCTGCAGTACTGCATCAATCAACTATGCCAAAAGAATTTAAAAAAAACATGTGGCATGAACCGGGAACTAATCTCTATTTACTACACATTTCTCCATAGTCAGCCGCCAGACTAATAACACTGAATGAAGAGGTCAGTCTTTTCAAATAGTCGGACCATAGTTGGACATGTATCCGGTACCAGTCTAGTCTTTAGCCCCATTGTGAAATCACTTGACTTCCCTCTCATGTGTAAGATATTGAAGAAAAGTCTCCTTTAAAAATTGAATGGAGTCTGCAAACTTGGTTGGTGAAATACTGAGGACCTTTTCTTTGCCTGATGGAATTTTTGGAGAAATTTTCTGGCTAAAGAGTGAGTTAAGTTGGCCTGATTTAGTTTTGCACGTTTCAGAGCACTCCAGAGCCCTGTCTGGGAGAGGATTCTGACAATACCTTATATTAGGTTGATCTGATTCCTTGCTCGTCTTGTCGTTGACGTAGCCGGCAGGGAAGGAACATTTATAGACAGCAATGACTCTCTCATCGGACGGAAGGAAGAACGTTTGCATGACGGCCGCTTCATTGAGTGGCTGGTCCTGCTTACTCGTCTCCGATAAATGACTCGATAAAACACCAAATACTATCTGTTTCCATGACAACAAAGTAAAAATGAAACTACAATGAAAACAGTAATAATTGTCACCTACCTTGAACGACATATGACCCATTACCGGCGTACTTTACTGTACTTTACTGAAATGGTGCACTGGGCATTAAAGGGAATGTACAACATTTGCTTTTGCTGTAATTTTCAGAAATAAATGGATTTGGAGGAATAGTATTTTATAGCAAATATTGTTACACTGACTTGTTTCACGTTTTAGGTTCGTAGATGCTGGCAAAAAACAAGAAAACCAATCATGTTCTTGTAGATTGGTTCCCTGACCCCACTTAAGATGAAACAGAGCAATTTATAGACTTTGGGGAATTGTAAGGTCAGAGAATCAGTCTAGCTGGCTTGTACCCCTTCACAGGTGTGTAATCAATTGCAAAGAAAATGCGGAATAACTAAATATGAAAATTTAGGATCAGTTTTTGAAAAAAAACAGTTTTTTTTCCAACGCTGGTCGGCCGACCAGTGTTGTAAATTGATACAAAAACATCACTTTACTGAAAAATGTCAGCACACAAGGAGCCATGATTTTACGGGATGCTTTATACTGTCATTCCCAAACAGTCCAGTAAAGAATTTTGTGATAATTTTATCATTTTGTTTTTTGATGTTTGCAAATGTAGTATCTTCCTTTTATGAAAGAAAATGAAACTCAACTAGTTCAATCTTGGCAGATTCTGTGATAAGTTATTATTTGCGACAGGTCCCACATTTATACCCTTAAAGAAAATATCAGTTTTTTTGGAATTTGAGAAGAGAATGTCAGAGAAAAGTTCTGCATTCATACCTCTTGTGGACCACAGAGATTAGATATCGCAGTGATTACATCAAGAGATCTGACTGTACTTGTACCATTAATACTATCTGACAACCCTAACTTATCTGAAAGATAACTAGTTGGAAACCACACTGAAACTAAATATACGAATCTTTACAGAAAAGGGAGATTATGTGAGAAAGGGATACTCACATCACCGTCTTGGACGTAAATGACAAACATGAGTCTGTCTGTGAGGATGACATGGGTGCACTGCGGAGGGAGCCGGTAGACGTGCAATGGTAACCAGTTATCAATACTACTGTCAAATATCTGGAGATAAAAAGGATAAAGAGTTAAATTTGGGAGGGAAAACACGGCTACAGAAATTGTTGAAAGTGCCGCAGAATTTCAGGAGAAAACAAAAAATTGAAATATCACCTTTGCCCACACCGTCCTATTTCTTTTTCTCCCAACCCTGCCTGTGCCTTAACTAGCCTCACAACAACATGTAAAAAGTGGCAAATTTTTTTTTCCTTTTTCAGATCGATATTTTGGTTCAATTAATAATACTGGATTTTGCCTTTCACAAACTGGCAATATTAAGCAGGAGGTCATGACTTTTAGCCAAACCGAGCAAGCTTTTGAATTTTGTTGTCGCAAGCTCTCAGACATTTTAAAGTATATAAAAACAAAGTCTACATTGGTGGGCTATTTTTATTCCCAAGAGAGCTATTTTTGAAAACTTTATGGCTGTACCTTGTAGATATTGGAATTGTAATCGTGGGCTGCCACACAACTGTGGCCCATGGCTGACTGTGTGGAGAGAGTCACTATGTCCATGAAGTTATTGAAGCAGTAGGGCAGGAACATACTCTGACCCTCTTCTGTAGACGGAAGAAAAAAAGAATTTTCAAAAAAACAAAAAAACTCTAGTTATCATTTTGAGGGCCTGGGTGGGTAGGCATTACATTCACTGTGTGGACTTCCGAACAAAAGAGGTCCATATAAACCAGGTAGAGGCGACGTTGTGTGGACGTGGGCAAGTCCACACAGTGTTCCCCCATTTCTGGAAAACATGTTTAGAGGCATATTTGGGTTAGGTTTATCCGTGGCAAAATGAAGAGAAACACTAAAGGGGTTCATAGAAAAAAAATTGGGTTGAAAGAGTTTTCACAGTTTGAGAAAAATGAGTTTTTTTTCACTGTTTTTTCTTAACTACACGAAACCAAAGGAATGTCCACACTTGGTATGTAACGTAAACATGTGAGTTTGTGTGTGCGTGTGCAGGAGAAGTTTACTCCAACAGACATGAGACTGACCAAGTAGAAAACATGTACCTATATGTACATCCTCGTTGGTCACAATCGGTCAATGTGCGCAATTGACCTATCGCCGTTTGCCAATGGGGCATTTTGTACGCTAAGATTGTTTGTACAACATGTAATGTTTCACAAGCTGCGTTGACACGATTCTACCGCGATAGGTCAATTGGTCGATCACGCTGCACTATCGGTCAATCATGACGCTATCAGTTGATTGCGCTGCCACCAGTCAAAAACCTTTTCTTTCTAATTCACGGCTCTGGAAGACGTTTTTGTAAAAGGTAAGTAAAGTCCGAGATATCTTACAGAATCGACCGACAGCGAAGTGCGATCGACGGATCGTGCACATAGAATGATTGCGCCCAACATCCTCATAGTCATATTCTCGTAAATTGGAACAATCGAAGATGAAACACAATGTTTTCATTTGAAAGAGTGAGGCATAAATGTCGCAGAATTACATGTATACTTGCAAAATTACAATTCCTTACACTTTGCAAACTTTTCAAGACTTTTCTTTGTGCTCGATAAGAGTTAGTCCAATTATGGTAAGGCCCCCAAAAAAAGTCTCCGGTTTCTGGTATGGAGCTTGCCCAAAAAGTGGTGCGGCGACGCAGCTTTTTTTTTTTTTTACCTGATTTTTTTGCTTCAAATGTCGGCTGATGACTGCAAATGGTGCCCGACTAAACTTAGTGCAAATTATATGGGAGTCCAGAGAGGCCACATAAATCTTATTCTCGACCATAACCCAATCTAAAAACACGTTAAAATTGTGCAGCAGCAGGATTCCAGTCAGACCAGTGAGTTTGGCGGTTTTCAGACATCATCTTTCATTGAAAAAAAACCTTTTTCATTTTGCCGACGCCCATGGCTACGGCGACGCGCGCGCATACCAGAAACCGGAGACTTTTTGGGGGGGGCCTAAACTATACTTTTAAATCAAAAGAAGTGGACTTGACAGTACCAGTAGGTCCATATATCATATCATATCAGCTCCATATACCGTATCTTACGTGAATAGAGTATGTTCAGCTTGGGTACGCTATGCGGATGGATGACTTCAAAGCCCGGCACGGCAAGCTCAATGTCAGAACTCTTTCGGTGAGCGTCGAGCTTTTGTTTCTCCAGTAACAGACCCCACTGGGTTCCACCGGCACTCTGAATCTAGAATCCAACAGCAGAATTACATTTTATTAACTGAGTTAGAATTATTCTGTTGATATAGTAGAATGCTTCTATAAACACCACTTTACCGAATATTCGACTATACAGGGTGGTTAAAAAAAGGACACCCAATTTTGACAGCAATTTTCACCTACTTAATGAAGTTAATTTAAATATTTTTTTACATAGTAGTAAAGTACAGGCCTTTAACCATGCATGGTGAAAAAAACTTAGTAAAAGTCGCAAAAATAGTGATATTATGCTAATTTGAATACAAGTCACCAAAATCAGTCTTGTCCACGGGTTATTGTATGTAAATTGGACGTTTTCGCAGTTCATAAAAATTAAAAAAAACTTTATATTTTGCCCTGGTAACTTTTATTGAAGCTGTCCAATTATTCACGTCAGTGTTAAGATCATCTACTCAATGAGCTGTTAGCTTAAATTCATTGTTGCATAACATTACATAACATAACAATCAAATGTCATGCCCTTTCAAATAAAGCTCTGATAGCTGAGCTCAGTCAAGCGAAGGGAAAGTACACCTCCGTGGACAAACAGGTTTCGCACATGAAATGTTCAAATTAGCATAGCTCAACGACAAAATGTGCAAAATGCAACAATTTTTTTGCCACATTTGCTTAAAGGCCGGTACTTTAATTGCTATCAATCGACAGTTAAAAATAATTGTTAAAAGTAGGTGAAAATTGCTGTCAAATGTGGGTGTTCCTTTTGTTTAACCACCCTGTACTTTACATCCCATTTGGATCCCGAATTTTGTGTATTTTTTTATCTGAGCTTCGGCAACTGAAAATCATTAAATTGAACCACCGCTACATGTACATGGACCCAATTGTTTTTAAATGTACATGTATCTACTTAAAGAAACTATTACAGACATCAAATTTAGTATTAATAATTAGTGCTGTATTACTGTAGAAATTGAAACACTTCAGAAAAAATTCAAGTCAAACATTTTTCATGTTTTTAAAATTACAATCTAGAAACGGGAAATATTAAAACCCTCATCCATACCACAATTTAGGAAGAATAAAATAATCTAAAGAGACCAAAACTTAAAACGATATCATTACAAACAGATGTCTCCAGACGTGCCAAGAATAACTGAAATATACCCTGAATTCTCTCCACATTCCCGACTCATTCCTCCCGGTATAATTACATATTATTACTATTCCCATATCTGGGTCCTCACATCTACTTACAAGAAGGTACGTCACCCCAGGATGATGGACGACGTCTAGCAGCGATATCTCCTCCTTCAGGTTCATCCCCCTGACGACTTTACGGCCGGCTACATCAATCAAAGCCACCTCTCCCTCCTGCGTGCCGACGATCGCGATGTGCCTCCCGTCTGGTGAGTTCCACCAGACTATCTGGGCAGGGATTCCTGAGGTCGATCACACATTTCAATTAATAGGTGAACATGTGCATCGTTTAATTTTTAATAATTATTTAATTTATTCTGCATTTCAGCCGGGATATCCCACTTAAGTCTTGCAATTTTCCAGTGAGGTCCCTCGGTAGAAGAGGGGGGGGGGGGAAATTACAGTTGTAGAAGAAGTTGGAAATGTACATACATTTTTAAAAAAATTATCCCCCTGATTTTATTTTTTTGTTTTTGCCAGGATTAACCAGGAAAGTGTTGGGGCAATTCCAAGGTAAATCACGTTACATTTTTGATGTACTTTTGAGGTTCCTTGGGCTGTAATTACCTTACTGAAAAGGTTTAATAACTGTTATCCCCATGGTAGATAGAGTAGACCTAGACCTACCTAAGCACCAAAGATGACATCCAGAAAATGTGTTATGTATGATAAACAAGATGCAAAAAATTGGTTACTCACGTTACGAAAATGTAACGTGAGTAACCGTGGAATTGCCCTTTGTCATGGTGGAAGATGTGAGTGGAAATTAAAGTATTCAGGCGTGCAACAAAAAACGGGGGAATTCCAATCTTTACAATATTTTGTACAGTGTTTTTCAATGTTTAGTGTGAAGTGTGAATTAAGTGAATTGTAAGCTCCGAGGAAAAGTTGCATGTCTGAGTATTAGAGGCAGGAGGAAAACCATGGTGACCGTTTTAGCCGATTTTCGGCTAACTTTGATGGATTTTTTGTAAAAAAAACGAGTTTGACAGAAAATTGGACAGAATGGAATTTTTTGGGCAGATTTCTGGCAGAATTCTGCAAACATTGTAATTTTGACAGAAAACATAGCAAATTTGAAAAATAAATGGTACATTTGTTTACAAAAGCTTGACTCTTTTCAAACAAACCCTTGCATAATGGGACAGGTTGGCTGGTGTAGGTGCTGAGGTTCACTGGGAACCGGACTTCGTCATGACGTAAACGCATTTTGCCTGAAATTTACGCTAAATTTACGCAATTTCATAACATCTTTATGTGTGACTATAAATTGTTTATAATGTAATTTGAACCTTGATTAAGGCAATACTACAACATCTGCATGTGATTTTAAGTGTTTATAGTGTATTTCGAGTAATTCTGGGGAATTTGGCAGATTTTGGATGAATCTGACAGATTTTTGAAATGCATTTAGCAGAATTTTGCCATGAGCTTACGGTCACCCTGAGGAAAACCCTAGAATGACATTTCACGGAAACCCACAGACTGAGGTAGGGATTGAAAACCCGATCCACATGTTGGCCCAGGCGGGATTCGAACCTGGGTCCCAGTGGTGGAAAGTGAGGAACGAAAAGCTTGCCACCTTGATTCCCCTGTAGTATGGGGTCAGACTCGATTTTCAAGAAAAATCTGCTACAAATTAGGACTAGAAGCTAAAAAAAACCACAATATAGTTGAAACTTTATTTGAACCACACTTGCTTGCTTGCTGGTTGATGAGCACTGTATATGCGATTTGCGTGTCCCGCATGAGTAACATAAAAGGTTGAAAATATTGAATGGGTTGCACTTCTTGGGTTGGAAAATGTGTCATTTTTCAATTAGTTTCAGCTGTCTAATAATGTTGACAAATTTTTATTTTTTTTATTTGAAACTGATAAGAATATGATTCACAAAAACGCAAATTTGTCTCATTTCAGAAGAAAATATGAAATTTAAATCTCACACACTGTACTGAAAACCTTCTTTGAGAATACAGATAACATGCCCATTGATGTGCACAGATACTGAAATTTGTATCCTTGTGGAGACATTTCTTTGTTCTCGTGTGGTAAAGTTTTCGAGTTTGAAAGTGAAGTTTCAAAATGCTCTTATTTTAACCAGAATTGATTTCCTTGGCTGAAATTCGGACTTAATATCCCTTTTCAAAAACTCTTCCATTTGCGACCGATCAACCCACCTTGGAAATTCCTAGTTTTTGAGTAAAATCCATCTATCTATTTCGAGAAAACCTTGTGGAGACGTATTAATCTATAGAAATTGCCCTGTGGAGGCGTATACAATCTTTTGTTCCCTATTGTGTGCACGTCTCCAGAGGGTACCGTGTATCAGATCTACATGTAGCATACAAATTTGGTAAAATCTTGTACCTCTTCTGTTAGGTGCGATAATCCGTGTGAGATCGTCCGCCTTCCAGCTCTGTTTAGCCCCAGTGCTTGGGTGTAGTAACGTATAGACAGGGACCAGATAGACAGAGGAATCCCTACATGCACATACTGCCTGGCGTCCGGACGGATCGAGAGCAATGGCTTCAATCTCCTTCTGAGGATTCTAGATAAGGAAATAAGGAATGAGATCAGGAATAAGAACTGGAAGAACAAAAATAAATTGACCAAATGAATATGATTGCAGTTTCCTGTGTGTAGTGAAACATCATTATGCCTTAGGCCAAAAAAAAAAAATAGTCGGTCTCTGGTCAGATCAAAGTTCCGGAATTGATGGGGCGAGACGGGGTTTTTTTTTGGCTTTTTTTTTTTCATGCTTGGATTGTGCAGACAAGGTGGGTACTATTTTTTGCTTTTTTGTGTTCTCATATACACATTGGTGTCCTCCATAATTTGCCTTTGTGCCTTCCATCATTTGCCTTGGTGCAATTTCCCCATTCCTTGGTACAAAAAATTGAGGAGGTGCGGCAATAGAGGGCGCTGTTGTAGCTACCGCGGACAATTTGAAGAAAAAAAAAGCTTGACGCGCATGATTAAAATCGACGCGCGCGCTGACCAGAGACCGACTATTTTTTTTCTTTGACCTTACCCCTGATTATGATCATCATGATCACTTGTTTGAGAAGACATTTCAATCTCCAATTCATAATGTTTATCATGTGATTTGAATTTTGTTTGGAAAAAATGTTGCAACCTGACGCCACTTCAGCGGTTGTGTACAAAGTCTATGGAGAGTCAAGAATTTTCTTTTAAAGTATTTCCTATTACAAAATTGGAAATGTTTCTCAGTCCCAGATTCTTGTCTTATCATCATTTTTACAATGACTGACCTTCATTGAGATGATAATATGAACAAAAAAGTGGTTTTAGTTGCAACATTTTTTCCTTTTGTTTTTATTTATTTTACATTTTATTCATTCCGGGATGCTTTATTTTTCTCAGAAATGGCCATTTCTGAGAAAAATGACGAATGACAAAATAAGGTAATGTAAAAAAATCAGAAAAAAAAACCTTTTGAACACTAAAAAGCAAAAGAACCATAGTGTGTAAGTTGTGAGGTGTGCAGCATTTTGACTAAAGCATCCTTGAGCGAATTCAAGCCAGCAAACTAAGAACTTCAGTGACAATTGCTTGGTATTTAGAAGGCATTGAAAGGTACAATATCAACATGTAATTCCATATAACAGCATTCAGAACTCATTTGTTATTCAGTGTTTTTAGTGAAGATTTCACTTATTCTCCTGGTAAGTGGTACAGTAATCCTCTGTGCCATGTGCGTGGACAAGAATTCCGTAATACAGTTTCCCCTCATGTCTAAAAGTATTTCACAGTCTCAAAAAAAACTATGCAGTTGGATGTACATTTACACTGAACCAGGAGGCTTTCTATGAATAAACCAATAAAGCCAGTGTGCTGGGGGTGGGGTGGGGTGGGGTTAACAGACAGCACAGGTGGTACAGGACTATAGGTTAATCTCTGTACACTCATGCACTTTTTCAGACGAGGGGCAAAAGTTGTGGGGTGCATGAAGGGTAAAAATTTGAGTTATTTTTCTGCCACTGTGAAATTGTGAGGATGGATCAATCTGAAAGGAAGGTCCTTACCTGGAACCATAGCACCTGTTTCATGATCGGTGGTTTACCAGGCTCGTCACAACGCATCAACAGGTAGCCTAGAAAACAAACATGAAGAAACAAATGACTCTTGACAACTCAAATGTTATGATTTCAAAACGTCTTTCCTAGTAGAGCTGTCTGCATTCAGATATTACACAGAAATATTTTAACTCGAGATGTTTGCAGAATCAGTTGCAATAAATTGCATGTATCCAGACAGCCTATCTTGAAGGCCCCCAGTAATGGTGGATTATGCTGGCTATTATTAAGAGTAAATGCCCTGATGCAATTGTTTGTACAATTGACCTATAGCGGTAGAATCGCGTCAACGCAACTTGTCCATATTGTCCAATTACATGATATGAGCTCCGTGTGCGACCAAAAGAGGGCGCGTTTTTACCTCTTTCGAAAGCTCCGTGGACAGGGGACACAGTGTGCGCGTACTGTACTGTACTGGTTCGTGCGCAAAGTACGCACGACTTCCCGAGTGTGCAAAAGCTATAGCAACTGCGTCTTCGCGTGAGCGTCAGGCGTCGTCAGCGCGCGAATACATTCGAATTCAACTTGCAATGGTCTCCGAGACTAATCTCCGCCTCCAATAACTTTGGAGACATTCGAAATATGCAGTGGATGGATCGGGAACCAGTCTAGATCACCCCCAACTCTCCTTTTCTGGCCGTTGATGGGGTACTTGTGCACGAAGCGGATACATACTAATGGACGCGGAACGTGCAAAATCTGAGACAAACAAAACTAAAGGTTCAAAAGGGGTTGTCTAAGGGGCGTGGCTAACTTGCAAACGACGATTGGTCAATACCCCGCTCGATGCTTCTGGAGGCTCCAAGGTGTACAATGATTCCTTAGAGAAAGTTGCCCAGATTGGTTCACAGTTCATCATTCATGTCGTTAAGATTAAGACCTGTATTCTAAAACTTTAAGTCTAGTTTGCACAATTATGGCACACTTACCATTACTGCACACCAGAAGTGTGACGCTGGTGCAGCCGCGCTGCATGTGAGCGCACAGCCGGTAGTACACCCTATTCTGACTGACATAGCTCCGCCGACGACCCTTGACCTTGGTGTCCGGCGTCCGTAGCCGCGTCAGCACGGACAGCTCAAAAAGCAGGTACTCCCTCACCACAATGTCCGCAGTCTCCTCCCCTAGGGTGGGGATCCCCTGGGCGGGGAATCCGCCGCTACGCTGTCTGGCCATCCTACATGATCCCCAACAGATGAAAAAATATATCCAGTTCTGCGACCAGACTGTTTTCGATTTCAACCAGCACACAACCAATGGATGTTAAATTTACGTTCGCCGGGCACTTCGGGCAAAAGTGAGCTTGGAATTTATCACATCCTCAAGACTGCAGTTTCATTATGTATTTATAGGTCGTCCTCCATCGAATTTGCGAGGCCGCATCCGACTCGGTAAACACTCCAGTCACCCGCGGTACATGGTTAATTCGCTGGGATCACACGAGATCTGTCGAGGATGAAATGGAAATGTTATAAAAACATGATCAATCAAATTTGTCAGTGGCAATCGTGGGGGGGGGGGGGGGGGGGAGGGGGGAGATAGAGAGAGAAAGGGGCAACTAAAAGCCTTGTGCTATTAACGTAAATTGGCCAGAAGTTACTGTTGTAAAAGTGGCGACAAAAAGTGTGAACCTTTTAAAAGCAAGGTAATAGCAACAATAATAGTTTGCACAAACATGTACATGTTCACCAAAAAAAAAAAAACCCACCAAAAAAACCCCACACACACAAAAATGGAAATGTCAAAGGTTGTATTCTATTTCACAACAGTTTTACCTAAAATTGATTTTAGCCAAAAGTGTATTTTAGATAATTAAACCGCAAATACAGCAAAATGTCATTGAGGTCAGGCCAATTGTGACAGGTTATTCATAATGTTCATTTGAATACTGAAAGCACAGAGTTTCTTAATGCAAATCACGATAACCATTTATTAATGTCCCTTCACAATATGCAAACATGTTTACACACGTGTGTAATTCCCTGCTTCGCAGCATCCAAACACAATGATCGATGGATATAAAAACGATTGCGTTCATTCAGTCACAATTAATGCGCAGCCAGATGTCAAATACATTGCAGGTTGTACATTTCATGTACTCTGCAAGTACATGTACATGTACACGTACTTGTGCACAGACTGTGCATTAACTTACAGCTTATACGGCAGTGTGTGTTGAAATCTCCACAAATGAAACACAGATTACCCAAAGTATTTTTGCCACAACAGTATCTACGATATCTTCATAAATTCTGGCAAGGGCTAAGGTTATGTCAACAAAAGCAATGGAATATTATCTTGATGTATGGACTCAAATAGACAAAAATCAACACACAGGAACAGATATATTTATCAAAAAAAGTAAAAGGGTGGTTCTTTTACAATGTACATTCAGACAATGGGTTATCTTTGTCACGTTTGTGGGAGTTTAGCTATATAGTTTTTTGCTACAATTAACACATGAACATATGCATGGGGGGGGGGCGGAAATGGTCACAGGTAGCCACAAGAGAGGGTGGGGGAGGGAATTTCAGGAAGGATGAGGTCAAATGTTTGGATTCTCCTCGATGAATTTCAGGTTATCCACTTAGATTTTCTTTTTTTGGAGGTAGAATTTACCTTTATGGTATATTTGCTTTTTTTTATCAATAAATAATACTTTAAGAACTTAACATAAAACAAAACCATAGTGCATTCCCCAAGAATACATACACATACATGTATCTAGTTTACATGTATTATTCAAATATTTACAGAATTTGGATACATGCGGGCTTTAAAGGGAAGATACAACATTTGCAAACATCAAAAAACGAAATGATCACATTATCACGAAATATCTTATTGGATTGTTAGGGAATGACAGTCGAAAGCATCCTGTAAAATCGTGGCTCCTGGTGTTCTGACATTTTCAAGAAAACTTGTATTTTTCCAACACTGGTCGGCCGACCAGCGTTGGAGAAAACTGACTTTTTTCAAAAAGTGCTTCTAATTTTTTCATATTTAGTTATTCCGCATTTTCTTTGCAATTGATTACACACCTGTGAAGGGGTACAAGCCTCAGTTCTAGACTGATTCTCTGACCTTGCAATCCTCCACAGTGTATAAATTGCTCCGTTTCATCTTACGTGGGTCAGGGAACCAGACTACAAAAACATGGTTGGTTTTCTTGGATTTTCCAGCATCTCCGAACCCAAAACATGAAGCAAGTCAGTTTAACAATATTTGCTATAACATACTAATCCTCCAAATCCATTTATTTCTGAAAATTGCAGCAAAAGCAAATGTTGTACATTCCCTTTAAATGAACATTTCTTTTGGTGCTTAATTTTGCTACATACACCATAAAGCAATTCATATCTCAATGACACGATATCAAAACTACTATCATCTTCAATGTTAACATCATGTCCATAACATGTTTGCTTACATATATGTACAGGTAGCTACTGTATGTATGATATTTCACATTGGAATGCTTATTTCTTGTATTTTTAATGTTTTCCCCTAGCACTCCAAAATCAGTGCTCCACTTTACATGTTTGTAACTGAAAGGTTCCGGAAACAATATGGCATTATTAAATTAATAATGATACAAAACATAACTGAATCAAATGCAACAATGACAAAACAAAGTCTCTGTAATGTGTTGATTTGATGAGATTTGAAATGCCGAGAGAAAATTCTGTTCCGATAATAATTCTGTGCATTATTGTTGGTTTGTAGCTGGATATCACCTGAGACCCTGTGCACAAACCCTATGAGACTGGTCTGAAAATTTCTAAGTGTTTTCTCAGTAAATGCTTCAATATTTTTCCTTCTAAATTTGACTATTTAGGACATGTTATCGCTTTCTGATGGCTGATACATGTAGGTCACTGCAGGGAAAAATTGGTGATGTCCATGTATGGAATTCTTCCCAAAATGGATATAACTTGTGAATAGTGTATGCAAATCACGTGAAATTTTCACAAACACTTACTTTATCCCTATAAAGGTGCGAGCCACATAGGCCTATTTAAAAAAAAAAAAAAAAAAAAATCTAATTCGGTCACTTTCTTTTTGACTTGCCCTGTACAGGGTGACCCCCAAAAAATGCAACCCTCAAATATTTGCCTTTAAAAAAAAAGGGATCGGTGGATTTTTATGTTTTAAGGTATCAGATTAAAGCTGAGAGCTTTTTCTTTCAAATACTGAAAAATCACAAAAATAGCACTTTGGGTTGTCATTTTCCATCCTGTACACAAAAAATTACTACAGAAAGGGATTTTCACTGTACCTATTTGTACATGTCCTAATCCTTACAAACAACACAGCATATAGTATGACAAGATACTTTTCATATCCCTTTTTTTTTAAAGGCAAATGTTTTAGGGTTGCATTTTTTGGGGGTCACCCTTTATAACACCACAGCCAAACACTTCATCAGTAACAAGTATTTCTGGTGAGTGATTCCATATATTTGTTTAAAACAATGGACACACTAAGTCTTGTGTTTGAAGTTTAAATCTCTTCCTTTCACTTGAAATGTATTTTACATTTGAACTTGAGACCTCAAAGTTATCTGGTAAAAACTCAGTACCTGCATCAGGATCTTTGTGAAGTCTTTATGGAAATTGGAGAATTTTGGTGGCTAAAAGATATACATGTGTGATTAAAGTTGACCTGATTTTACTACCTCCAAATGGACCCATGTGTACATAAAGTTTTGTTTATATGGTAAATTTAACATTTGTTCCCCAATGTTGTATCATGTACTAGTCCACTAACTTAACTTTACATGTACCGGTACATCACAGTACATGTATTTACATCTCAAAGCAGAAAACAAACCGAAACATAATAACAACCAATCGTTTAAATCAGTGATGTAGTGCCTTGATGCTGGGCCTTGGCCTTAAGGCTGCCTTAAGGCTGGAGTTTAGGGCCTTGGCCTTGGCCTCGAGGCTTGAGGGCAAAAGCCTTGGCCTTGGCCTTGGCCTTGAGGGTTCAGGGCCTTGCAATTTTGAGTCAAGGCTCTTCAAGGCCCATAGATTTTTGCATTTTCCAGAGATAAATCTGTTCGAAATTTTGCTGTTACCATTTTAATCGTATTACCATGGAGGAGGGAAGCACCCTATAGATTTGTGTGTTGGGCACACTTCCACAGCATGTTGCAGAAATTAAAGAAATGTTGTTCTTCGTAACGAGCAATTCGTGATGATAAGGGCGGATCCAGAGGGGCCAAAAGGGGCCATGCCCCCCCCCCCAAAAAAAAACGAAACCATTTTTTTTTTTATGTGACATTGTAATAAAGGCAGGCAATGAGTACACCACCATCTTTTCCTCAAAAAACATCGGTTAAAATGGTCAGAAATTGCCTCAAATCGCACCACAGAGCATCTCGAATCCAAAAAAATTTCGGGGCCCTTAAGCGGGCCCCGAAGCCCAAGCCGTAATTTTTTGACCCACTTTTTTGGGGGGGGACCAAAATTTCTTTGCCCCCCCCCCCAAATTGTGTTCTGGATCCGCCCTTGCGTAAAGGTGTGTCACTCATGTGACTATAATTAGTTCTATATCAGTGGTCATTTCATAAAACAGGGCCTTGCCCTTGGCCTTGAGGGTTAAGCCTTGGCCTCGAGGCTTGAGGGTCAAAGCCTTGGCCTTGGCACACTGGTTTAAATACATTACCAAGATGAAATGAAATCAAAAAAGAAAAACCAGAATATCTCAAACCATGGGGGAAAAAAAAATTGAGTAGGCCTATTATACCCTGAGACATAACACTACACAATCTGTATTGTCACAAATTTTGTTCACTCTCACATCTTGTGAAATATAACTCAATAAATCGACAAATAAAATTCCAAACCCAAACAACGTTTGTCATTTCATGCATTCTCACATCACAGCATACGCGTTACACCTGATTCACATGGGTTCACAGTCAACTCGACCGTTTGCCAACTCGACGCGAACCAACTGGACCGTTTGCCAACTCGTCCGTTGTGCCACCTCGACTGCGGTGTGTGTTCGACTAGAAAGTCAAGTCGTCCATTGATACAACTCGTTCGTCGTGCAACTCGTCCATCCTGCAACTCGTCCGTTGTGACATTGTATACACAGAGGGACCTGTTTGTCTTGCGTCTCGGGAATGTTGGTCATCTAAAAAGCATGGTGATGCGTGGTGATTGATGGGTAAAAAGGCCAGATTACTGGGCTGAAAATTTGCCAGGACGTGGCATGATAAAAAGTGGGCGCTGGAGAATCCGACTTCTAAATCATGAACCAGACCGCGGGCCTGGTTGATTTTATGATACGGCTCAAGGAACAATATTATCGCTTGCTGAATGGATGTTTGCAAGGCCAAGGAGGCCATTTTGTTGGCTCTTGTTGTAGCCGTATTGTGAAAAGTGTATGTACAATGTACATGTAGTCTTCTTCAAGGAGCAGAGTGTATCGCAAAAGTCAATAATGTCATTTTAATCTAAAAATTTTGAAAAAGTTTTCAGTTAAAATGACAAAATATAAAATGTAACAGAAATAATGAAGGAGATGGATAGTAAGGAAACGGGTGAACAAATAAAAAGAAAATGTAAATAAAACCCAATAATATTAAGCTGCGGCCGCCCCCTATAATCTGGGTAATTTAACTTATTCCAAACTATTGTTAGGCATCAAATAAGTTGAGTTTGGAAATAATTCAACAACTAGAAAAGGCACTACACAGTACATGTTTAGCATGCACATAAACAAGACATTAGAGTAATCACGGAACCCAGACGTTTGTTGGATGGTCAAGTTGACTCCACATTTTAAGTCGAGTTGTACAACAGACGAGTTGGCAAATGGTTGAGTTGGCACATGGACAAGTTGGCAAATGGTCGAGTTGGTTCCAGTCAAGTTGACAAACGGTCGAATTGACTGGATATCTTTACATTGAAGGTCTTACAAAATGGAAGTGCGACACGTACACCAGAATTTCTCAGGCGTCCCACCGCCTTAATGTGTTCAACATATTGTACATATGCGTGGCGAATTGACTCAGGAAATCGGGAACAGGAAATTGCTTCAAGTTTATCGTTATCAATGGATCTATTTCTTGTGAAAATTTGAACAAATAGAATAACTTAGCATCACAGTATATAAACATATTACACTATCGATAAATAAACATTTAGGCCTACACAGCTACATCACGAAGAATTTTTCAGAATTTTTCTGCAAGTGTTTTTTTCCTATTGAATGTAATTTATGGGAAGAATATATTTCCTTGACTTCGACGGAGTACACGATAACTTAAGTAGGCCTTTGCATAAGAGAACGGACACCTGGCCTAAAGGAAACCTCACCTGAAAAAAAGGAAAACAGTTCTGCAGAGAGGATAGGCCTGCATACCGTACCTGTAAACCTGCCACACAACATCAACAAACAAATCGAAGGGGGCAGGGCAAAGCCACCTGCAAATGTCTGCAGAAAAAGAAGGCCGGGTTGCAATAGCATTCCTCAAACTGTCAAAAGCTTACCATTTGGCTTGTAAAGAATACCGAAGCTGAACCAAAAGTAGCCTCATGCTAAAGCCTCAGACTCTACACAGCAGATAGTCCTATGCTAAATTTACACAATCGTTTTTTACAGGTCAAGTGCACGCCAATTAATTCGACGACTGGTAAAAAAGCAGTCACAAATTAAAGTAGGCATGCAAAGTTCAATGACACATGTTTCGAAATCGCACTTACCATCAGGTCAATGTATCCGCCAAAGAGTTTAGTATTCGCCTAACGTAAAAACTAAAATGTATTACCACGATCGGATCGGGCCAACATATGCAAGTGTGTGCGGAGAAATTAACAGGGGTTGTGTTTGGCGCCCTCAAGTGACTGCATTTGGCAATGCATTGCATACATGTGGAACACATTTTCACTGTTTACACAAGTAAAAAAATGTAAACAGAATCCACCTTTTTAATCCCTGTGCAAATGACAAAAGGTGTGCGTGGCAGGGCGAGGACCGGACCACGTTTTGCTTCAGGCAGTAGCGGTCTATCATCGGCTCAGTCAATGTCGTTATCTACATCAGAGCCGAAAACAAACGGTGGTAAAAACACCGGCGACGAGGAGCAAGGGGAAGGGAAAATGGCGATGAATCCTGCCGCTGCTGGTGGTAATGGCGGGGAAAAATCACTGCTTCAAAAGTTCGTACAGATTGCAGTCGTTGTGGCCGCTTATTGGTACGTTTTTTTCTCTCCATTTTTTAAAAAAGTGATCCGTGATGTGGTGTGTGAAGATTTGGGGTGTTGGGCCATTGTTGGGCGTGTTTAGGGGGGGGGGGGGGGGGGCGATATTTTTGGAATTTTGATTAAGAAAGACGGGGGGGGGGGGGGGGGGGGGAGAGAGAAGGGGGAGGGGAATGGGGGGGGGGGATCAGTCGTCTAAATCAGATTTGAGAGAATGTAGTAAACTAGCCCGACTGCGTCTGGCCGTACAGTACTATCGCAAGCTCTGTAGTACGGCCAGACGCTGAATGCTTCCCAAAAGACTGAATTTTTTTGGCCGCTGATGTAGCGATGTTGCTACATCTTTTGATCGAGATTATCTTTTCATCCAGGACAAAAATTTCCACAGTTAAGGTTCTTAGTCGTAGAGCAACTCATACCTTTCCGAAAAAAACGTTCTTTGGTCTCAATATTTTCATCCATCTGGCCAAAAGACGACTTTCAGTGATCAACTTCCACAAATATCGTCCCGAAAATGCTCCCCCATGCGATTTCAAAATGGCGGCCGCGCTGTAACTCATGAATATGCATGAAAAGTCTGTGACGTGTGACCTCGTGTTTTTGGACGTGCGTGCGGCGGGGCCGTACGTACATGTACATATGTACATGTACATTACTTGTAGTAGGCACTTTAGGTGAAAATTTGTTGTTGCTCTTTTGTTTTTAAAATGTTTACAGGATGAAAGGGCAGGTCAATGGCATTAAAAATCTTTTTGAATTTTTGAAATGGCACCTTCCGTTACGGAGATACGGACGTTTTTGTTCCACTTTTTGTCAATGGCAAAGAAGTCCCATGTCAAAGGTCAATCTTTTTATTTTCTTTGTTTTAAGGGTGGCACCGTTGAATTCACATGAAAATGCACTTATTGGCTTATAACTTGAAATATATTTATTGCATGTACATGAAACTTTCAGAATATAATCTACATATGCCAAGCTGTCTTTTCGGCACATAAAATCAAAAGAATTAATTAGTCCTGCATCTTATTTGCATATTAATTAATTAAAATTAGCAAACTTGTGCGCTGTTAACAAGATATACGAGGTACACATTATTAAATATTCCCATAATGTTAAAGGAAAAGTGCCTTACTTGTTCTCATGTTCAAAAAGTCACAACCTTATTAATTAATTGCCTCTAATTAGAAAATGTAATCAATCTGATGCGAAAGCACAGCCAAAGCTAAGTAGGCCTGCATGACTGTGTACGAACACTTAAAACTTCGAATGGGAGATATAGGCCCCCTACTGCCTTTTTGTTTGTCATATGTAACACAACCGAGCATGTAATTTGAATATAATTATATCAACGAGTTATTAATTAATGATAATTATAACCTTAAGACTTGGAATGGAGGAATAGAACTTATGAAACTTGAAAGTTGCAGTTTATATACCAAAAACTACCAAAAAAAAACACTACCCATATTTAAGTAGGAATGACATGTACATGATCATGATGAATTTAATAGCGGAATATAGACTTCTGTTTTTATGATTTTCGGATAATTAATACGCGGAGAAATATTTGGGGCGAACTGACATTGGGGCAACATGGCTGTTACTATAACGGCATTGAATATGGGGCGAAGTGGTTGAGAGTCCATTTTGGGGGCGAAGTAGATGACTGGAACGGTCGCCTCACAAACGGTGAAAAACATAGTCACTTTACATCCTTGTTTTTCATTTACACTAAAATATAAGCTAGTGCCCTTATCACTATCCCCAGTGAACATTTTCACTGAAATAAAGCTCCGCAATTGGACGCAGACACGGACGAAACGATCCAAGCATTAAAGCAACATTTGTCCCACGGCACGGGGCCACGGCACCACGTGGCCCAGTGACGGGCCGACCAACGCAGCGCATCCAGGCAGGCATGCAGTGGAAAGCCACGGTGCGCCGTGTGCACGCACGCGGTACACACAAACTACGTGCGTACAGGCAACTCTCCAAAAGTGCTATCATTTTCGTTTCCCTTTCCGTTGACTTTTTTCAAATCGTAGATCGTTGTCATTTATATCAATATAAAGCTTGAATATCAATGTTTTACACACACCTTGTTCCCTGGTAAATAACATGAATTTTCATCTTGAAAAACGATGCTGAAATTTTCAAAACTTCGTATCTCCACTCTTTGTGAACCGATCGACCTAGAACACACACCATGTGAAAGCATGTCTTCGGATCTATTCGGAAAAGCTCACGATGAAGCTCTCCAGCCAATCAGAACGCCCGGTTTCCCTCCGGAAAATTTCACCCCGAAACCGAGTGCATACGAAGTGCCGCGAAAAGCGGTGCCGCGTCATGACCTTCAAGATCGGCACGAGAAGGTGATCGCGAAGTATGGGCACCGCGTTACTTCTGTCGCCATAAAACCAGATCAACGAAGAATTTGACAATGAATTTCGGTGGAAGTACACATGAAATACTCAGAATGAATGTCTCCAAATTTGAAAACGATCGGTTCAGCACTTTTTTTGTTATGATTTTTCAAAGTTCATCAGGACATTTGAGCCTGTGTGCTTGGTTCCGCGTGTGCGTGTGTTGAGGTTAAGACTCCTGTAATTCGACACCCCACTGAAGTGCCTACTTGTAGACAACAGCCCAGTACGTGCATGCACACCGCCGCGCGGACGTACATGTACGTACGGCGCCGCCGCACGCACGTCCAAAAACACGAGGTCACACGTCACAGACTTTTCATGCATATTCATGAGTTACAGCGCGGCCGCCATTTTGAAATCGCATGGGGGAGCATTTTCAGGACGATATTTGTGGAAGTTGATCACTGAAAGTCGTCTTTTGGCCAGATGGATGAAAATATTGAGACCAAAGAACGTTTTTTCGGAAAGGTATGAGTTGCTCTACGACTAAGAACCTTAACTGTGGAAATTTTTGTCCTGGATGAAAAGATAATCTCGATCAAAAGATGTAGCAAAATCGCTACATCAGCGGCCAAAAAAATTCAGTCTTTTGGGAAGCATTCAGCGTCTGGCCGTACTACAGAGCTTGCGATAGTACTGTACGGCCAGACGCAGTCGGGCTAGTAGTAAACCTGATGCCACTTCTTTGGTTGTGTACAAAGTCTATGGAGAGTTTAGTGGGGAAAAAAAATTGCCAGCTGACACCATGTACCACTCTGACTGAGATTGTGTACAAATTCAAAAATTCTATGGGGAGTCTAGACATTTTTCTAGTCCCAGATTCATGACTTATCATTTTTACAATGAATGACCTTTATTGAGATGATATATGAAGAAAAAAGTGGAGTCAGGTTGTAACATTTTTTCTCCGCTTAGTGCATTTTACTCATCTATGCATCGAAGAGGGCGCTGTAACTTATGTAAGATCTCTCCGGCTATATCGTTTAGGCCCTAGGCCAAGCCCGCAGGAACGGGGTGTGCTGTGGGTGCTGCAGCACCCCCAACTTTTTGGATTGGGGTGCTGGAATATGCTTCAGCACCCCCTACTCCCGGGAAAAATGTGTTCCAGCCAGCAGTATTCTATGACGATGAAATTGTGTCGATACGCTATACATTATGCTTGCTCTACAAATATCTCCTTCGTTTTGTCCGTTTCTAGTTTTGCCGCGGCTAAGTGCGGCGCTTTGAACGTCTTGCACAAACACTGTAAAATATCAAGAGGAGGTATTTTCTAAATCTTCAGGCAGTGCAGAATCAATATTTAGATAGGTATCTAAAATCATGACATGTCTATGATATTTCCGCCATGGTAGAAGCGTTGACCCGAAAGCAATAACCTCAGTCAGCCATGACAATGGTGGCAAAGTTGATCATGCTTGCCAGGATTTTTTTCATTCGATCTTTCAATAGGGGCAAATGTTCATACCTTTCCCCTGAAGGTTTTTCTTTTCATTTGAAAGTCTCATTGACGTTGCTAGCATTCTGTACACAACAACAATTAGCAAGGTTTCCACACACACATCCCCAACCTATAATAGGAGTGGGACGGGCTTTCATGGAAACTAGTCGTGCTTGTCTGGCAGTATCTAACCTTTTCGCAAATACCACTTCCCCTGAATTTGCACAATGATGATAAGTATTGTGGGAAGAAAAATAGCCACCGATTTTGCGCCTTTTCCCTTCCCTTTATTGTGTAAAATCACTCAAGATGTGATTAAAGGTCTGTAACATCTGTGTAGTAAACCTTTGAAAAAAAATTGAAAAATACTTCTGTTTTAATTAAATCGGCTTATGCTGCTCTTCTAAAGCCTATTGATGGTGGCAGTAAAAGTTTAATTCAGTCTTTTAAATTTGCCGTGCGTGAGAAATGAAAAGGTTTTTCTTCCCTTTTGTCAACGTTACAAGGAACGTCAAAATCACTCTTTTGGCATTGTGTACAGTAAGCCAGCAGTCATGGCAGCTGTACATGTGCTGTCAACAAATATAATGGTGACGTTCACCTCAAACCATTAGGCCTAACTGGTGATTTATTTTGATATTTTTTTTCTTTCAGGTTTATCTCCATTTCCCTGGTGTTCATCAATAAATATCTTCTGAGTAGCCAGGATCTCAAGGTAAACTCTAGTCTGAACATTTAGGACTCTCAATACTGTGTATGAGAGTCCCAAAACTTAAGGTATTGAAAACGTCAAACTTGGCTGGTGAAATACTGTGGACCTTGTTTGAATAGTTTTGGTACTGGATAAGTTGTGACTGACTTGTGATGACTTGTGATGACTTGTGATGGCTTGTGATGGCTTGTGATGACTTGTGATGACTTGTGATGACTTGTGATGACTTGTGATGACTTGTGGTGACTTGTGATGACTTGTGATGAGTTGTGATGACTTGTGGTGACTTGTGATGACTTGTGATGACTTGTGAGGACTTTAGATGACTTGTGATGACTTGTAATGACTTGTGATGACTTGTGATTACATGTGATGCCATGTGATGACTTGTGATGACTTGTGATGACTTGTGATGACATGTGATGACTTGTGATGACATTTGATGACTTGTGATGACCTGTGATGACTTTTGATGACATGTGATGACTTGTGATGACTTGTGATGACTTGTGATAACTTGTGATGACTTGTGATGACTTGTGGTGACTTGTGATGACTTGTGATGACTTGTGACTGACTTGTGATGACTTGTGATGACTTGTGATGACTTGTGATGACTTGCGATCCATCCCTTGTACCTTGACTGCCTGAAAAATAAGGCAGCTTACCTAGTTGACATGGACAACAGAGTCTTTGTTCATACTCAGTGGGGGAGTCAGTGAGTCAGTTAGTCAGTCGATCAGTCAGTCAATGACTCGGTCAGAGGACAGTACAATGTAGGCTGGTGGTTCAGGTCCAGTAATAACCTATTACTATGACAACACCTTCAGTGATTACTATTTCTCACCGATTTTTCCAATATTATTTCCGCATCATGTGGCTGACTTGATTTGAATAAATGTTTCGTTTTTTCAATTCTGTCTTCCTTGCAGCTGGATGCACCACTCTTTGTGACTTTCTTCCAATGCAGCGTCACGGTCATGATTTGCGTAGTGCTAGGCATTCTGGGAACTGTGGCGCCCTCTATTGTCAGTTTTCCGGCATTAAAATTTGACTACAAGATCACCAGAGAGGTACAGACAAAGTACAAACAAAGGAAAAGGGAAGAGGAACAAAAGAAAACCCTCGATTTACACCATAAACAAACGTGTCTGAGTGTGCCAACCTTACCATCTTTATGTGGACCTGACAACAAAACAGATCCACATAATGCAGGGTGTGTGAACGTTATGGACTAAGCCAGGTCCACATACGGTTTCTCTGGAAAACAGGTTTAGAGGCATTTTTGGGTTAGGCCAAAAAAAAAAGTCTCCGGTTTCTGGTTTTCGCGCGCGTCGCCATAGCCATGCGCGTCGGCAAAATGAAAAAGTTTTTTTTCAATGAAAGATGATGTCTCAAAACCGCCAAACTCACTGGTTTGACTGGAATCCTGCTGCTGCACAATTTTAACGTGTTTCTAGATGGGGTTATGATCGAGAATAAGCTTCATGTGGCCTCTCTGGACTCCCATATATTTGCACTTAGTTTAGTCGGGCACCATTTGCAGTCATCAGCCGACATTTGAAGCAAAAAAGTCAGGTAAAAAAAACAAAAAAAGCCGCGTCGCCGCACCACTTTTTGGACAAGCTCCATACCAGAAACCGGAGACTTTTTTTTTTTTGGCCAATAGGGTCATCCATCCCAAAATGAAGAGAAAATCAGGATAAAATATTTGGGTTAAGAGAGTTTTCACAGTGTGAGTAAAAAAAAAAATTTCCTCCAGTTTTCCTTAACTGTGCAAAAACAAAGGAATGTCCACACAGGGTATGTAATGTTAAAATGTGTGTATGTTCCATTTTGGTAAGGTTTACTGTCGGTCATCAATCTCAAACAAACTTGATCTGTGGTTAGTGCTCATGGTATCTGGTTAAGTCATTAGATTATTAAGGTTACTCTACCAGCCATATTGATATATCGTGTTTGGAAAGAAACTCTTTCAATTGGAATTAACTTTTCTGGGTTTTAACTTTTTGATTTGATAGCAACACACTTCTGAGTCCTATTGTCTTAATGGTTCTATTGTATCAACAGGTGTTACCACTCTCTATTGTCTTTGTTGGAATGATTACAATGAACAACCTTTGTCTGAAATATGTCGGAGTGGCGTTCTACAACATTGGGCGGTCCCTGACTACAGTATTTAATGTGGTAAGTATTACGACTTACCTTAATAATACTTGCTGTTGAATTTCAGTGTCATGAAATTTAGTCGGAAATTCAAAAAAAAAAAAAAAAATTATTTCCAAAAGTGGGCACAAAATCGGCCGAGTGTTCCCTAACGTGGCACACTTAAACAAACCTCGGAAAATCACAAGTTAACATTAAAGAATTTTTTTTAAAGTTGGCAAATTCTGATAAACTATTATTATCTCCACTCGCATACCCAACTAGAAGTTTGTCAGAAAAGTATTTTCTTATTTTTGGACCCATCTTTTAACCCTAACCGCCCTGAATCCTCCAAAATCCTTTTTGCAAATTGGAGGAATTTGCAGGATTGACGTTACATGGCCAAAGTGCGTTGCTGATTTCGGAGTACGCACTGTGTCAAGGTCTTGGGCCGGACCTTGTGTTGTTTATGCTCAGCCGTGCATAAATTTAGTCCTTGATTATACTCCGCACTGCTCCAGGATGTCACTGACTCTGCCTCAGCCTATTGACAGTCATAGCCGGAGGATTTTGCAGGATTCAGGCAGTGGTCGACCCTCCATGGACCACATTCAAGAAACAACGGAGGAATTTGCAGGATTGAGGCTTTATGCTATTTTTCCATGAGGCCAATTGGAGGATTTTGCAGGATTGAGGCTACATCCTAGCAAAAAGGCCTAGGGAGTTAGGATTAAAGAGCACTTCATAATAAAATTGGCAAATCACGCCAAAATAAATTTCTCTGTAAACTTTGTAACAGGTAGGTAAACTCAAGATTTATGAATGAGAATGTTTAGGGCTTGATGAAATTTCACACTCGCTGTTAAATTTGAGGTAAAAACTTTTGCTCTAGCAAGGCACTAGTGGCGAAAAATCAAAGTGCGCCACATTAGAGGCCAGGCCACGTGACGGGACATCAACAATATGTGCTTAACAAAAACAGATCACCATTCTAAATCACATGCAATGTACCGGTTCACATTTTAAATTAAAATTCTTCCTCTAAATTCCACTCTCAATTCACTGCCAGTGACTTTTCAGAATACCCGGAACATATTAAAATAAACATCACAATAAAATTAGTGAGAATCATCATGGAGCTGAGCTTTAGACACAGTGATGAAGTTTAGGTTTCACAGAATAAAAGGAAAACATAAACTTCCAATAATAGATCACACTGAATATTTTTGGCAGTATTTGAATTGTGTCAAGTTTATAGCAAAATTTAGCTTAGTAGTTGGCAACTTACTTTTCTCTTTTTGCTCTTGGTTTAGATGTTGTCCTACGTATTTCTCAAGCAGACCACGTCTCTGAAGGCAATCCTGTGCTGTTGTATCATCATCCTAGGCTTTCTCCTAGGCGTTAACCAGGAGGATAGTGCAGGTACCAGACTGTCTCTAGTATTTGGTTAAGGGAATAAATATGTGCTTGGCGAGTTTTAAACAAGAACATTTAAAACTGGCTCAGGGGTCTGGACGCCGATAATGGCCGAGCGGAAGGCGAGGGACGTTATCGGCGACCAGACCCCTGTGCGGGTTTCAAACGTATGTTTAACACTGCCCAAGCACATATTTATTCCCATTCATAAATACCTTTAAGTCAAAAAGTCAAAACAAGTCAAAAATTATAAATTTCCAACAATTTTGTTTAACAATTTTACTTCATGTTTTTTAAACACCCCTCTAGCTATTTTATGGTATGTGCCTCTTGCGAGTAGCTGTAGACATCTCCTTATATGGAGATTGGCGCGAGCATGGCGCGTATTGCGCAATGTGGCGCAGAACGCTGCAGTGCCGGTGCAGTGTGAATTTAGCTGCAATGCAACCATTGCCCACAAGATATGGGTTTGTGCACATTCCAATGAAACTTAATTTGTGCATGCAGATTAAGTCCATGATCGTTGTTAATGGCTCTATGTTTCTGTATGGAGTCTGTAGTTCTAAGGGTCTCTTAAAATGAGATTTGTTCATGTTTGGAGTGCCGTGGCCTAGTGGTCCGGAGCATTAAATTTGTGGTCTGTGGGTAATTCTGCAGGTTGTGGGTTCGAGTCCTGCCTGGGGTCATGGTGCGTGTTCCCTTGAGCAAGGCGCTTCGTCACTCATTGCTTCTCTCCACCCAGGAGTAGATGGGTACCTGTGAGGGCAGAGTTGGTTACTGTGAGAGGTTGATTACGGCAAAGAGCGCCGAAATGGCTGCCTACTGGCCGTGTATGCTCCCCAGGGAGTTGAAAAGGTTTCAGGAGTGTTTGCCCGTTGAACAGGGGTAATCATAATTGCCTGTTATGATTATTATTACCCTGATTTCTTCCCCTTTCATCAGGTGTGTTGTCGTACATCGGCGTCGTCTACGGTATCTTGGCCAGCCTGTGCGTCAGCCTCAATGCCATCTTCACCAAGAAGACCCTCCCGTCCGTCGAGAACAACATCTGGCGTCTCATGTTCTACAACAACATCAACGCCCTCCTGCTGTTCCTGCCGCTCCTCTACCTAACCGACGAGATCACCGCCATCCAGAATTTCAACAACCTCCACAGCCCCCACTTCTGGGCGGTCATGTCCGTAAGCGGACTCTTCGGTTTTCTGATCGGCTACATCACGGGGCTCCAGATTAAAGTCACCAGCCCGTTGACGCACAACATCAGCGGCACGGCCAAGGCCTGCGCCCAGACCATCCTGGCCGTCGGCTACTTTCAGGACGTGAAGACTGCCCTCTGGTGGCTGAGTAATTTCTTGGTTCTGGGCGGCTCGGCCCTCTACAGTCACGTCCGGAGGCAGGAGATGACGAAAGAACACAAGGAGAATCTGAAGGCCATGGCAGAAGATAGTAAAGCTAGTAACAGTTTGAAATCGGGAAAGATGATTAGTGTCTAGAAGTGTCTGATGCTCCAGAAAGCGGTAAAGCTACTTAGAAAATGAAACAAAATTTGAACCTCTGTGGACCTTGGAATATTAGCATGGGTCTAACAGATTACTTTTATTGGTAATCCTTTAGAATATTCACATATTTACTTTCAGGTTTCGATAGTACATGTACATTAGAGCACTGCAACAACAAACATGGGATCTACATGTACTAAAAAAATGTTTAGGAGCGTTTTCACATTCGCATTGGTGTGAAAAATGGTTTTATTTAAATCCTTGCTACCGGCTTGAAAAGTAATGCATGGATTAGAGGGAATTTAACACACAGCAGTCATGCGTCACCGGTTTTCTTGGTGATGTATGTATTCATTTTTCTATGTACAGGGTTGGTAAGATCATAGAGCACATGGTAGTATACAGAAGTTCTTGACCAAGTTAAAATGTATTTATTTATTTTTGGGAAAAGTTCCTTTCTATAACATTTTTGGACAGAGGTTATACATATAATACACATGCATGCTGTGTAAATCGATATTTTTATTAGAAATGCTATTGTTGTGTTGAAGGGGCACTAGGTCCTGAAATCCCCGAAAATGTCATATTTTGGATTGTTTACTTAGCCTATTTCAAACATCTGGTTGAAAGGAAACCAACCTAATGTCTTACCGTTCCCGAGAAAAGACGGAAAAAACCCAGTTGTTTACATCGGTCACGACGGAGTACGAATACGTTTTTCGTGTCATTCTCAGTGTACGATATACACGTTGTGTGTCTCGGGAACAGCGGTGACCAATCACCAATGCAAAAAATATGGTTTCTTCAACGTCCGCAAAAGGCAAACACTTTATAAATGAAATCACATCTAGCATCAAAACAGCTCGAATTTATGGGGTCGCAAAAGTGGACCCCAAAATTTTCGCACGCATAATACAGGAATAACACAAAAACGCCCAGTTTTGAAAGGATAGTTGTGTGGATGTTTATATCCTACTTTTAAATGTTCTTTCCGATCAACATCATCTCGTTCAAAGCGCCTTTTATAGCGCAATCGGGCTGTTCCAGGACCCAGTGTCCCTTTAAGGGTAGAGTATAGTATAAATCATGCACTGAACTGACAATTTATAGCAACCGTGTGCGTTGTGTCAACGCTTGCGCACAGCCATTCAAGGCTTCGCCAAATTGACACATCTTTGGAAATGGCCTTCTTTTATTGTTTTCTTCAAAATGACACCATACCAGAAGGAATAATTTCACAGGGAGTTTAGTGCCATTACTATCTTTAAACCAAGTACACTTTTCAACAATAATTTTGTCAGTTACTTTTTGGATAGCTGCAAATGATATACTCTACCTTTAATGACCACAGTTGATATGTAATTTGACAAGGTATGGAAATGTTCATTATCCTTTAAATCTTTGAATGTGGAATGTATTATCTTATTTAGGCGGAATTAAACGTGTGCTATAACAGTCAAGCCAATAGAAGTATGTTGGCTTGCTATACGCAGAGTTAAGAACGATCTGAAAAGCATAATCCTAGATTTATTTGTACATAAAGCACATTTACTTTCACTTTTAGAAGGAAAAAAAAATTGTCATCTATTTTGGTGCATTTACATTCCATTCTTTTTACACCTTAATTTTATCTTCTAGATTTTCCCTTTTTTAAGTTAAAAGTTTTCTGGTGGTAGGTCATTAAAAAAAATGAGATTAAGTCATGCAACAGTGAATGTAAGCATGTGCAGTTTTGGTTGTATGGTGTTCATTTGAGAATAGCATCATGTTGATACAATTGGTATTGATATTTTTTTGGTCCAAGATTTTGGCTTTTTTTTATAGGCCCAAGATTTCAGGATGTCACACTTTGTTTACAAGTGCTTTCCATGTAGGATGGGACTGGGATATTGTCCCCGCTTTAGCTAAAAAAAACAAACTAAAAAAAAAACACATACATGTCTGGGTCGTTCTACAATGTTCTAGAAAGTTTAGGTCCACTTTTTTTTCCTGTCCCTGTTACATCTGACATCTATGATTGTATAATTCTGATGCACTCCTTAATGCAGTCGTCCGTCAAGAGTGATTATGAATAGCAAACTACCTACCCAACAAATTTTGTTTGAAGTTATTCTTAATGATACTTGAATGGCAAATTACAAAGTACCAAGGAAACAGAGACAGGGAAAATGTCACATTTTGACCCTACATTTATTGAATGACCCATGTTCAAACAAAGAGTGACCATCACTTTAGGCCCCCCAAAAAAGTCTTCGGTTTCTGGTATGGAGCTTGCCCCAAAAGTGGTGCGGCGACACAGCTTTTTAAAATTTTTTTTCCTTCAAATGTCGGCTGATGACTGCAAATGGTGCCCGACTAAATTTAGTGCAAAACGTATTGGAGCCCAGAGAGGCCACATAAAGCTTATACTCGATCATAACCCCATCTAAAAACCGTTAAAATTGTGCAGCAGCAGGATTCCAGTCAAACCAGTGAGTTTGGCACAGACATTATCTTACATTGAAAAAAAAAAAGTTTAATTTTGCCGACGTGCATGGCTACGGTGACGCGCGCGCAAACCAGAAACTGGAGACTTTTTTTTTTGGCCTAATGGGCTATTTATCTGTTTCGCAAAACGCAAGGTGCATTTTGCATTTTTACTTTTTGTATAGTTTGTTAAAATATTGTTACAAAAATATTAAATTAAGTCTCAAGTATTTAAGATGCTTTTTAAGAGCAGTACAGCAGTTGTCGTCTATTGTTTTACTCAGTCTTTGGAACAGTTAGTTTTGGAACAACTTTTTGTTGACGTAGCTATTGAAATATTTAGTTTTTAGATCGTCTTTATTTTTATGGGATGTCTTAATTCGTTACAGGCTTTCAAAATGCCAAGTTTTTGGTTAACAAGTTTGAATATTATTGGTATATTGGATAAAAACGTCCACAAAAGAATTCACTCGGTTGACAAGTTACTTTATATGTTATTTTCGCAACCATTTTTTATTCAGAAATATTCTGTATTTTTGTTCAAACAATTTAAGCAGGACTCTATGGAGCAAGCAATTCATTATATTGTAAATAAAATTTATTTACAAATAAACTTTTATTTGTACATCCTAAAATGGTGCAAGCTTTCAAGTGTTTTGGATTTTAGTTGCAATTTAGAAACATTTTTTTCGAAAGTAAGCCCTGTATCACATTATGATAAAAAACTACTTTACAAAGAATTATACTCTTCTACAACATGTCTGTTTTGTGACCTAAATATTCCAACACAAACATGAGAATTCAAAACGACACAAACTTCATTTTGTCAAGGTTTAACAATAAAGCAAATCTGAGCTTTAAAAAAAAAAATGTGACCATGAAGTTGGTTTTCAAGGCGGTATTTCCGAACAGATAATTTACGTCACCTGTTTTCGATGGGTGTGCTGTGCACCCTACATGACAAAGTTGCAGCATAGTTATGCAATGTTTTCAAGATGGCGTAGATTTCAATATGGCGACAGATACACTGTGCCTCATGAGGGTTGCAGACCAGTAAATACATTTCCATAGAGCTCGATGATAAATGCATAGTTATGCAATGCATAGTTATGCATAGCATAGTTATGCAATGTTTTCAAGATGGCGTAGATTTCAATATGGCGACAGATACACTGTGCCTCATGAGGGTTGCAGACCAGTAAATACATTTCCATAGAGCTCGATGATAAATGCCACCACTTCAGAAATTAAGGACAACTTACAACTCTCTGAGGTGTTCAAGACGTACATCAAATTAAAGCTTATTTCATCATCTTTCATTTTCTGTTCATTTTTCTGGGGGTTAAACAACGACTTTTGGGAGAAAATTCCATCCAAAGATGATCACCCCTAAACCAGTCCTGAAGCCCATCGCCATTTTGAAAATGGACACCTACGCTCCATTGCAAAATAGAGCCATTTTAGGGTCTAATCATCATCCACATTTTACAGAAATACGAGCTCGCAGTCCTCTGCACGGCTTCCAACCGTCTTTTTACAAATCATGAAGTTCACAGCCTTCAAAATGCTCTAATGCTGAAGAATTTGAGAGCATGCACATCGTGATTTGGCTGGCGTAGGCAATTTTGGACTGATTTACTGGTCTGCACCCTGAGGGTGCTATTACTGTAACAAATGATAGACTGGTTCTCAGTCCCTCCATCATCAATTCTGACTTTGTGAATAAGAAAAATGTATTCAAAACAACAGTCTTACATCTTCAACTGAGCATTGTTCCAACAGTGCAACAGAGACCAGTTGGCCATGATGGAATGTTGCATTTCAACAATGCATGTTCAAAATCACATGTCCTCAGTGCTTCAAAGTTACAACTTTCCAAACTCCTTTCAAGGATTAACTGGCAACAATCCAAAGACACATCACAGATAAGATAACCAGATGTGATTTTGGATTCTTCAGATTTAATCTTTAGCATGGATTTGGAAGATGTGGATTTTGAAGGATTGGGATGTGATTTAGAACGTCTATTGTTGAAATACAACTCTGATCTAATGACCCTGTGTGCTTTGAATGCCAATCCCATCATGCCTGTTTAAAGTGAAAGGCAGAAGTTGTTTTCAAGAATACAGGGTGAGTAAAAAAAAAAAAACCCAAATGTTGGGACCATTGTTTTAAGGAAGTTCTGCATGTAGCATTTTCAAAATCTAGGATATGAAAGCCCAATTCATAGGCTTTCTCTTAGTTCAAGAATCATTCAAATCACTCATGCACTTTTCAAGTGACGGAATTTTAAACACGACCACCGTTTTAAGGTTCTGTCCACGGATCGCAAAAAAGTTCAGTGTTCTTTCAGCAAAACAAAAACAAATCACATAAGGATGTGTGTAAATTGTTTTCGTTTTGCTGAAAGAACGCACATTTTGGGTTTCGTTTTTTTTTTTACTCACCCTGTATAGACTGACCTACCATTACTTGGTAGGTTTGTGACCATTACTGAGATAGTGACCCAAACATTCACAGTTCACTTCGATAAGATGAACTCATCTTCAGTGACATGTTCCGAAGTTTACATAACACACGTGTGCAGCATGAATTTAAAATCATGTGGTGGACACCTATGCATGGAAGTGTCCCAGTAACGGCGAAAAAAAAAACTGCACAGTAATGATGAAATTGGATGCATGCATAAAGACAAAAATCTTCTGAGTGTAAAATATAAATTAAGTTTCGAAAACTGTTTTTTGTACCAGTTTATAAATAAAGGTGCTCTAAATAAAAGAACAAAAAAGTGAAATCAAATTAAATTAAAGAAA